CGGAAAGATGCTAGACCTCCCTTGGTGGCTCACGGCTCTCCATCTATCAAGGCCCGCATCAACCCTGCTCGAGGGCCAGGGTCCGAGTCCAGCCTGGCGTACAGGCGAACGCCTCCAGATAACACTTTGGCAGTACCAATACATACATACTCAACTGCATGGGCCAACGGTCAGGGACATACTGCCGTAGCGAGGTGAGACGGAGAGCGTAAGATTTCGTAGCAGCATATGCATACGCCAGCGTAGTGTACAAGTATGATTGTTTGATATTGGCGCCGAGTGCCGCTCTGGAAAGGCAGCAATAGTGCGAAGACGTGGCCACGCTAATATGCAGCCTCTCTGTGATTAAATGGCCGGGCAACTGGGATCCTTCACACCGGTTGGAGCAGCCGCGGCTCTGAGCAGGGATTCGTCATAGAGTTGCATCTGGACTCGCTCCAGTCCTGCGAATTGAGCGCATGGCAGACTTCCGCGCGAGCACTCCATATAGCTTCATATATACGACGAGCGAGTTCCTGAGTAACAGCTCGGCTGGCTATCTGTACTGCGCATCGGTAGACAAATGCTCGCTTCTGTTGTCCAGGAACGTGGATTACGCACCAAGTAACCCGGCCGACTGCTTGACCAGAGGTGAGAGAGAGGGAGAAGGGGGCTGCCGGCTGGTTGAAGGGAATTTTGAGCCGCTGATAGCTAAGGTGACATGGCCATCGGGCATTTCGAATGTCATGGCTCCATACTTGGGCAGGTCTGGCCATCCCACGCCCAGTGGCTTATGCCATCAGAGACATGCATGATAGCGCACCCTCTCGGCTTCCTTACTCGACGTGTATTTTGGCAGGAAGCAAGATAAGACAGAAACGGTGAGAATGGGCGCAGCTGCTCCATTGGCTAGCTGGCACAATGCAAGACAAGCTGGCCAAGCTAAGGCGTCCGGGCTGAACAAGGCAGTCTATTGAGCCTCATTGAAGTACTCGTCTGCAGTTCTCCAAGTGTTTGCCCTGCCGCGACACCGATGGGACCAGGGATGCGAGAGTTGCGTGGTGCCAGCTCTTGGCTCAGAGATGCCTTTGTGAGGTATCTAGACAAGCACAGGGTGAAAGTGACCGAAAGAAACGCCGCAGCGACTGGAGTGCCGCGTCTTGAGCTTTGCACCACACCACGGTTGACGCAAAATTTCTGATCGCATAAGGTGTGTAGTTAATCGGAAACGAGGCAGTTAGAATGTAGTGAACGAGATAGCGGGACTCATTGCAGTCAGAAATTTGTTGACAGACTGCACAAGTGACACACCTAAACGAGTCCTTCTCAATTTGATTAATTTGTGTTTCTTGAGGCGCGTTTTCATCGTCGGGCCGGACTTGGTATAGAATTACCCTATATTACCTGGTAACTTGAAGGCTTTCGGGGGGTGCATGATGCCCGGACCAAGAGACATGGATGTTTCTGTTAGTGCCTAGAATGGAAAGAAAAGGCATCGTTTTCGTCTCCCGCATGGTATCAATCGCTTCAGTTGCTTCATCAACTGCTGTAGAGTTGAGCGCATCTGATGATATGTACGCCTGCACCGCACAAAAATCGTAGATGCTCGACATGATAGGTAGTGACTGTGGGACAAGGTGCATGCAGCAATTAGACATTGGCCTTCCCTGGACGGCGGGGAGAGGTCAGAACGGAAGTGTGTAGTAAACTTGAGCTCCTTGACGATGTCGCTGAAATCAGTGAGGCCACTAGCTGACAAGCTGCTCATCTCTCTTCCGCCATACGGAAGAGGACCGCCCTGGCTACACAATTCGTACCGGAAGATTAACGAGAGAAATCAGCCTGCGTGAATCTCGGTATCGAGACTGATGCCCTATTCGATTTTGGTCGCGACAGATCGTAGGGAATGACGCAGCCAGCGTCCGTGGAAAAAAGCCCAGGGGCCGAATCGTCAGTTGTACCCCAAGCCCCGAGCGTTAGTGTGCCGTATCGTCGGGACGGGAATACTAGTAGCTTGATGTGAGAACGGAAGAGGCGCCAGGCGGAAAAAAAAAAAGAAAGAAAAAAAGAGGACCAGGGGTCCGTGAACCAACATGTGGCGGCTGAAGTGCCATCGGCTGCGGCGAATGAGGTCAACCCATGACTAACCACGTCCCGCCCCAATGTCTTGCTTCGATGGCAGGCTCGATTAAGCATATCCTTAATTTAACTGACGACGAGTTAGTGGCTGTCGCGAGAAACGGGGCTGGCCAAGGATGGATGAATGTTACCCTTGACAAGCCTCTCGATGCGACGCTTGTGTACCTCTCTGTAAGGTAAAGGAGACTCATGTGGTATGGCACGCGATGCGGACATGCAGCAAGGGGGTCAATCGATGCACAATGGAATCATGACAAGTCGGAGATTAATATCAAGAAAGAGGAAAAAAGAAAAGTGACTCATCAGGCCGAAAGTAATGGACCTACACGAGCATCGTTGCGGGATGCGGCATATGGATGGACGGACGGACTGGGATTGAACCAGGCTCACAGCATATTCCCCCAATCCGCTTTCTGTCCTTTCTCTTCCATCGGTCTCTTCTTGGCTTGTGATGGGGACAGGCTTTCCCTTCAATTGCTTCTCGCTAACTCGTCATTTGCAGCTCTCGGCACAATGCAAGTCACGGCGGGAGAAATCGCATCGGGCATCTCGTCGGGGTCGATCGATCGTGCAACGCGAGGCCCGCTGCCGTGAGCCGGAGCATGGGGGAAAATGTGGGAATTCGAGATGGAGGTTTTTTGGGGGGGAATCGGAGGTTTGGTCTGTGCGTCGCTGATGAACGCGGCTTGACGACATGTCACGTGCAAGGGTGGCGTGCTTGAGGTTTCAAAGCTCTAGGTCGCACGTTATTCCTATTGGAGGCGAAAAAAAGATTTTGACAAGGAAAAAGGGGCATAGAAATGGAGAAAGGAAGGAATAAGAGGTTCGATGATTGAAGGGCTGCGCTGCTCGGCTGCCTGCTTCTTCGCGGAAATGCCACATTCTCTGTGACAGACGCTGTACATTCACAGTACGAGACAGAAAGCACCTTACTTCGTGATGCAGGCAGTTGCCATTACACAAGGTACGGAGAACGGAGCACTGCCGTGCGAGACGAGGACATGCATGATCCCTGTCGGTGCGTTAGCACAAGGTCTTAGCCATCTGTTTTGCCTTGGGTAGCATCCAGCGCCGCAAAGTCAAACGGCTTTCTAGTGCTCTTCTCTGGCGTTTCTCCCGCTTTGCACGGAGTCCAAGTCTCAATGGCGCAAAGAGGTTGCAGCAGCAGAGACGCACAATGGGGCTCATCAAGGGGTCGAGTAAGGTACCTTGGGTAGAAATCGACATGGTTGGATTGCGTAAGGTAAGTAGGTACAACGTGATTACCTACAAAGTACCTTTATGGCATCTGCCCGAGTACCTCGGCAGGACGGGACTGGTCGAAATCGCTACCTACCTAGTACCTACCCGTTGGCTTGGTCGGCGGTAAAGGTGCACACAAGGTATTAGGTAGACAGACTGAGAGACCGGCACCCGACCCCAAGAACAAGTACACGCGCGCCCCGGCTCTGTACCTACCTCATGTGTCCCGATGTAGAACGCCAGGTAGATCGCAAGTCCCCAGAGTTGCCACTTCAACCAAGACCACAGCGTCACAGTTGCCATGGATCCCCAACCAACAGCCGGCAGAGGCAAGAAAATTCCGCTCGGCAAGGCGCTAAGGCCAGCAGGCGGCAAAGCCTCAAGCCAGTCGAGCCAGTGCAGGTGCGCATCACCGGCGTCCGTCAGTTGCCCAAGCGGGCAGCTCCAGGCGGTGCCACAGCAGGGCCACAGCAGGACCGCAGCCCGAAAAAGAGACGCTGGCCGTTGCCATCAGCTAAAAGCAGCCCAGCCCAGAAGGGGCCCCCAAATCGCCATCTGCCTGGCTGGGTTAGTCAGTCACCACCTCTGGTCACTACTACTACCTCTATATACTACTACTAGTATGGCGCAGTGCTAGAGGCCCATGCAGGTCGGTGCCTTACCTGCCTGCTCCACCGCCGCCAACAAAGACGCCGCCCGTGGTCACGCGCTTTTCCCGCTTCCAACTACGAGTTCACTAACCTACCTTACTGCCCTGTGTCCCCGAACTTCTCACGACATCCAGATGTCGGCAAGCATCCCGCCGTCAAGACGCACTCTCCGCCCATCAGCATAAAGGCCTCCTGCCCGTTGCGCCGCGCGCGCACTTTCGCTTCTGCCCAGCCTCGCTGCGTCCCCGGTCGCGCGAGCTCGCCCACCCTCCCCGACATATTCCGTCGCCCGAGACCCTTCGTCTGACGCTCTCTGCCGCCATCCCCGGTCGCGCAGAACCGGTGCGCTGGTCCTCTTTTCGAGGCGCCTCCTGCTCTGCGGCCCAACCGCCCCCCCCCCCCCCTCCTCCGACGTCCGATTTGCGCATCTGAGAGGGAGCAAGAAGAGGAAGAGGAAGAAGAAGCAGAAGCAGAAGCAGAAGCAGAAGCTGAAGCGAGGAGACGTCCATAGGCCGCAGACGGCAACAAACAAGGGTCCTCCGGCGTTGCGTCTGTGTGTCGCGCGTTTGCTGTGTTTGCATGGCGCACTGAGCCGACGCAGAAAAAAGTTCATTCGCCCGATAGTATCGAAACGCCACATCGCTGCGCTGCGCTGCGCTGCGCTGCCGCCCGCATTTTCCCAACAACCCTGAACCCACCGGCCCAACTCGAGTCGCTTCCCAGGACAAGTTGCACGTCTCCAGCGCCCTTCGAGCCCGCGCCGCATTCGCTGTCCGAGCCGCCAGCAGCCGGCGTTGCCTGTCCGAATAGCCTCGCGCGCGCCCTTGTTTGCGGGGCGCAGTTACGCAAGGCATCGTGGCGGCGCTTACCATCCTCGACCACCCCGAGACGCCGGAGCTGTCTCTGCAGCAGCATCTCGACCTCGCGCCCGATTTGGTCGGCTACGGTAGCCAGCTCGCTGCCACGGGGGACGAGCCCCAGTCCTCGATGATGGCACAGCCGGTGCCTCATCAGGACAAGAAGCGCGTCAAGGTCTACGAGCTGCGCAACAATGACTGGTTTGATCGCGGGACAGGCTTCTGTACCGCCAAGTTTGCGACGGTATGTTTGCGACCTTTCCTGCATGCTTTCGGCCTCCCCTTGTCGTGCTGCTCGACCTTGTTGCTCCCACTTTGCTTGGCATTGTTCATCTAACCCCCCTTTCCCCCCCCCGTTTTGCCTGTCTTCACATACCCTCATGTTGCAGCAATTGTCTCTATGGCATGCATTGCCCAACCTGTTGTCATGCCTCTGTTTTCTCCCTTGGATTGGGCTTGATTGGGCTGGCTCTGGCTCTGGCTCTGGGACCTACTCTTCCTTGACTTTGCATTCTCATCAGCTTTGGGAGCCCCAAGACACCACCTATTCAAGGAGATACGCGTATTTGTTTGTCGTCATTCTGTCGCTCGGCTTGCTGATCGTGTCATGCGCTCGACGTATCATCTAGTCCGAAGATGGTCACAAAGATCCAAAAGTTATCGTAGAGTCTGAAGACCAGCCCGAACGACTTCTTCTAGAGACGACAATTCAGAAGCAGGATGGGTTCCAAAAGCAGCAAGGCAAGTCCGCCCCCGACTTCTCTTTCCTTCCTCTCTTTCTCTCTCTCCTCTGTTTGCCTAATTTCCATTGACCTCATGCTCGATAACTTTCCCTCTTGTGAAGCCTTCTGGCAAAACGTCCCTCTCCCCCCCCCTCCTCCCCCTTTACTTGACGCTGCGCATCTCAATGCCTGCCTCCACCCCTGCGTGTGGCATCTTAAAACTAACAGCGAATGCAACAGAGACGCTCATCGTGTGGCAGGAGCCAGGAAGCGGCGTTGATATGGCTTTGAGCTTCCAGGAAGCGGAGGGATGCGCCATGATCTGGTTTGTCTTCCAACCCACTCCAATCTTCGTCGTCGCTTCTTCCCTACGCCCCTTGAGGCATTGGGTGTATCTCTCAGCGAGCATTGACTAACGACATCGACCGCTCAAGGCGTTTTGTCAACACTGTTCAGCAGACATTTTCAAACCACGCTGCTGGAGCCGGTACGGATTTGTCTACTCGTGGTTTGAAAACGCAATTCCAGAAGCTAATGTTGTATCAGATGACAACCTGTCTGATGATCTCGCCATTGAAGCTGTTGCTCCCGTTAGCCTTCCCGCTGCTGAGCTGGGCAACCTCGCTGAAATCGAATCCAGCATCAGGGTGATGAGCTCTACCGCCACTGGGCGTGAAGCCATAACCAAGTTCATCGTGGCCGAAGACTACATCAGCAAGCTTATTCCGTTGGTGGAAATCGCCGAGGACCTGGAGAGTCTCCCCGATCTGCATCGCTTGTGCAACATCATGAAGAGCATCCTGCTCCTCAACGACACGTCCATCATTGAGCACGCGGTATCCGACGAATGCCTCCTGGGGGTGGTTGGCGCCTTAGAATACGACCCCGACTTCCCCAGCCACAAGGCCAACCATCGACACTGGCTCAGCAACCAAGGACATTACAAGGAGGTTGTGCCCATCGACGACGACGCTGTCCGCCGCAAGATACACCAGACCTACCGACTGCAGTATCTCAAAGATGTCGTCTTGGCCAGGATTCTTGATGATCCTACCTTTTCCGTGCTGAGCTCTCTCATTTTCTTCAACCAAGTCGAAATCGTACAGCACCTACAGTCGAACCCGAACTTTCTCATGAACCTGTTTGGCATCTTCTCCGCCCACTATCCCGACACAAAAAAGCGCAAAGAGGCCGTTTTGTTTATCCAGCAATGCTGTGCAATTGCGAAAACCATCCAGGCTCCTGCGCGCCAGTCGCTCTACATTAACTTTCTCAACCATGGCCTGCTCCGCGTTATCTACTATGGCCTGAGACATATGGACGTAGCCGTGCGCGTTGGAGCGATGGATATCTTGATATCCATCATCGACCATGATCCGATGCTCATCCGGCAAACCATATTCCGACAGCTACATGAGGGCGGCTTGTCACTGCTCGACTCTCTTATTGACCTTCTCCTGGTCGAGGTGGACTTGGGCGTCAAGACCCAGATTTCAGATGCTCTCAGGGTCATCCTGGATCAGGGAGGGAGTCCAGCTGCCGCCGCCAACGAACCCGCCGCCAACAACAACAACAGTGGCGGCAACGGCAATGCCAACGGCAGCGGCAACGGCAACAAGCAGCAGGGCGGCGAGCTTGCCGCTAGGGCCAGGATGCAGATGGTTGTCGATCCACAGCATGAACACTTCCTCACCCGCTTCTACGAGTCTTCCGCCATGAAGCTATTTAGGCCTCTGATTGAGCTAGACAGCCGTTCCCACCTGGACTTCACCGTTCAAGAAGCTGCCATGTTCGCCTGCTTAGTGGAAGTACTGGGCTTTTTTATCCGCCAGCATCATCGATTCAGCAGATACTTCTTCATTGTGCACAACCTTGCAGCGCGAATTGTCCAGCTACTCAAGTGTCGGGACAAGTACTTGCAACTGGTTTCGATTCGATGCTTTCGACTGATCCTCGGCCTCCAGGAGGAGCTGTATGTCAAGAATCTGATCGAAAACGATGTCTTGGGACCCATCCTCGAAGTCCTGGTCGAGACTGTGCCGCGGGATAACCTCGTCAGCGCCGCTTGCACCGAGCTCTTCGACTTTGTCAAGAAGGACTACCTCAGAGACATGGTCAAGCAACTAGTCGAAGACCACCGGGATAACTTGCTTCTCGTTAGCCATATACCGCCTTGTCAAGACCTAATCACGCGATATGACCAGACTGAAGGCTATACGACGAACATGGAGTTCTTCCTCGATGCGGACGATGATGTGACGAAGAGGCCAACCAATGTCCGCATGATGGACCAACTCCCGGCCGATCTCCGGGAAGAGGAGTACTGGGACGCACCCGATCTTGACGACGAAGGAGAAGAACAAGGCTCAGGGGATAGATCATCAGAGAGCGGCAGCTCGTCTTCCACAAAACCGCTGGTCGACTATGCATCAGACGAGGAAGACGACGAGGATGGTTTGGACAATGACAGCGACGACCATGACTCGAAGGACCACAGCGAGGGCGAGGATGCTGCCGCTTCAAGTCCGCGATCGAGCATGTCGGCTAACGTGCCGCCGCCTGAGCGCCTGTCTGAAAAGCGCCGACGAGAGGAAGATGAGGATGAGGATGATGAGCTGGGGAAGCTAATGCAGAGCAAACGGCGTAACAGCAGCTCTACAGAGTCCAACTCGTCAATCACACAGGGCCTCACCCGGAGACGCAAGAGCTTCGCCAATGGCGGCGGTAACGTGGCGCCCAGGAAGATTGCAATTAGTCTGTCACCGGCTCTGAGGTCAGGCGGCCCCTCACGGTCCGACGACGACTCTTGATTGCGCGGGATACTTATTTTGACCTCTGCTTGGTACCTCCTCCTGTCTGGACGATCGGTGTACGCCACTCCATACCCTACCCTTACTTTCTCTTTTTCTGTGTTCCCGTTTTACTTGCATCCATAATTCTTTCTTGGCCATGACGATCTGTAAATGGCAGACGGGGTACTCTGTGTCCAAAGGGTTGGTCCTCGAGCAATGAGGAGGGGGGTGGCGGGTTAGGCAATAGGCGGCGTTATGTTTTGTTTCGTGCTCCCGTTTATTTCTTGTCTGGTCATTGGCCAACAAACTCTTTGCTTTTGCTTTTGTTGGCTTCGGGATGATGAGGAGATTCACAGGAGCCGTTGGCGGCAACGGCAACCGCTTCCAGGTATAGAATTGGTCCGTGATAAGAGGATTCAAAGTGTAAAGACAATGTGGAAGGTATCTCACATGTGGCTAAGTCCCGGAGACAAAGCTCGGACCCGAGGACTTAAAGTAGCAATGCTAGTGGAAGTAGAGGAGACGGGAGTCGAAAGGTTCACGCTGGATATGTATTATTACCTCCAACATACTATCAATGTCATGGACAAGAGAGCATGAGAGAGAGAAAGAAAGAAACGAAGCCAGTCGCACCGAGGGATTGTACGACAGAGGCGTGAGCACACAAATCTGTGTGGTATGCATGGAGCGATCTGGAGAGGCACGTCGGATTCCGCATCCAGTTCCACCGCTAGGGAAGATCCTGTAATCGAATGCTTTCCGTGGCGTGGCTGCGAATTGTATTTGGGCAACAGTTGTGGGTAAATAAAAGCACGTCCATGCTTGTTCAGTCAAAAAAAACTTGAGCTTGCTCGAACACCTCCTTTGATTGCGCTTCTCCACCCCCATGTCTATTGGTATTCTATATTGCGTGGTCGTCTTCATGATCGTTTGAACTGCCTTGACCACATTTCGTAACCCGAAATCATCATGGGCGTAATGTTTCTCGGAGTCTTTTCGATGGCGGCCTCCAGATCCGCCATTCGAATCTCCATCTTTTCGGTGCCAGTTTCATCCTCGTCGCATCTGTCAAGCACTGCCAGACCGGCCTCGTTGCAGATGGCCTTGATCTCGGCTCCCGAATAGCCGTCTGTGATGCGGGCCAGTTCAGTAATATCCACGTCCGCCGCAAGGGCGAGCCCACGCAGATGCACACTGAAGACATCTTCTCTGGCGGAGAGATCAGGGGGTCCTACGTAGAGGATCTGGTCAAAGCGGCCGGGACGAAGGAGGGCCGGGTCCATGGCCTCGGGCCGGTTCGTGGCGGCGAGGACGAGGACGCCAGTGAGGGATTCAAAGCCGTCCATCTCCGTAAGGAGAGTGGTCAGCATGTTGACGGAACCTGAGCTGCGGGCGGCGGCGGCGCCATTGCCTCCGGTCCGGGAGCCACCGATTGAGTCAATCTCGTCAAAGAAGATGATGGAGGGGGCAGCAGCGCGCGCGCGCTCGAAAAGCGTACGCACGGCACGCTCAGACTCGCCCACGTACATGTTGAGGAGTTCGGCACCCTTGACAGCGAAGAAGTTGAAGGAGGATTCGGTAGCCATGGCCTGGGCGGACAACGTCTTGGAGCAGCCAGGAGGGCCATAGAGAAGCAGACCTTTGGGGGGCTGTCGGAGGACATGACGAGAAGAGGGATTGGTGTCCTGATACGGCGGTTAGCAGCAAGGATGGCATGATATTGCATGGGGCGCCGAAGACGGTGAGGGGGAAACAAGTGTGGCCTACCTTTGTATTCTTTATCATGCGCGACAGAACCTTTTTGAGGGACGCTTGACCGCCCACATCGCGCCAATGGATGGTGGGTGGCTTCAAGTTGATGTCATGCATAGCCGTGGGACGAGTGATGCGCAGGGCTTGCTCCATGTCCTGCGAGGTAAGGTAGTGCTCTCGCGGTTGCTGTGTTTCTGAAGTGATGTTGCCAGCAGCCTCCGTGCCGGCATTGCCAGTGGTGATGGCGGCAGCCTCGTCGTCCAGTCTGTTACCGAGGATCTTCTTGGCATTCAGGACCAGGTTTGCAAGATCATCTCCGTTGTATGCGTGAGTCTTGGATGCCAGACTGGCCAGGCAGGCTTCCTTCTCTTCGGCCTGGATTGGGGGGTCGAAAAAGCGTAGTATTTCCAGACGCTCGGTTGCGCGAGGAATTGGCAAGGCGACGTTTTCTCGGAAACGGGAGCGCTTCTGGAGCTTCGCTGGCACATCTGCCAAGTAGTCTAGACAAGTGGCGATGACCACAACTTGGGGCAGAGCATTGGCAGCAGCGGCCGCCGCAGAAAGATTGTCGAGCTCCTCGCCTAGAGCCTCGATGACACTATCACGGTTGGATCGTTCTTTGGCGAGAATGTCCTCGAGGCCATCGATGAAGAGGAGACTTGGCTGCTGAGACTGAGCCAGCTTGAACGTCTCCCTAATAGAGGACAGCTTGTCTGTGGACCTGATCCAATGGACACGTCCCCAGTTGGTGGCCGCAATGCGCTGCAGGATAAACGTCTTGCCTGTGCCGTGACCGCCGTGTATCACGAAGCCGCAAGACTCGCGCTCGTTCTTTATCCAGAACGGCCGGCCAAACCCTCTGAGAAACTGGTTGATAACATTGACTTGTGAGGTCAGACCGGGGACTCCAGTGACCGATAAAGGGCCAGATTGAGTTGTAGCCACCTGCGCATCTTCGGGCGCATCCTTGCTTTCCCCGGGCTGAAGTATTCGTACCGTTGATGAGGCGAGCTGAAAGCGGGCCATGTTGTTGGACTGTCCATTGACTGACACGACTTTGAACGTCCGACGCAGCTTGTTGATGCTGACACCCTCGAGGACCATGCCGGGAAATACCTGCTCCGCACGATCAAGGGAGATGCTGATGGAGAACTCCCAAGACGGGGGATGTTTTGCTTTCGCAGCGGCATCCTTCTGCTGATCTGCCTCGCTGGTGGTATCCTGAACCACCACTTCATCCGCATCTGGGACCACAGGATTCTCCGCAAGTGTGATTCTGACCACGTCTCCCAGCTTGAACCCTGTAGCCTCCTGGAATGCTCTTGTCATCATGACAACGTTGGGGCTGACGTTCTTTTCAGGGAGAACCCACAGAGAGGCTTCCCGCCGCTTGCTTGCGTCTGCATTTCCTGCTGCAGGCCCCTCGCCAGAGGCGTCATCTGTTTGCAGCTTCTCGATGATGCATGGCCGGCCGCTGTCGAGGCTTCCAGTCAAAGAGATGAGAGAATCCTTACTAACATAGACGCGGGAAGCCCCGAGGAGACTTGCTCTTTCAAGACTGACGTTGGCGAGAGGACGAACTTTGGCGTCGATGCTTTTTTTGAGCATTGTTCTATTGTGTGTGTCTGTGTGTGTGTGTGCTGGATTGATCAAGGAAAGGAGAAGGGAGACGGCAGGAAGAAGAAGTAATTCTCACTCTGGGACGAGATAAAGAGGGGAATTGAAATCCTTGAGACCTGGCTTACATGTACATCGATGACATTTTGGAAGGTGCGATTGTGCGAGCTGGAAACTTGAAGGTCTCATGAGGACCCTTCCAAGAATTTTCCACTTTAGTACCTTGCAGTACACGGTACCTGCGACTGTGGGGGTTCCTTGTAGAAGCTACCTACTAGGTACAGCCTAGAGTATCCGCACCTGTATATCCCCACGCGTCTGCTGCAGTACAAGTACTATCTGTAGGATTCTGCTGAAAGGTACATAAGGTAGTTACCTACCTTACCTAGGTAGTCTTGATCGAACATAAGGTATCATTCTCTAGGCGTGATATAATTAGAAGCAATAGTAGACTGAGTTTGGATTTGCTATTAGACTGAGTTTGGATTTGCTATTAGACTGAGTTCGGATTTGCTATTAGACTGAGTTTGGATTTGATATAGGTAAGGTAGGTAAGGTAGGTACCTTACCTAGCACATGATGAGATGCTGCACCAGAATTCAGTGCCTTCCACTGTAATGCAAACCTCCAGCGCAAACAATTGGCCAGGTACTCGCTACCTTATGCGCACTAGCAGCAGGTACTCCATACCCTGCCCGACGTCATGGCAAAGAAAAGCCGTAAACCTCCAATCGGACCCCTCGAACTTCGTCCATCCAGTGCTTTCCTCTTCTCCAGCATCCCAATCCTGCCTCTCTCTCTCCGTGTGCCCTGAAGAGCTCAATGCGACTTGCTTCCGGCCGTCTGCCTGGATGATCTGCCCTCGATGGACGCCTCGAGCGACAGCGACGCTCGCTAACCTTGGCGGCAGCTCGAGGCAGGCCTCCTGTCGTCACGTTCCCATCTCACGCAGAGGCGAAGAGCCAGGGCCAAGACGCTGGTTCAGCACAACTGGAGGGGATGACGAAGGCGGAGCTTCAGGTTTGCCGCATAGTGATGGCTCCCAGTCCTCGGGCAGGGCGCACCGGGCGTCTTCTCGCTCGACAGCTGCGCATATGAAGAAACAGACGCCTTATTATCCTCCTAAGCGCGATACGAAGACCACAGCTACTCGTACAGCTGAAGCCGCCGCCGAGCCTCGAGGACATTGGACAGACGGAACTGACGCTGGCGGCGCTGGCGATGCGGCACGCGCATCCGCCGATACGGCTCACCAGATGTGGCCACAGCTGAAGAGGAGAGAAAGAGCCGGACAGCCCACAGACGAGCATGTAGAGAATCCCGCCTTTGCCATCCCCAAGCCCGTCTTCTCGCCGCGGCGGAGCGTGCAGAACCCAAAAGGCGCCAGCGACTCGTCGGGCTGCATGCTCGTCATCGATGGCCTGTCGCCCAACCTCAACGCAACAGACTTTTATCGCATTGCGCCAAATGACTTCTCCAACTGGCGAAACGCCATCTGCAAAGGTACCGAGCCTCTCCCCGTCCCTCCCTTTCCACCGTGGCAGACAGCCCGGCTAACTTGCTTCCCAGTCCAGCAGCAACGCAAGCCAGACACTTTCGAGCCTCTCGGCCGCTACTGGGTCACCTTCAGCACTGGCGAAGCCGCCGTCTCGTACCGGGACAGGCTGATTCGCCTGCACAAGCTCAACGGCTTCAAGCTCCGGTCTGCAAGTGGCTTGTGGGAGAGCAGCGTTCCGGCCTCTCTCCAAGTCTCTCTCGCATCTCCATCGGCAGGCCCACCAGCAGCCTCCGGCGCCGCCGACGACACAAGTGATATCATCCAATCCGATACGCCCGGCAATGAAAGCCTCGTCGAACTCGCCAACTCCTTTACCATTGCGCCGGGTTCCCAAGATGAAATTCCAATACTCCGCTCAAGAGTTACTCTGAGACGGCCATGGGCCAAACGTCTGGCTGGCTTGGTTGACAACCTCGGGTTCGGGGAGCGGCCCCCCGTACTGATGGTTGATGTCTACCCTCCTACCTTGACCGCGGAGCGGCTGCATCAGTTCATCAGTCGAGATGGGTACAACCGAGCCCTTCGATGGAAAGTCTCGATGCCTCAGCATCTACATAAGAGCTTCTTACAGCAAGAATCACCAAAGATGAATGTTAGCGGGGCACGTAAGAATGGGGAGACGGATGAGAAGGACGAGGCGTCATCGGGGCGACGAAAGGGCGCGTCCTTGAAGATCAAGGATCGTGAAGCGTGGGAAACAACAAGGGGCCGATTTGTGCTTGCGTGTGCGGACGAAGAAGAGGCACGGCGGTTTCAGCAGAGCTGGAACCAACGCGCGCTCACAACACTGCGACCAGAGCCAGTGAGGTATGTGGTTCGTACTTCAATAATTAACTGGTAGTTGACTACCGTCTACCAAAACTATCAACACATTTCCACCTGATCGCCTCCAGCTCTGATTGTTTTGTCGCCCACACACTGTTAGACTTGCTGGCTACATCCATATGCTTCTGTCGTTTGATACTCGTGGCCACATCCCGCATTACACATCTTCCTCCCTTTGGCTCCCTATTCCCATGCCGGGCTTCCTCTCTTCCTTGCTCTATCGCGACACTTGTCACACTTGTTTTGCCATCCACTCTTTTTATCTTTGCCAATTGCCAGACTCCAACGGGCGAACATGACAAACCGCAAGGTCTCTCCTCGGCCGCCATGAACCGGCCATAGACACAGTAGAGATGAAATAGTTTTTTTGTATTAGAACCCAAAGTAAGAAAAAGAAAAGAAAAGATAACAAAAGAGAGACATAAAGGGCAACGGAAAAGAAAAGGAAGAAAAAACACGAAGGGGGGAGGAGGAAGACCGCAAAAGAACTCCGAACCAGAATTGCTCTCTCTAAAGTAGATATGTATGGGTTGGTTTGAGTGCTGCCGAGTGGTTCGGAAGTGTTCATTTTTTTGTAGTTATGTCTTTCTCTTAGTCAGGGAATTCTCGTGACCCTCATGTCCGAAATGTCATTACTGGCACGAAGCTGATAAACCGCAGGCCTCATAAACAGCTTGTATGTCTTGATCGCGTTGCGCTGCCGTCTCCATTATATCATACGTCAAATACCGTCTCAGATCAACGTCATGCCTCACGCGTGCGCGTGCGCGTGCCGCAAAAGAACCTGTTGGGCGCCCCTTTTAACAGCACTTGCCGCTGGCGGCATCGTTCTTCTCTCCGACATTGACGCCGGATGAGGTTCCAGTGTCAGTCTTCTGGTTGTCGATGAGGCGCTTCTTGATGTCGGCAGCCAGGCTGTAGAAGGCCTGGTCGATGTTGATGTTGCTCTTCGCCGAGACTTCGAGGAAGGGAATGCCGAGCTCGTCTGCCAGTGCCTGGCCCTGTTCCGTGGACACAACGCGCTTGTCCTCCCAGTCGCACTTGTTGCCAATTAGGATCTTGTTGACGCCCTCGGTGGCATGCTGCTCCACGTTTTGGAACCAGGTGCGAATGTCTATGGGGTAGAGGGTAAATCGACGAGTCAGCCACAGTCCGAACAACTCCACTTTTCTGGAATGGGCAGTCCTTGAGATGCATTGAATGATGGCTCAAAGACAAGCCGCTCGTTGAAACACTGGTGCAGATTGGTGTGATTTTGCAATACCCAGAATGGGGGTTGACACAGATATGGGTGAGTTGGGGTAAAGACGAGCAGAGCTGCCAGGCGGTGAGAAGGGTGGGGAGGGGGGTGGAAAGTTGAACATACTGCTGAATGATCGCTCGTCGGTGACATCGTAGACGAGCAGAATGCCCATGGCGCCACGGTAGTAGGCCGTGGTGATGGTGCGGAATCGCTCCTGGCCGGCAGTGTCCCAGATCTGCAGCTTGACACGCTTGCCATCCAGCTCAATCGTCCTGATCTTGAAGTCGATGCCAATCGTGGTGATGAAGGACGGGGTGAAGGAGTCCTCGCTGAATCGCAACAGACAGCATGACTTGCCAACACCGGAGTCGCCAATGAGAAGGAGCTTGATCTATTTGAAAATCGGTCGTATTAGCATCTGCGGCTCGCTTGTTACTCTGTGTCGAGGCATGCATTGCGTCGTAGTGGACTGCGTCGTAGACACTATTGCCATGTGACGAGAACCGCGCCTAGTGGTCGTACGTGGCCAGAGGGGTGGGGGTTTGCGAAAGGGGGGGGGGGAAGAAGAAATCGTACCAGGAAGTCGTAGTTGCGATTGCTAGGCATGGCGGGCATCTTGGGTGAGACCGTCTTTTGAAATGAAGAGGAACCGAGTTGGCAAGGCGAGCTGATCACGATGGTCGAAAGTCGGAGGGGGCTTCGAGAGCTAAAGTGGCGGAGAGGCGGGAAAGGCGAAGGCGGAAGAGTAAGGAGGATTCCAGGCCGCGAGAGACGACGGAGCAGCGACGACAAGCCAAAAAAGGGAAAAAGAGAGGAGAAAAGGGGGATGCAGAAGATGCGTCCGGTCGAGATGGATTATTATTGGATGAGCAGATATCGAGAACGGTTGCTTGCTCTGGAGGGCGGCGGCAGATCCGGCGAGAGACTCAACACCAAACGGAGCTGGCAGCGAGGCGGTTCAGTCAGTCTGGCGATGCTGGAGCAGCAGCACAGGCTCTAGATTGACCAAGGACGCAGAGCGATGCCGATACGGTGACGGGGAGGAGTGACGCGCTGGCAGGGGACGGCGCAATTGGGCGAGGCTGGCGAATGCAGGTGGCAAAAGTTGCAGAGAGGAGGCTTCAGGCTCGTCGGTGAGGGTTGCAGAATCGAGGTTTTGGCATCTGGGACAGCTGGAAGCGGTCGGGACACTTGGCCGAGATGCAAGGCCAGCGCGCGGCTGCATCGAGGTACCTACCTACCAGGTACGTTGACCGGCTGGAGGTGCACCGTGCGCTCGTCGAGGTACCTCTTGCGCCAGAGTCTGCTGGTGAGGTACAAGGCAGGGGCCGGTGGAGGCGACGTGGTTTAGGGCGCTGGCGCTGGAGCAGCTGCTGGACTGGGCTGATGTTTAGCGGGATGGCAACCTTAAAAACCCGCTGGGGGGAGGGACCCTTCAGAAGGCCTGGAGGCTGCCCAGACAGGAGTCTGGTGTACCTCAGGGAGCTCAGGTTCGGTATCGCCAATCGATAACAGATCAGATACAACACCTCAGATCAACTCAAATAAGGTACCCTCTACTAGGCACCTTAGGTACGAAGGTAGCATGAACTGCATCAAGCTTCACTCCTCCGTTTAGTTCTGGTAGCCTTTTGTGGAAGATTGTGTAGGCAAGGACTTATCTCAACGACCAGTCCCTCGGCAATCTACGCGATCCCTGTGCTAGGCACCAAGATAGGTAGCCAGCATGAGATGCTTGATCGATGTACCACGCAGCCGAAAGTACTTTGGCAGGAAGTAGGTAGACGTCGGAAACGAGTTGCAACTGCTGACAGCTCTGTGGCCGACGCCGTGAGATAACGGACATCACCATCTGACCTACAGCGAGTCGCAAAGGCACACGGTCCTGACCATTAGCGAATGATCAAATTACCCTTTTTGACACTTGCCATGCCCTCGTCGTGGCTCTTGGGGACAATCCTCGCAGCGATGACTTTCAGCAAATCATAACAGACGTGAGAGCCGAAAGCGGGACGGGTTGCATATATACGACATGCAAGGAAGGGCACCAAGGTCCTGGCTGGAATAAGGGGCTTCCAGACTCCTTACATGCACTGTTGAAACAGCCTCAACAAGTGCTGCCTCCTGCTCCATATCCGGCAACCCGGTCCCAGCATTCATCTTCATCCATACGCACTTGTTCTCGTATGCGAAGCAGTGCTTGACCACCTCCCGCTATACCTACATATACCTACATGGACCGTATTCGTGACAGGCAGTCATAGAGTAGAGCTCCGGCGAGTGAGAGTAACAAGGGTAGTATAATTGCTTTCCGACTGCCTTGGGTGAGTGGCTACATGTACCTTACAAGGCGTCTACGGAAACCGGCTGTTCTTCAACATGGACGGCATCTCAGACGCAGACCTTCAGATCCTGCCAGCAACAGTGTCCCCCTACCCATACCCAAGACTGAGCGAACTAGAAACAAAAAGACTAACAATAAAACAAAGGACAAAATGGATGTAGGTAGAGCGCTCAAAAAAACTTGGTAGAAGTTCCGTTCTGCTCAAGCCGCTCAAAGATGTCGTTCCACATCTCCGGCAGCTTCCCCGGCGCCGGCACAACGTACTCCTTCTCGGTGAACTTGGGCGGCCCCTTGTACTTTTCCTGCTCGCAAAGCGCGTCCATCTTGCCGCAGTGGTCGCTCCAGCGGTCGCAGTTGGTCAGCCCTATGGGCGGAGAGCTCTCCCTGCACTTCTTGCTCTGCGCGTAGCAGTCGTTGACGGCCCTCCAGCACATGCGTGCGCTCGAGTACGGCTCGACGGGCCTGCCGCACCAGTTTGCCTTCTTGATCAAGCAGTCCTTGGGGATGAGGCCGTCAGTCTGGACGAGCCGGCCCGCGTTCAGGTCCTGATTGGGCTTGTTCCCCTTCGCGGGGGGGATATACACCTTGGGGCCGGGCATGGGATACGGAGGCAGCTTGTCCTGGTAGATGTCGAACGTGAGGCCTGGGGTCTTGGCGTTGACATACCCAGGGATAGTCGCTTGCTGTCTCCGAGGAATCTCCAGCGGACCACGTACGTCGCTGTCGACGAAGATTTGGGCGCAACCGAGGTAGAACTGCGGGTCGTCGCGATGGGCAGCCCAGTGCAGCGCGAGGATCTCGGGCCTCACGATGTAGTATCCCGCAGGCAGTCCCCTGGGAAGCCTCACGGAGAGCAGGCCATTGTTCTTGACAAGGCGGTCGACGCACCATTTCTGCGTCTTGGAGTCGTAGCCGTCCTCCCAGATCTTGAACCAGCCGCCACCGGCGGCGCTGTCCGAGAACATGTTGTCAACCTTCTTCAGGTACACGGCGCAGGGACCCAGGTGGCCAGGATCAATGCTACCGGGCTGCTGAGCATCGGGCCAGAGGCGAAATTCAAAGGTGAGCAAAGATCCTTTCTTTGCCGAACAAATGAATGGCACCGGATCGCCACCGTTGCGACCTGATGATATATGTCAATACCGAACCAGCTTCACTGCCATTCGGGCGGCCCTGGTAAGAGAAGCATGCTCACCACAAGCCATGTCTGAAGATGTGATGGGTTTGACCGGGTTGGTTGCCGTCTTGTCATCGTACGGCATCCGGACGCACGTCCCATCCCCTTGGTTCTTCTTGTCGATGAAGAGCGTGGTGAAAGTTGTGTGGGCACTTGCCCTGCAGGCGAGGCCCAAAAGCAAGAGGCCGATCCAAAGCTTCATATTGAAGATGTGATTAGATGAATGGTTTGTGTCAGCCTTGACAAAAGGACAAAGCAGGAGGGGGCAGCCGGACGACTTTATAAAGGAAGGGCGAAGAGGGTGCTGCTCTGAAACGAGAGTATGCCCGGAACTTGATCATCATGCATCCCTTAGTCTCCCCGATTAACATTACAGTTACGATCCAGCAAACCCTTTTCCAGAAGCATATACATAAGCAACGAAGCCGTCGTGCCTGGTGGCTTTTGGAAGCTATCCCACGAAAGATTAGAGCCCTTGATTTGCGCAGCCGGCGCCACCACGTCTCGTCTGCCGTTTACATTAGCCCCCCATCTGACTCGGCAATCTGAGAGTGGCCGAGGATGGAAACTCCTTGTCTTGCCAAGATGGCGCGCAGCAGGTCTTGAGACTGATATCTCGGGTTGAAACCGGCTGTTTGTCCCCAGCCGAGCCCCCCTATTGGCTTCCTATGTTCGGCTGGCGCTTCTGGCTGCGACTGTGTGACTCAACTTGATCAAGCCCCTCCAATGAGATAAACTTCCAGCCCAGGTAACCAACGGCGTGGTGGCACGCTGCTAGAAGGGGGCCTCAGGTAAGGGGCTGAGAATTTCAGGAGGAAAAAGGGAGCAGTGGTATGCCAACTCGGCGTAGCATCAAGGAAATCCCCCGAATCGATCGGACCGTGTGCTTCAACCGAAGTCGATCATGTTTCGAAAAGACTGTGGATGCGAACATCGGGGTCGCCAGTCGCCAACCACCATCAGAGACCGCAATCACACCATGGCCGGAACCAACAAAATGAGAACGATGAAAACTGTGAGTGGAGATTTCGTGAGAGGGGAAAAAAAGGAACAGCTTCAGCCATGATCAACTCTCTCACAAGCCAACATCCAACAGTTTGATACCCCATGCGGCACGCAGGCCCCTCCAATTATTCGTGCACTGGAGCTAGCCTCTCGCAGTCCTTTTTCCGAACAATGACAATGACAACAAAGCATGTCGCTGAAACCTCGGTCTCGGTCCTTGAATGTTGATATTCAATGTTTTTTTCTTCTTTCAATTCCTGTTTATGGTCCTTTTCAATCGTTATGGTACACGGTATAGTACACTCGTCATGACGTCGGGTATTAATGTTTTCGCTCCTTTGCCCCCCTTTTAAACACATTTACTCGTTGATCTTGGCGAGAATTCTGCAGTTCGGTTAGTCAACGTCTTTCCAGAGGCGACAGGGCAATCGCTAGAAAAAAAACTTACTCGCTGTCACGGAACAGCTGGTAGTCCTCCTCGCCAGACTTGACAGGCGAGCCACCAAACTAAAACAATGCCCAAGTCAGCACCAAGCGACTCCTCTGGCCGAGGCTTACACCTCGCTTCTGAATCATGCTAGACTAGGTAGCTGGGTACAGGTTCATCCATACCTGAGGAATCAGGACACGGTCGCCGACGGCCACGCTCATGGGGACGCGCTTGCCATCTCGATCCAAAGCTCCAGGGCCCACGGCGAGGACCTTGGCCTCGTTGAGCTTCTCGACGCTCGACTCGGGCAGGAAGATGCCGCTGGCCGTCTTGGCCTCGGCCTTGACGCGCTGGACGAGCACACGGTCCAGCAGGGGAGCGAGGGCGCGGATGTTTCGGACCGTAGACTGTGAATTGAGCGCGGTGAGTTAGCAGATCGTCTCCATTGAGTGCCTCCGGGTCGCAATGGCAGCGTGATCAGCTCCCAAGATTGTATGTTTGCAGGCGTATATCCAGCCTGAAAGGCTAAGCCAGCCCGGCAAGGGAGCTGAAGGGTTGCATCAAGGTTGCGTCCCAGTCCATTGGACAGAGGTCCCGGAGAGCATTGGGGGTTAGAAGAAAACAGGTGCCATACCATTGTGAATGACTGTGTGATTGGAAGCGAGGACTGCGAAGCTTGCAAAGAAAGGGTAGCGTCGAGGGCGATCTTGCGGATGAAGAAGCAAAAATATAGAGAAAAAGAGGCGGATGAGCTGAAGAATGCGGTTCGGATCGGCTACAAGTCGCTCTACTCTTCTAACGGCTTCCAGAATCAAGCATCTGCTTATTAGCCGGCAATTTTTTTTCTCTGCTCTTGCGGCCTTGTCGGTTCGGGATTTCCCCTCTTCCGAGGCTCCTGCTCCGCGATAGCTTCAGACAGCTCGGGATTGCCAACCCCGCCATGCTTTACCGAATTCGGAGCTCAACGCCCAAAGAATGAGAAAGTGACGATGAGGGGCAAGATTTGGATACGAGCACGGCGTATTACCTTAGTATTACCTACTACTAGTACCTAGATAGGTACTGTACTCATACGCGTAGACATGGACACAGGCAAACTGAGCGGACAAGCGCCGCGCTTGTTAATTGATGCCGGAGACAAAGGACATTGGAAATCATGTTCAACGACTAGTACCTTGTAATGGGTGAAATGCAAACAAAACGCAGACGCCGTCTATCCCTGTCGCCTCGACCACCAACCCACCATCACCTGTACATAATAGTATGCCACTTTGTAAATGTTTCCTTTATATGACCCTGAGGTTCCAGTTGATCTGCCAGTAAACACAATCCACACCACGTGTATGCACATAATCGAAAACCCCAAAAATTGTGTCGCATCTTGCTGTCACCGGTCCCTCCATGGAACCACCTGGTATTGTGCAGTTTCATCCTATGTGTATCCAAACAAAAAGAAGCAACGAAGAGATGGGAAAGCAAAGAAGAGACAAAAAGACGCCCAACCATATGTGTGGAATAAGTAGCGAGAAATAGAGGAAAGCAAAGAGGGAAAAGGCCAATTGATTGGGTGAGAGATATTGCTGAAGTGGCCGATAGAAAGAGCGAAAGAAAGCAAAGAAACCATGCTGGAGCGGGGGAAATCATGGTGAACAAGAAAGAATGGGCGTGGATGAAGCGCCACATTATGCCTTCTTGGGGGGAGGTGGTTGAGAGTTTGGCGGCTCCAGAATATGTGTGTGGTCAGAAGCAGGAATCACCTCTCCATTCTCCAGCTGCTGGCAGATGACCGTGTCGGCCACCCATGGCTCCTCCAAAATCTCGCTCATCTTAGCCCGAGTCTTGGGGTTGATGTCCAGCATACGGTGAATGATGTGACGGCTTTCGCGAGGAAGCAGGCGCAGGATTCTCCAGGGGCCTCGGATGACCTCCTTCTTTTCGCTGGTGACATTGACTCCCGGAATGGGAAGCTGTGTCTGTTCGGGCGCGGGCGAGGCATCCGAATCCTGCCTCTTATGCGACTGATCGGAGCTGTTGTTCTGAGGCTTCGGGTCGTCCTCGGGCAGAAACTCTCGAGGAGACACAGACGACAGGTCATTGGTGGACTTGGGTCGCAGGAGCTTGCGCGGATCGTGTCCCGGAGTCGGGGTGGCCGCGAAGAGTTTGTACGAGTTATCCGTCATGCGCGGGATCTTCCACGGGAAGCGTCGCAAGGTCATGCAGCAGAAGATGATGGCGAGGGACCATATGTCGACCGCCTCGGCGTTGTATTCTTTGGAATCGTACACTTCAGGAGCCAAGTATGGGTCAGACCCAACAATACCTGCAAGAGCGTTGTCAGCATTGCAAAGCAAAGAAACAAGTGCAGGTTTGGACAAACGGAAGAGGCTACTCACCTTTGGCTGGGACAGATCCGCTCTCAAAGGGATACTTGAACACATGGGCACTGCCGAAGTCTATAATCTTCATGATGCCCTTTTCGCTGACCACCACGTTGTCCAGTTTCAAATCTCGATGCGCAAGGCCCATGCTGTGCAGATAGGTGACGCCGTTGAGGATTTGCAAGAAGCTGCACCGAATTTCTTCGCGTGTCATTTTGCCCGTCATGACAATGGCGAAGAGGTCATAAGGGGCATACTCCATGACCTCGAACCAGCGTCCCTTCTCCTGCAATATGTCCAGCGTCTCAATGACGTTGCCGTGATGGAGAGTCGAGCCGACGCAGAACTCGGCCGTCACCTTCTTGTTGTATTCCCTCTCCGTCTCGTATGTGTGGCGCGCCCTGAACTCTTTGACAGCGAAGACGGTGCCGTCTTCCGTCCGACGCATGAGCCTGACCGACCCGCCGGCACCGGATCCCAGCACCTTGCCGAGCTTGCCGTATTTGGACGTCAGCCCGTGGTCGTCTCCAAAGGGCAGCTGCTGGGTGGAACGGCTGGTTTGGCTGGACTTGGAGGAGGACTTGATGGAAGACGGCGACAGATCCCGCTTCTTGTGGTGGGCAGACTTTCGGAAGAATCGCTTCAGGTCAGACATGGAGCCCGTTGCCCCGTGGCCATGCGCGCCATCGTTAGAACCGGAGTCATCGCTGTGCTTGGAGTGCTGAGCATACACCCCGAGGCTTGACTTGGAAGATGACGGCGAGGAGCCGTGCCCGTGCTTCTTCTTGCGGGAGAAGACGAATCGCGGATCGACTGTGTGGCGGGTTGGATGCTGCTGCTGAGGAGGCCGGCGGCCCTTGGCGTAGGGGTCGTTGGCGTCGCCTCCAGGCGCCATCGGCTTGGAATAGAAGTGCGACGCTGCGCTTCTGGAAGGGCTCGACTCACGAGACACGGGAACAGAGCTGGGCCCGACAGCGAAGATTTCCTTTCGATGGTGCGACCTAGATCCCCCGCGGCGATCGTCGCTAGACGAGGCCCTAGACATTACGTGGTCCGAGGATGCGGGTCGATGAGTCAGGACAATGCGATCGCCGCTGCGAGCGAGTGTCTTATCGGCAGAAGTTGAAGGCTGCGGAGTAATGATGTGGGATTCGTTAACGGCGGAACCGGGAGCACTGGTTGGACCAGCATCTCTATTTAACCTTCTGTCGGGGTCTGACCCAGCAGGCGTCAGAGGAGGAGAGGCCAGGGCGGAAAGTCGAGGGCTTCCGTGGGGAGACTGCCAGCCAGACGAGTTTGGCGTTGGCAGCCTCGTGGAGTCGTTCGAGGCATCTTCACGAGAGTTGATCTAAACAGACGAGTCTCACGGTTAGCAGCTGGAGCAAGGAAGAACGGACAAATAGAGACAAGGACAGGCCACGATAACGGGTAGAAGCTGCGTTTCAGTGTGACGGAGGCGTGGGGCGAATGGGTTCTGATTGCAGATACTCGGTGTCGATGGCTGGATGCATTGCATACAGCGGTTCCACGCCGCGACACCAAAAGTGACGCCGAGATCGTGAGGTGTCGCGAGCAGTCGTATCTCTGAGGCCGGTAACCATAGCCCGGGACATAGAGACAATCTGAACAAGGATCAAGCAGGGATGGACTGGGGAACGCAAGACGAGCAAACGGAGAGGCAACAAGGAGCAAGCAAGCCCAGCATCAAGCAGCTACCCATGACTCTCGGGAAATGTAAAAATCGACCGAGCTCTTACCCGTGATGCAGGCAAAGAAAAGGCCTCGAAACCAAAAGTGCTCATGCGGCGCTCCTGCAGGGGCAATCCGTGCATAGACTTTTGGAAAGCCTTGATCTGATCGGCGGCGACCTCATTGAAGGTATCGAAGCGGTCCGAAGTGTTGGTCGTCGTGGTCAAGGAAGAGGAAGCGGCAGGCTGCGCGACAGGAGCCTCGGGCTCAATCTCCTCCACGGCGGAGGAGAAGCGGACGGAAGCCGGGCCATCGCGAGGTTTGCTGCTGGTGCTGTCCTTTGATGGCGCTCGAGCGAGGGGAGCAGCAGTGGCAGCGGCGGCGGCGTCAGGGGGAGCGGGAGCTGCGTCTGTTTGTTCGAGCGACGATGCAGAGAACCAGGTTAGCTCTGGTAGAGGGCTAGGCGCAACACTTGATAGCTGTTTGCCTATATCGCCAACCTCCCAACGTGGCCGGCGGGGGAGGCGTTTGAGGCGTCGCAGCGGATGCGCCGGACGGGTGAAGGAACAGGAGAGCGAGACTCACCAGCAGCGGCCTCCTGCTGAGAGGACGGCTTCTGGGGCGCGGACGACGCCATGGATCAAAGACGCTGGGGTTTGAGAGTCTTTGCGTGCCGCAGAATTGAAGCAGCCTGAGGGCACGAGATCCTCGAGGCACAAGCAGGACCTTGTGGGAGTCGAGTTTTGAGGGCCCGGGGGGGCGGCAAGGCGGATAGCGCAGCGCAGCCAGCCCGTGGCTAGTGATGGCTTTTTTTTTTCCTTCCTTTCTTTTTCCAGTCGAGCTTCGGGTTGCGCGACGATGGGAAAGAAATGGCCGATGGTGGGGCGCTCTTGGGGAATCCGGGTCACTGCGGATGTACAGGTACATACCTACGCATCTTGAACCCGTTCACTTCTGTTATAAGGAACCTTAGGTAATACTAACAGCCACATATAGTACATACTGCGTACCTCACCCAGCAAAGCCGGCTGTCCAAGGAGACACAGAGGCAGTGTCTCAGTTAATATCCAGGTATGTACCTAGTACTATCTACCACCTGTGCTGTTCACTGCACTGCTGGGCTTGCAAAGAGGCGGGGTGAGGAGCGGTAGACGCAGTCGAGCCCCTTGAGAGCGCCATACCTTTCCCCTAGAAAAGACGAGCATGAAGAGGCTGCCTGTAGGTAAGTTCAACTGCATAGCCGCGGAAGTAAAACGGTACCCGGTGGGCTCTTGAGGGGCCTTGGCAGGCACCTGACTGGACAGAGCGCGCAGAAGTGCCTGATGCAGCATGTCTGAGGTGCGTCACCGGCACAGGCTTAGGTACCGGTACCCCAGCGACTCGGGGGAGGCGTGGTGCTAGCAATAGGCGGCCACATGCTTTCTCGCAGGCAGGAATTACCGGATTTCCTACAAGGGCAAGGAGCGATGGGCGAGGACGGAGCGGTCACGGGGTAAAGTACTGCGAGGTACTGCTATGTCTATAAAGGTAGGTACCTATAGTGAGGTAGGTACCTTACAAGCCCTGCCGTCTCCCGAGCCTGCACACTTGCAGCATAGGTAGAGGTACCTTAGAAATTGGGACGACAACGGCGTTTGTCTGGCGAGATGCCTCGATTGAGATGATGCTTCCATGTTTGCAACAAGCCGTCGGCTGCATTGACAGCTGTCGTCGCTTGGCACCTGCGGCTCGCCGTAGGGACAGCCTCCCCCTTTATGAGCCCCTCGCTTTCTTGTTACGGTCTTTGCGGACACTACTACGAGCCCGTGAACGCTGCTGGAGATGCTGGCCACGGCAGCAGGGGTCTCCCAGAAGCAAATCAAGGTGCTGTTGCCAGCGGCTTTCACTCGGCTCAGAGACCCCGAGGACTAGTACCTCTCCCCCTCCTTTGATGTATCGTGGAGAGCCCCAAGCCTGCATTCAGAGAATTGGGCAGTACAGGTTGTAACGCCCCACGATACATGCTGTAGCGGTATCGCCTCTAGCTCCGGCATCGCGGCAAAGGCGAGGTAGTACCTAGGTACCTACTCCTGGGTATATACTACTAGGTAGGTACTTGGAGATACAGGGACCGGGCGATTCGCCGATGCCCGACTCAGTCGCATCTACAGTACGAGTACCGCCTGGCTGTCCTTCGAGGCGCCATCTAGAAGCATGTCCAGTCCAGCCACTGCTGTGTGTCATCGATTGCCACTATAAGGTACCTAGGTATGGATCGGAATACAGTGCCTGCGTGTCGGACTCGGCAGCTACGGAATTGCCAAAGCCATGGCTCACAGATCCATGCCAGTCCAGGTAGTATTATATAGAGACTGCCGTTTCGGGTAGCATCGTGAAGGAGCGCCAATATCTGCTCCGAATTCGTTGCTGGGCCTTCATCCGGCTGCTGCTGGATCAAGCAAAGTGATGCCTCGGCACCGAGCAAGGGATGGCCTACCCGCGTCAGAAGCTGTGCCTCCATGCACCCGCACTTGTTCGGTGCCTAGGTACCTACCTACCTACCTACCTACCTAGTACTCAGTTATTAATAGGTAGTGCTATGCCAACTTTACTGCGACTCATCTCTATCCAAGGAACCAACCTGAAAGCTGGTTCTAATACTGCTCCATCCCTGTTTCGTTTTTGATTGGAGCAGCACCCACTCAAGGTACCTTATGGATAGTAGTAATAGTCGCTGTCCCGCCTCGAAGATGACCCCAAGCAATCCAAGGACCCGTCGACGATGCTTCCGTGGAGACACGGATACTACCACTAGTACTAGGTAGCTACCCTGCCGTATCGTACAATCGCCGATTGATGCCGCGGCCATGATAGGCGACTAGGATAGCGGCCGTTCAAACCGCTTCCCCTCTCTTGCTTGCTCCGCGAGACTGTCCATCAGCTCGTCCCTGATTCGTCATCTGCACGTATATCTCGCACATGACATGTATGTACGAGCATGTACATACATTGAGTGATATGGAGGACAACTGGCACCAAACAGGCAGCAAGAAGCTTGAAAGTGGGTTCTAGGATTGTCTCCTCGATCCTACATAGTATCACCCTACACCGTAGCCAATCACTCTTATCCTAACGGACCAGCTGTTCGGAATATGGATGGTGGGAAAGGGACTCGGCAGTGAGCAGTAACAGAATGCGCGTTGTTGCTAAGACCGGCTGAATCAGTGCCATTTCAGAAGCAGAAGGCCAAAGAGCCAGCGCTGTGCGAACGGGGAGAGACCGGTCATGCACAGGATACGAGCTACGGCATCCTGCTGATGTTTGTCTTCTGAAACAAATGATTTTTCCAGTCGACTTGCCCTTGCAATTTGTGTCTTGTGTTGTCTGTAGGTTTGCCTGCTGTTTCTGCTCCTCCAGATCTCTCAGACAGCCCACGACGAGCGGGCACTCCCTTGGCTCATCCTAAGACGTAGGGACCCATCGGTATGTCATCACAAGGTACCCTGTGCTCTGTTTGCACGACTGTAGCTTTCCGTATCTGCGACTTAACCGACGCAATTTGACCGTCTGACGGATGAGCCTCAGGGACTTCGGAGTGCTTTGGCTCATTGCCATAGCGATCGTACATAGACGAACAGAATGAGTGGGATACATTCTTCCTCACATGCACTCACCCGACAGCTGCATCATTGGTGTGTGAAGGCATACCTTATGAGGCGGGCAATACCAACATCAACACGATACCAGGGTTCATTGTCGTATCATAGGTACAACTGCCGACATCTGCATCAGCTCACTCTTCCGCTCTTTGTAAAGCACCTCACACGGCGACATTCCTGCGTGGCATCTTTTTTTGGATACTGTCGACATGTATCGTGACGCTGTGGACGCCGTGCCTTCAATTGTTGCAAGAATGGGAACTGATGGCTTCAAGTGGGACCATGATGTCGATTTGCTGTGCCACGCGTGTCAAGGACCCTTTCTTCACTTCCTACGTAATAAACCCGAGGGAAAGACTTATTTCATACGTAACTATGATATGTTAGGTGAACTAGACTAATAATTAGTCTAAGAATCAAAGTGACACTTGAAAATGACCGTGAAACAGTCCACTTCTGAAGGATAGAACATCACGTAATAGAGAACACCCCAAGAGCAGAGCAGCGGTCTGAGCACATCAGTCCTGAAACATACAACAAAAGAACACGAAGCCTTCCGGATAGGCCTCCGAGGGGTCGCAGTGGTGGTGCAGCTCGCTGGACAGCTCCCTAGATGCCCAGGAACTTGAAGGAGATCCCCATTGCTTCCAGCCTCTCCTCCATATACGACATCACCGTCCGCAGGCCGGACTTCCCGCCACGACATGCGTCGCTCTCAATGTGCGCCAAAAGACCGCTGAGGGTCGAAAAGTGCCTCATGCTTGGCTCGTTTCCTCGAGACTTTGCTTGAAAGAGAAGCGAAGGGCAATGGAAAACCTTGGGTGTGTGAGCTGGGGAGTGCATGTGCTGCTCCAGGGCTGTTCGTCCGACGAAGCGACGCTTGCTGTTGGGGCACAGAGGGCAAAGATAGATGGCGTCCGCCGCCAATTCGGTACAGATGCTCTCCGAGTCGGAATCCTCAGACACTGCCAGCCGCTGCCCAACAAGGCTCGCAAGATCGAGCTGGCTGCTGCTTGGGGTCAGTAGCACTCCGTCGCCCGACTCTGTGCTTGGCGTCATGACGCCCGAGTGACTCGGCGAATCCTCTTCGTCCTCAAGGCCGGCCCATCCTGAGAGCTCAGCAAGGCCGCTGGAACTGGTGATGAGGTTCTCGCGGTCTTGCAGGTGGATCAGCCTGTTGAGCTTCTTTCTGTCCATGCCCGAGGAGCAAGAGCCGCTTTCCATGTGAGCTACCATGGCTGACGGGCTTCGGAAATGCGTGTTGCATTTGGCACCGCAAAGCTTACCTGCCAGGCAAGGCAGGTTGCTGATCGGGCAGTGGATGACAGACTTGAGGTGCTGCTTCAGGGCTGCTTTGGTTCTAAACGTCCGGTCGCAGTCTTCGCATCGTGCTGGCTGGGGCTGGGGCTTGGCTGGCTTCTTGACATGGACCTTGTTCTTGAGGTGGTCGTTGAGGGCAATGTAGTTTTTGAAGTCCTTGTCGCAGTCGCAGCAGCGAAAGTCAGTGGCGTGCTTAGGGTCTCGGAGATGTTCTTGCACGGCAGCTTGACTCTCAAACAGCTCGCCGCACTCGTTGCATCGCCAACTGCCAATGCTCTTCAGCGGCGTCTGCCCGCATGTCGGAGACGACAGAGCCCTGTGTTGCAGCAGAGACTTTCTCGTGCGAAGGCATCTGTTGCAGTCTGGGCAGATGTGCGCGGCCACGGACTTTCTATGATCTCGTAAGCGCTGCTCGCTGCCAAATGCACGATTGCATGAGCACGCTATGGACGACATTGCGGAGTTGGTCTTTGCGCGTCGTATTTCAGAGATGTAATGGCGACTCAAACTTGATGATGTTCCCAAGGCAGAATGACGAGACCTGATTCTGGTGGGATGAAGAATTGGGGGAGCACCGCCGTTTTAGGCTGCCAATGTGCGGGAGGCCTACAACTGCTCGAGGTCTGTTTTCAGGCCAACAACAACAAAGCCGGAGTAGTAGATGTGCGTCAATGAACCTTGTTACTATCAAGCGCGCGCCATGGCTTTGCACAAGCCACAATTGTAAGCGAAAGCGGTGCACCGAGTAATTAGCGATGATAGCTGGCACAGATGCTTTCGTGACGTCGATTTTAAGCATAGATGCCCGAAGCAAATTGGTAGGCGATGTAGGTTGAGGAGATGAGACTAGGCCTGCAGTCCGATCCTCTGGTTGGATGGCGTCTCTCCCTTCAAATGTCTGACAAACAATGTCCCATCCGATTCGATTTCAGGCAGCGGCTGGTGCGTTTTGAGGAGCATCATCGGCGTGGTTGGCGAACTGCACGATATGCCAAGGCAGGCTCTTGCGGCCAAATCCTGACATGTCACGTTGGGCACATGTGCCTTGTGCCTCAAGATGTCCTATACACCGGCCTACCTGCGCCTGTTGGAACGTTAGTGGGCGGCAAAGGAAAGGAAGGGGGGGAGAATCGAGCAGCGTCAAAACGGGGGACGAAGAGAGAAGAAGAAAAACAATGGCCGAGGTTCTATTGTATGTCTTGCTTCGGATGTTCATCGTACATCTTGACGCATCCTGTTGTGCTCCGATACTTGGGCCTGTTGTACAAATCATCCGTTATGCTGAGCACAAAAATCCACCATCAAACGCCAGGTTTGTTTGTTCTCCTTCCCTTCCATTGTTCTTGGTATCCTTAAGCCACCACGTTGATTCCTATTGATTTGCACTGGAAGATGATGGACCTGCAGAGCCCCTCCAGCGAGAGGCCAGACAGCCGAAGTTCCGACTGCTTGATTTTGGCGATTTCGTAGATGTGTTTGAGGCTGATGGTGCCGACTGTTTCGTGCCCGGGCTTGCTGACGCCTTTTCTGTTCCCCTTCTTGCCCACTGGCGCTCCCACTGCATTGAGCAGCAGCCACGATGTCTGCGGTGTCCGGACGTCGAAAGTAAACGATCGGTCTGGTCGGACGGTGACCCGGCACGGCATCGGCGTACCAGGCACGATGTGTGCTGTCCTTGCGTTGAATTCCTAGACCAGAGTCAGACAGAGTGCAAGGCGACAACAGAGAGACACATGCAGCGACGGACCTTGCAGAAATCCATAGACTTGACACCCTTGCTACCAAGCGCGGGACCGACGGGAGGGCTGGGACTGGCCTGGCCGGCTCCCACAATCAGCTTGACAATGGTGTCGACACCGGCTGCTGCGCCCTTTGCTTTCGACATGGCTGGAGCGGCTTCACGGGAGGCGGAATGCTGGCGTTTTGGGCGAAGCGCAATATCGTCTCGTGCTCACGAGGGGAGTTTTTTGTAAATCTCGAAGCAACTCGCATCTGCAGATGAATGGAGAGCGATAGCACTAGTACAAATGCAGAAGTAGCGCCACTCGTCGTCTCCTGCAGAATTGCTCCAGGCCCCACTTGATTCTTCTTATCGATAGGTAGCATATGGCAAAGCCGCCAAAATTTTTGGAAGCAGAGCCATCCTTCTCTAACCGTAATATCACCACCATACAACTGAGGTTCTTCTTATCATATCGCCTCTCCCCCCATACCATTCGTTCCAGGCGCTTTCCGTGCAGTGTGGCAGCTGATTATAACTGGAATACTGAGCGTCACTTGAGCACATCCCTTTGTTGTATCTTGAACCGCGCACGCCCATCCAGACCCGCACTTCGACAAATAATCACGATGCCGTCGACACACAAGAAAGACAAGCCCTGGGACACCGACGACATCGACAAGTGGAAGATTGAGACTTTTACCGCAAAGGACAATGCAGGCGGGACATTTGCCGAGGAATCATCATTCGTCACGCTCTTCCCAAAGTACCGCGAAGTCTACCTGAAAGAGGTGTGGCCGCTCATCACCAAAGCGCTGGAGAAGCACGGCATTGCCTGCACGCTCGATCTCGTAGAAGGTTCGATGACGGTCAAGACGACGAGGAAAACTTTTGATCCAGCTGCCATCCTGAACGCGCGCGATCTGATCAAGCTGCTGGCACGAAGCGTCCCCGCTCCCCAAGCCGTCAAGATCCTCGACGACGGCGTCGCCTGCGACATCATCAAGATTCGAAACCTCGTGCGGAATAAGGAGCGCTTCGTCAAGCGCCGACAGCGGATACTGGGGCCCAACGGCTCTACTCTCAAGGCACTCGAGCTCCTGACGGAGACGTACATACTCGTGCACGGCAACACGGTGTCGGCCATGGGGCCGTACAAGGGCTTGAAGGAGTTGCGGAGGGTGGTCGAGGACTGCATGAACAACATCCACCCCATCTATCACATTAAGGAGCTCATGATCAAGCGCGAGCTGGCCAAGGACCCCGAGCTGGCCAACGAGAGCTGGGATCGCTTCCTACCAAACTTCAAGAAGAAGACGCTGAGCAAGCGACGCGTGCCGCTCAAGGTCACGGACAAGACCAAGAAGGTGTACACGCCATTCCCGCCGGCGCCGGAGAAGAGCAAGGTGGACAAGCAGATTGAGAGCGGCGAGTACTTCCTCAGTAAGGAGGCCAAGGACAGGGCGGCGCTCAGCGACCGCAAGGAGAAGCAGAAGCAGGCAAAGGATGACAGGGCAAAGGAGCGGGCCGCGCAGTTTGTGCCTCCCGAAGAGGATAGGCCCAAGAAGAAGCGGAAGAAGAGCTCTGAGTAAGCAGGCGCTGGCTGGGTTTTTGGATTTGTATAGAAGTTGTTGGACGGTTAGGAGCGTTTGTTCATCCTTTTGTTGAATGCTAAATGAGTCATAATATTCAGAAAACGATTACCTGAAAAGACCTTACCCTGGGTCCATGCCAGTCGAATGTCCCCCAAGACTTGATCATGTCTACGAGCAAATTGGGGGCATGGCCTTTGCAAAGTGAGCAAAAGTGAAGCCTGATGTATGTATGTGCACTAATCAAAGGTAGGTAGGCTATGTCTGTTTGAAACGTGTCATCGTATCTTTTCTTACATAGAATACATCGTCTTACATGTGAATACGTATATCTAAACTCCGTCTTTGACTTCCAAGTTGTTGCTCGCCATGTTCTCTCCATTTCACATCTTAGTGAATGCAATAGCACCCCTGCCTCTGGTTACCTCCCTTCCCTCCTGGATCAAAAACTCAAAGTCTGGGAGAGGAGCCGTCGGAATCAAGCTCAATCACCAACTTGCCAAACTGCTTTCCTTGCTCCATCTCCTCAAACAGCTCGTCGATGGCCTCGATGTTGCCCAGGCCCTTGATGGTCTTGCTAATGACGGGCGCAATCTTCTTTTCTTTGACAAAGGCCACCATGTCCTTGAATTCTTGCTTCGAGCCCATCGTGGTGCCCTTGAGCTCCACGTTGGCCAGCACGGCCTGCATCACCCAGTCCATCTTGGGAGACACCGTCATGCCGTACTGGGAGATGATGCCGCCGGGCTTCAGGAGGCGAACCGTCTTGGAGACGAGCTTTCCGCCAGCGCCGTCAATCACGGCATCAAGATATGGCCGATCCTGAGGGAGGAGGGCGGCCAGTTCCTTTTCCCACGTCTCGGACTTGTAGTTGACGCCTCCCCTTGCGCCCAGGGCCTTGGCCCGCTCAAGCTTGGCCGGATCACCGGACGAGACGTAGACGTTGCTGCCAAAGGCAACGGCAAACTGGAGGACCGCAAGCGCAACGCCACCGCCGATGCCCGTGACCAGGATATTGCTTCCCGGAAAGGCGGCACCGCTCTTGGTCACCAGAGCCCTCCACCCCGTAAGCCCCACGAGCGGCAGCGCGGCGCCTTCGCCGGGCGAGAGATGCTCTGGGGCCGGCTCAACCTCGTCCTCGGGCACGACAATGTAGTCCTGCCCAGTCCCGGCCTCGGTGATCTTGCTGCTACCAATGACGGCGAACTTGCGCGGGTCTTCCGGTCCGGCGGGGCTAGACTCCCATCCTCGCATGGGCGTCAGCAGCACGGGCTTGTGGAGTAGGTCCTTGCGAGTGACGTCGGGCCCGGCCTCGACGACGGTTCCATAGCCGTCTGCAAACAGTGGCGAGGTGAAGGAAATGGCAGGATATTGGTGACGGCGGATGAAGAGGTCTCTGTGGTTGAGCGCCACGGCAGAGATGCGGACGAGGAGCTCGCGAGGTCCGGGAGATGGCTTGGGGACGTCCTTGATTTGAATGCTACGATTGGAGCAACGGTGAGCCAATTGATGCTTGATATCAGAACGATAGTCACTGGGGGGCGATTGAGCAGTTGAGCTGTTGAGACTCACGGATAGTAGACTTCCCCAGGCTTACCGCCTTCAATGTGCTTGAGAGTAAGGATTCGCGGCATCGTTGGGGTTGAGCTGAGCTGCAGTTGGTGGAATTGGCTCAAGGAAAATAGGTTTCCTATTTCTTTGTCTCTCTCCCTCTCTCTCTCTTTGAAAAGCAAACTGAATGAAGAATCAATAGAGTCAATTCCTTCTCCTTTGACTCCCTATCTTCTACGTATATCCTTTGTGCTTCTCTTTTCTTTGACATCCGGGCGATTGCGCAATCAGATTTCCTCTGGAGGGCTCACTTATACCATCCCCCTAATGACATCAACCCCGCCACGACTCACTGCGTTGACCTCGGTTAGGTACATTGGGGCTGCATTTGTCATCCAAATCCTTCACCAACAACTTTGCCATGTCCACGACCAAGCCTAATCAGGTTGTTGAGTTTATGGTTCACATTCAGTATCTTGGCTATTATCACTATCATGTCGACTTTGTTCATGTCTTTTTAGGAAAACTATTGGTCGACGATGTGAGGGCCACGTATTGTAGGATTCCCCGGCCAAGGTCTTGGCCTTGGTCCAGTTTGGTACCGTCGCAATTGGCCATTCGAAGGCAACTCCCGTCTCCAGCGGCACCTTCCGTCTGCAGTAGTATTGGTAATGGTAAACACCCCAATCCCGCCAAGATGACCGACAGCCGCTCCCGTCTTCCACCTCACACTACCCACCCAAGAGACAGACTCATGTGTCGTCTTTGCTTCAGGGCAGCCTTTCCGACTGTTTGGAGTTCAGATATCCAACAAATTAGAGTCGTCGCCAGCATCAGCATCCCGCCAGGCATCATGACAAGCGATTGCAACGCAAGCCTCCCCAACAGTTACAAGTGATTACCGCAGGTACGGATACTACATGCAGCAGCGTCGCATCCATCACACGGGACGCGGTGACGGATCTGACGGATCTGGCGAATCCGACGGGCTAGTGCCGTGAATCCTACCGTCGCACATCCTCCGCTTCGGGTCGGTCAACCGGAGAGGAGTCCGGGCTCGGCCTCGGCCTCCTTTGGCGACCGCTTAGAAACCCGGTTGCCGTGCCCATCAACCACCTACCCCGTCACATCGCAAAGTCTCGGTTGACGTTGGGTGTTTTCACGAAGAGTTATAGTCTGATGCTGAGCTTACCAGCGCAGACGATCTCGCCGTACCTACCAACCTCTAAGAGTTGTTACGGCCGCACCGGGAGCGCGAATGCCTCTTCTCCTACCGTCTCCGAACTCTGTTGGCTTTTTCGCTGATTCGCCCACTCCACCATCCGGGTGCTCGACATGAGAATAACCTGTGGCTGAAGCAGGTTTCAACTCGTTCAAGCATCCAGGACCCCGAGCGGGGATCCCTAGCCCACCAGCACTTCATCAGGACTTGGAGGAAATCTCCGACTGTCAAGGCTAGTTTAGTCAATGCCGTCAGCGCCACAGGATGGCCCGGGGAACAAGCCCCTTATAGGAGACTCAGGACAATCAAGGCGGGCATCGGCCTCGGCAAGTGCTGTTATTTCGTCGCGAACTACCGTAACATTCTCTCCCGACATGCTCGACTGACTTGGCGCAAAGTTGCATAGCATTCACCTCGACATAGCGACTATTAAATACTATCTCTGGCTTCGCCCAGGCCGTCAGTTTTGATCTTCGCACTTTGGGCCACGGCCGACTCGCTCATCGGGAGAACACTGGTAGCTGGGGCTACTCTTTCCGGTCTAGGGACGCATAATAATTCACTGGAGGAAGAATGCGACAGCTCAATCTCTCTGTGAAAGCAGCTTGCCCTGTCATCTTCAACGTGGCTCAAATACATACAAATCGGGCTGTTATGATGCATGCAAAGGATATCTCTTCCCTCAAAAGGGCAACGAGGTGTCAGAACGTTAATAAAGGAACAAAGATGGCTCAACCCGTCTGCTGAAACCCGCCCTACACGCCACGCACGCCATGGTCGCCGAGAATTGCGCCTCCTGCCTCCGGTCCGTCGACGTCGGGGTCTCGGCGATCGTGGCCAATAACAAGGGGGTCCACTAAAACAAAAGTTGTTCGGCGACTCGTTCATTGAGCATTTCTGGACTTTGATTCTTGATCGGGGTCCTAGCAATCGATGCAAGCCATAGGGTAAAACGGTGAGCCAGCGGCTGTCGGTATTGCAGGTCTCACTCGCAACGTGAAGCCCGAGTAGAGTCGCCCCCTCAAAGTTCCTCACAGTGGCCGACGGGCCGGCGACTGTTGTATCTCTTCGACAGAGGCCTGGTGTCAACCGTTGATGCTGAACGAATCTGTATATCAATCCCCGAGTCTCCTTGTGTATCTTGCCATTGTTATCAGAACAGCCATCCTACTCGAGAGAAGGTTTTCAAGGGCCGCGTGAGACTTTCGGTGCACGTCTTGGACTGTATAATTCAACCGCACACGCTCATACCTTGCCGTTCGCTCGCCTTTGGAGTTGTGTTATTTCGAATCCATCTTGAACGATTTCGCCATGACGACAACGTTTCTTTCCGGGGCTGCCTTTGGTGCAGCTATGATGGCGGCTTCCTTTCACAACCCTGCCATAGTCATCGCTCAGATGAAGTTTGAAAATTGGCACATGATGCAGGCGTTTCTCGCCGCAACTGCAAGCAGCGCGTAAGTCCTTCCACACGACTGCAGGATATCGTCTCCAGGAGGCTCCATGTCTGCAAAGCTGACCATTGATGAACAAAGAGCCATGTATGCCGTTGCAGATCGCCTCGACTACGTCAAATTGAAGCCCAGAAGTTCGTCTCCGTTAGCTCTCTTCTCCAAATATGACGGCAACATCATCGGTGGCGCGCTCCTCGGTACCGGCATGGCGTTGTCAGGGTCCTGCCCGGGAACGCTGTACGCTCAACTGGCTGCTGGCGTACATACCGGCTTTCATGCCCTCAACGGAGCCATACTTGGCGGACTCTTGTGGACGGGACTCCTGTCCAAGGTCGTCAAGCAAAGGAAAGAAAAAGCAAAGGCCGACCCCATTACAGTGACTGCCAACGATCAACTTGGGTTGAGCAGAGGCGTCACATTGCTTCTCTTCGAGGCTGTGTGCCTTTCGGTCCTCGCAGTGACGACATTCTACACCCCCAAATTCCCCGGGGCCAAGATGGTCGGTACGGCAGGCGGCTTCCTTATCGGCCTCTCACAGCTCTTCTCCCTCGCCACGAGGAGATCCATGATAGGCATCTCCACCGTCTATGAAGAGGTTGGAAACTATTTCTGGTGGTTGACCAAAGGCGCAGAGCCCAGTGCAAAGCCCACCTCCTACAACAGCATTCTCTTCGCCGGCGGGGTCACGGCCGGAGCCTGGGGGCTGCTCCAGGCCGTGCCTTCGCTGGCAAGTACGCCTGTCTTTGAGGCGCCTCCACTGCTGGCGATGGTAGGGGGTGCGCTCATGGCCATAGGAGCGCGGATGGCCGGCGGCTGTACTTCTGGACACGGCATTAGCGGCATATCACTGCTGTCGTTGTCCAGTATGATTACGATCGCAAGCACGTTTGCTGCAGGAGCTGTTGTTGCGCCTTTGGTGTATTGAGGAGTACTGCAGAAGAATGTCCTCCACTACGCTTGCTCTGGTGATGAGGTGGGCGAGTGTTACATGGCAGCCCCTTGAACAACCCAGTGCCGGTTCACTCATCCGAAGGACCCTGGTTGTCGGAGACGTGATTCCCGGATCCCTTCTTTGCCGTCACCTCGATTTCAATCTTCATTTCGTCTAGCATGAGTGCGGCCTGCACCATTGTCGCCGCTGGACGCACATTGCCTAGCCACTTCCTCAATACCGGCCAAACGCATCGAAAGCTATTGCGGTCCGGAAGAATGTATTTTACGCGGACGACTTCGCACATAGAGGATCCCGCTTCTCTGAGAGCCTTGTCGATATTGATCATAGTCTGCTCCGTCTGTTCGACAATGTCTCCAGAGATCTTGCCAGTCTCATAATTGTAACTAGAAAACAAGCATTTGTCCATTGCAGATTAGAATAGGGTTGGGGATGAATAGAGTCGCAATCAAAGGGATGGATCTCACCCGGTAGTTCCTGACACAAATACCCAGTCATCTATGACAACAGCCCGTGAATAAGCAATCTCCTCTTCAAACTCGGAGCCAGATGTGATGAGCTGTCGGGGCATTGTGGGATCTCCGTGGCTGGATTGGTCGACAGCTTGATAAAGAAGGAGGGATATGCGGTGCAGCAAAAGAGGATTGAGGAAATTAACCATCAATGCGGATACAGACTCACACGATATTCTGTCGCCATGTTTTAGCGTTGACTCATCCATTTCCAGCCAGGCATTCGAGCACGCCCTTTGCGATGGTGGAGATGTGATTAATCGATAGAGCGGCAGCCTTGTGTATTCCTACACTACCGTAATCTCGTAAAATTCCATGAAGCCAGTCACTCGCCTGTGATATGCCAGTTCGAGCTTGGTGATACATGTATCCTGAGCCACCCACCGGGTCATGGGGTGGCAGTTGAAGATGGAGTGACTTGATAGAGCAATCCAACCGCTTCCCGGGCGATTTTGAACTAGTAAAACTACCATTATACCCATATTCCAGAATAAAAATTTGATCCGTAATCGAATCTATATCACCTCTGTTGTTTTTGCCTTCTCTCTTATCTGATCAGATAGATACCTGTGATGGTAAACATCCTCCGTGAGCCGTCTTAACTGACATGTGATCCGCCCATTTTCCCAGACCCCCTCAATGCCCGTCATTGCCATCGTCATCATTATTGTACAAACAAGGTAGGAATATACACAGAGACGGATATAGCATCTGGCTGCATCCGCACTTACTGGCTCGTCAGCTCCTTGACCAATGCCGCGACCGACTTCCTGTCCACATCTTTGCCCTCCAGGGCGCCATTGACACGCCTCATCACGTCTCCCATCAGAGACTTGCCAGCCGCGCCCGCACCCTTGGCAGCCTCAATCGCCTCGTTGATGAGGACCCTGATCTCGGCCTCCCCCATGGTCTGCACGCCGCTCGCCGCAATGTACTCGTCCAGGATGGAGATCTGCTGCTTCTCCTTCTGCACCAGGTCGTCCCGCCCGGCTGCCTGGGCGTCCGCAACCGCGTCCTGCGCGCTCTTCTGCAGCTTGCGGATTAAGGCAACCAGCTGGACGTCGGTGCGGATCGGGGACGTCGTCTTGGAGGCGTTGAGGTTCGCGGACATGATGGACCGGAGCACGGAGAGCCTGGGCGCGTCTTTGGCGCGCATGGCGGCCTTGAGCTCGCCCTTGAGCTTCTGCAGCAGCGGCGGCGGGGCGTCAGCGTCTGCCGAGTAGGATCGAGACGACCTGGACAGGCATTGCGTCCGGCAGAGGCGCGGCGGAGCTTGTCGCAGGCCTCGAAAGGCGGTCAGCAGAGGCATCGGTGACCTTGAGGCTGCCATTGAGTCGGCGTGAGCGCGGCGAGTTCGAGCGTCTGCGAAGAAGTAGGTAGTCGAGCGGTGGCGGGCAATCGAGGTAGGCGACGAGATGGATGGTCTGGTCCGATTGGGAGCTTTCAGCCATTGGGCGAGGGAGGGACAAAGGCAGAAAAGAGCTACATACGAGTACTACTAGTATTACTAGTCGGAGGTGGAAAAAAAAAAGGGCAGCTCCAGGGTAGGTACCTAGGTTCGAAACCTGGCCGCAACCGCAACCCCAAGCTGCAGTGGAACCTGTCCGCTCTCTCTCTCCAGTCTCAACCACATTATACTCGGTAAGTTACTTGGCAAAGACATCAACATAGGGCATCTACCTTCCATTCAGTTTCTAGCAGGCACAAATAGACATAGATGTAAACCTCTCTGCGTAAGGCACGAAACGTTTCTCAAAGCCGCGTATTGACTATACATTGCCCAGAGATGCAAACTTGCACTGTCGGTGTACGACCAAAGACTTTGTCTGCACAAAACCACACCTCCTGGCTACCTATAGGTATAGAATGGCAACCCTGCCAATGCACTTGAATGGACACGCAAGGTGGCATTGAAAGAAAATGACAACGCTGAAGCCATGTACTAGTCCTATCCATCATCAAGCCCGCATGAAGCTCGCTCCAGTCTCGGCGTCAGCCCCATCCAGGGTACCCTCCATGGCCCTTAACTCTTGGCTGACCGGAATGCCAAATGGCACGGTGAGGCAGTGAACATCTGTCTCCAGCTTGGACACTGGGCAAACGCATGGCAAGCTGGAGCTCTCCATGTCCCGCTGGCCTCCTTGCGGACCAGAGCATACCCCAGAGTCCCCGATGGTAATACTAGTGCCTAGCTCGTCTTGCGACCTTAAGGCGCAACTTGTCCTAATCATGTCTCAGTGCGTTGGCCTGTCTGCAGCTTGTTAGGCATGAATGCGTATCCTGCACCAGAACAGAGCTTGGAACAGTACGGAACACATCCCAGACATACCCATTAGACTTGGGCCCTTTTTGCGGCCTGACGCCCCGAAAGGTGAAATGCTGCACCTGAGTGGATTCCCTGACGCGGACGCGGACGTGCTCGCCCTGAGCTATCGTGCTGAAGATGTCGCTTGCCGCTCAGGGTCAACGGCTTGGGCTTTCATGGGCAACGGCTTCGCTTCCTACTCGTTCCCGGCTGCTCGCGTCGCCTCGATTCCGTGATGTTGGTAACGAGGTTAAACTGAAACTGGCCTGGTAAGGTATGCGTAGGGGGGATGGGCAGGTTTTGCGACTCTGTAGCCATAGTCTGTGGACAGGCTTTGTTCTGCCGTGCGTGTTGTCTCATGTCTTCGCGTTTTTCCCAGGCCCCTGAACTGGTAGAATTGACCTCAATACAATGCGCACCACTTCTCTATTCTTCCTCTTCCTCTCTTCCGCTTCCCTGTACACCAATTTCTTCTTTTCTCTTCATCCAAGCCTCGTCATAACTTCGACAAGGCTATCAATTAAGAGAGAAAAGAACAGTGTGTTTTTTTCTATTTATTTTCTTTTTTTGACCCTTCAATTTTTCCGGCAGCGAGCTGCCTTGTGCAGCCACCGTCCAGCCAATTTTCCCTGGACTTTTGACGCAGGCATGCGAAGAGTGGGACGGAGGACGTTGGTACAAGGGCATCAGCACCTCTCGCGTATGCAAGATGCCTAACAACCGTAGGATCAGCAGGTGAACAGCTGCAAGTAGGAGGAGGGAGGCAAGAAGAGGAGGAGGTTAGGAGGTGAGGAGGAAGAGAGAGAGAGAGGAGAGGAACAGCGGCAGAAGAAGGAAGAAACAGAAGATACCTCACCTACCCTGAGCAAAGCTCGGGCTCTTGGTCGTCTTTGCCTTAAGGGCCTCGCTGGTGGACACTTTGGGTTCATGCCAGTCTGTGAGGTACGCATACCCAGTACCTGGCGACTGCATAAGGTAAGGTAGTACCTGACCTAGCCAGTGCAGCCTAGCTCAGACACTTGCGAATCAATCGACTCCCCAGTGCTCTGTAGCATTTGAGAAATAGGCAAGGTAGTAAGGGAGGGCGTCGTCTCTTCCGACCAGAATCCCGTCCTATGTATGCTCTTCTAAGCCCGTATCTCGTGTCGTATCGCCCGTGGAGATGATGGAATGTCTTATCGATTGGGATCTTGCCTCACTCTCGGTCCGTTTCATGCACCCAAGGAGCAACTGCCTTCCTAGTAAGTGACTGCCTGCCGGCAAGCGGAGAAAGATCTGACGCTTATTGCTGAGGCAGGTACCAGATGCTAAGGCGCCACCTGCCTTCCCCAGATCCACCCCGAAACCTTCTTCCAACTGCCCATCTTCTTCCCTTTCTCCCGTTGCTTCCCCCCCTCCTCCCTTCCCCTTGCGTCTTCTGCCTATTTTCATCAGATTCTCAACCTCAATTCCTTCAGGCCAATCACCGCTGCCTTCACTCTCGTCTTCCCCGGCCATCGCTCGACCTGGCCATTGACGTATCGCGGCCGTCCTGGCGTTGCTGATTAGCCGTTTAGGTGAACCCACCCCTGGCTGAGCAACCCTTCGCCGGGGCGCCTTGTACAAGGCTTCCCCTTGCATGGATTCCTAGCTTTGGAACCCTTCCCACGATAGCTCTGTCTGCCCCCGATTCAAACAATCCGCCTTCAAGCCCTCGAGGCAGGCTCTGCATCGTCTCTTCAATTGCCAATTGCACAGTGCGGCCGCAGCTCGAGTCACTCCATTATTGGTGCGGCTTCCGTCCAATGAAGACATATCTGCGGTTGTCCTTGGTAAGTCGCCATTGTCCCAACCCCCAGGCTCTCCGAAATCGTTTGATTTTGACTTACAGAGGGAAGTAGGTCTGCAGTTGGATCGCCGACCTTCGGTTAGCCAGATTACTTTTGACTTGAAACAGCTAGTGTTGGCTTTGCTCACCCTATACGACGAATTGGTGGCCTCGCTTCTAGCTTGAGCTACCAGGAGCTGGAAGTCCTCCAGAGGCATACTGGAGTTCCCGCCGCCGAGCCATGTCAGCATGGTCATTCCCTCCCGGTAAACATCAATGGCTTGATCAGCGAGACGTACCCTCGAATATGCGTGAAGGGATACAGGCCCATCGAATAAAGCAGTTGACTGACATTGCTGACGTTTAGGGCACCAATCGCATGATCACGGGGATCTGAATCCAGAAGTGTCAGAGGGGAGCTCCCAAGCAATCTGATGGCAGCTCAAGTTTCGTTTCAATGACATACCGGTTGGCCAGGGACACATTGGCAGAGTCAAAAGGCGCGACTCTATGTCAGTGAAGCCGGCGTTTCTCATCCAATCTTTGAGGCGAAGAGCTGCCCGTGGGTCCTTTTGAGGATGTAGGGCGTCGAGGTATCCGCGAGACCATCTCGAAAGTGCGTGATCTACGTCGTTAACCAAACACCATCGCGTTGAAGCGCCCAAACAGGTCAACTTACCTGGTGACAGAGTTCCATTGTCTGACTGAGCATTGAAATATATCTCAACAAGTTGACACCAACCACCTGGCAGCAGAACGCGGTACATGTCTTGCAAATAGCTTGGCCAACGGGTCGCGTGGATCCCTCCAGCCATCATCTGGCTGTGAACGACATTGAAATAGTTGGAGGGAAACGTGAACCTAGGCCATGACGACATGGTCAGACGAGACTCTCTCTGTTATTGAGCAAAATCTTCAGTAACTCACTCTCCATTCAGATCATCAACTTGAAGGTCGAGATTGTGGGGCATCTCCTCGGGAATCATGTGCGGACTGATATCTAAACCAACAACCTGTGAGTCTGTTAGCATACTTCCCTCATCGACGCAATAATCTCATGCAGAGAGATGTGGAGGATGATAGGCGGACTGTTGGCAACCTGTCGTCGCCGGGCGCTCAGGACCGTCATCGCCCAGTCACCCTTCTGACAGAGCTTTCGACGTTACACGCCACCCAAACAAGAGCCCGCCACCCAAGGGGGGGTAAGAAGAGAAAAACCTCTTCCAGAAAAATGCTTTGGGGTATCCTTCTCTTCATCCTCACTCCCATTCCCACCATGAGCCAATGGGCCCGCCGTTGGCCCGCTCGTCGGCCGACGAGGATTGTTTAAGCATAACAGAGCTAAGCACGCACCTCTGCATCTGGATAGTGTTCAGCAACATCGACGGCCCAGTGTGCTGCCCCAAATCCGCACTCGAGGATCCTCTGCGGCCTGACAACGGGAGGAAATATCAATCTGTTGTCGAAAACCGTGCGAAGCATAGTGTGCATGTTCCCCAATCGCGCTATTTCTTCCTGATTCGCCGTGTTAAGAGACGGGTGCCAGCGGTGGAATGGTGCATCTGCAACGAACAACATACATCATCGATCGGCGCATAATATATCTTGCTGTCCAAGGCATGCTGCTGGAAGACTCGGCCGTGATAGTTGACAGTCTCCGCATATGTCTCGTCGAGGGGAACAGTTCCGTCTCTAGACAGGAAGTGTCAGCGGTCGTCCTAGGATGCTCGGGGCTGTTGCTCCGGAGGGTCTCGTACTCTGCGTCCATCTTCTGGTACTTGTTCCCTCTTCCGTTCCTTGCCTGTTCTGCCTTTGGAGTTTGACGAGATGAAGAGATGGATTGGAAGATACGATACTCGACTTTTGAAGGTACGGGAGTGGCTGATGTTCGACGGTCTTTTCAATGGTGCTGTATGCCGAACCGCCTGACACGAACAACACGACCTCGTCTTTGATGAGACGCTGTTCAGGCTCATGGAGTCATGTGGCACCCGAAAGCGTGGCCCCAGTCCAGACGTTGGAAGAGCCCCTCTTGCACCGGGAAGGCTCTACAATGTCGTAGTCGGACTAAAAGAGGGATTAGGCAGATTGGTATCGTGACCAAGCCGTCCATTGAGGGAGAGAGAGAACACGACGTGTCCCTTCTCCTTGATCGAAAACAGTGGAGCTGCTTTACAACGTCGGCCTGCATTAACCAGCTGAAGTCCTTTGGGACTCTTTGCCGGGGGGGAAAGGGTGCCGATCTTTCCTGCGTGAGCCTTCACAAGAGAGCGCCCGCCGACTGCTTGTGCTACCTCATTCTTCGAGGCCTAGGTCTGTCAGGGGCATCATGCAGAAGCGTCGAGGTTTGGTTAGCGTGCCGGCAATGACGTACGGAGAGGCTGTCGGGGAAGCCCAGGACGCTGGAGCTGCATACGATATCACGACCCAAGTGGAAGGTTGCGACTTTTTCCTGAAGCAGGCTTGCTGGTGCCAGCGCAACGGTACGATCGTCATCGCTGCCCAAGATTGATGCAGTCCCGAACCATTATTGACAAGCATATCGGGAAGTCTAGAAGCCTGTGGCAAGGCCTGACAAGGCAGAAACCTGACCCCAGCATGCTGAGAATAGGCGAGGCTTCAAGGAGCGTGATCCCATCTCAACAATAATGCCAGGGAGCTACCAAATCCGTACCTGAAACCCAAAGGCTCTTTACCGCTTATGATGGGAAGATGGGGAGGACGTGCGCACCATGCCGGCGGAGCGGGAGGCGTCAGGGTATGGGCACGGCAACTACCATTTCTACTACCATCGCACAACGCAATGGCCATCGAACGGGAGCCACGATGCTTGATGCTTCGTATACATCGGCGTACTTGTTCGATTCCAGCCTAGCTCCCTCCCTCCCATGAGATACCGGCAACACTCGCAGACCGGAAGTGCCCATACGCCATTTCGTGGGCCGCTTGACCTGGGCCGTGGATCATGGATCATGGATTATGGATCACGGAACATGGATCAGGCCATCATCGACATTTTGAAGGCTGTCTGGGAACCAAATGATGCTCCATCGCGTCCGAAAAAAAAAATAAATGCATGGAATAATACAAAGTACAGTGAATTACCACAGCTGGTTACCTTGTCAACTGCAAGAGCGTGGCTACCAATGCCGGCGGCTCCAACAGGGTAAGAGCCATTCACTTACTCCCTTGGGCAGCGATGTGCTTAGAAGCAACGAGCTCCGAATGGCACGAAGTACGCCCTTATGCTGAACGCTATCGGGTTTCAATCCTTTTCGTCACTGATATGCCTCTCATCAACTGGCCGCCATTCTGCGTGCTAGCGATAAATGACAGAATGACTTGCTTTCTCGGTTCTCTTGTGTTCCCGACGCGGACGCTCATGGTTTCCAGGTGTTCCCCCCCCTTTGATTCTTGTTCAGGCCGTCTTTTCGACTTTGACAGTATGACGGTATGACGAAAGGGGTGGGAGAGCACTCAGCGACCAGTATACTAGAGCCCGTCGCTCCGGGTCAGATTGCCTCTGTCTCATGTTATGTATACTCTCCGGTACTTTTCACACGCCCTCCATACGGACTTCTCCAGCCTGGTGAAACCGACAGCTTGGTGAGCGCAGGGAAGGATTGGTGGCACACCCTCATCCACTTATTCCCATGCATGTGCTAGCAGCGATTGTGCTGGACAATCAGTTGTCAGAGACACGACATGCTCCCGGAAAGGGGGTTACTCTCCATGGTACGGATCCACAAAATGACGGCCTTGACAATTGCTTGCTGATGGGCTGGGCCAAGCCAAAGTGTGACAGCGAGTTCGCCAGAATAGTCAGGGCTCGCATATGTTGCTGCGGGCAAGTCTTGTCAAACGTTGCAGCAAAGACGGCGTCCCATCGACCAGCAGCTTCTCACCGCTCATGCCGCGCCAGCTCCGGGCTTGCTGGATCTCAGAGGTTGTTGCCACGTTGGCAAAGGCCCTTGTGACTCCAACTTGGGGGATCTTGGCCCCGCGAGGCCATCTCCAGCGACTGCAGACCTTGTTGGCAGAGAATGGGCCAGCCGGCCTGACGAGAGGCTATTGGAAGTGGAGATCGCCAGATAAGCAAGCCTTCCTTTATTTTTTTCCCCTTTGGCATCTGAACAGTTGTCATTCGCCAGCGATTGGTGATGGAGGAGGACTTGTCCCACCTGTTGACGAGCAACCAGGGACCTCGGGTACAGAGCCGCAGCTTATTGGCTCTTCTTTTGCAAGAACAAAAGCTATGATGCTCCGTTGAAGGGACTGCAAAGGGGATGCGCGGGCTGCTATGATGCAGAGGAACTGTCGGCTGTGCACACATGTACAGGTCCGTGGAGCACGAAAGCCCAAGGCGGTATTGACACGGCATATCCTGGTACAACTTCGAATAAGCAGCGGACAACAATTGCAGAGTATGCCGCTGTCATGTCGGAGAGCCCAACAGGCATTGGAGGGGCTTAACACAGGGCTGGACGCCCCCCCATGTCATGACGGGCAACCTGCTAGGACAGCGACAACCAGACGCCACATGCTGGTTTGAGATGTCCCTACAGATACGGGCTGCCCGAGACTTGACAGCCCGGCGATTTCTCAGGGGCGCCGACTCTTTGACCGAGGAAGAAGGCAGAAGAAGAGTCTGAGCTGAGACGATCACAGCTGGCCTTTTTGAGCATTTGCTGTGAATCCACTTTGGCTCAACTTAGCCTTTTTGCCGTGCCCAGGATTTCACTCGATATCCTCGCACTCGGTAGACCCGCAAAGACTGCGGGTATGTATGAGCACCAAGACTGGGATGAGGAGTTGAACCACCTAGCATGATATGGCCAATATGTTCCTGATGCTGTAGCTTCATGGGGCTGCAGGGAGGCGTAATGGTACAAGCAATGCACGGACCTAAAAGACTGGCTTTCGGCCAAGATGCTGCGGCCGATGACACACACATACGACACACACACAAACAGTCCTACCTTGGTAGGACCCCGGTAAGGTCGGATGGCTTTCGAGAAGCCATAGAGCAGAACACGCACAAGCGAGGCCATGAAATGAGAATTCGACTAGCACTGGGAATCCGCAGTCCGTCGGCTACATACTACTGGTATTACGATACTAGGTGGCATCCATTGGATGCAATGACGCATCCGACCTCACGCTACAAGTTAAAGAAGGTGGCCCGGCTGTCAACCCCTTTGACTAGAAATAGGAGGGGGCTGGTATTGGTCATATATTGCTGGCTTCTCTGCATGCTTACCTCGAACGGCATGAGTTGTGAACTCTCAGCGCTTAGAAAGCACGCGAGATTGGCTGACCAGCACATGTTGTGCGTACGTCGGACAAGTGTTTCACCCATCAGTCAGATGGTTCAATCACTACTGAGTCGTATCACTACAGGATCCGGATCCGCTTCAAGTTCTGTTGACTCGAAAAATTCTGGTCGGTCATTGTTATATCTGAAGTATGTCCTCGTCTACCAATCCCTGCGAAGCTCAACCGTGCTCGGAAACAACTGTGCAAAGAAAAGAATGGGGACGAAGAAACTATGACGGTGATTCTTCGAATTGTCTACAAAATAACACGGTGGGAAAAGAAGAGCCCATGAATCATACCCCCTGAGCGCTACGGACCGCTTCTGACATTAGCTCTGGTCACCAGTGCATGAAGCCGTGGGCGGAACGATGGCAGGGGTCTCCCTGTCCTAGCCCCTTTTTGCCGACCCAAGTTGTCGGGACGGTGAACCAGAATGTCGGGATCGTCTGTTCTCTCTTCCTTTCGGAAATCGAATTGAAAAGCTCGACACGAAGCCGGCTGTTCGACATAGGCGTGAGCGTTGCCACAAGACGTTGTGCTGGCCACTCACCCAGCAGGCTATGAAGCCCCGTCGGACATGTCAGAACGACCTTCAAGCCCTTGCATCCGATACGGCTGCCTGAGCCCGCTGATTGATGAAGTAGGGGTTTTCAGAAGAGGATTCATAAAGCATTGCGGCCGACACCGGTGCTTTGATGCCTATTGGCCATCCCTATGTGCTTCATGGCCTCCATACATCAGTGCGGGCAGCCGTCGGATCGGACTCGAGAGAGACGCCTGAGTTACTGTTTCTTTGGCGCCATTCGATGCCATGGTTGGCCAGCCGAGGTTGCAGTACCGGCAGATTTTGTGCTTACCATTCCACCAACTCCGCCACTCGTCTGGTGGTCGTATGCTGCTGGCCTGGGCTCTCTGACTGATACTGGTAGTAGTACTACTTTTCAATCGAGTTCCCACACCCGGGAGGATTCGTCGGTGAAGCTACCAAGCATGATGGATCGTTCCCGTTGGTTAATGCTTCTAGTGACCGACAAATATGGGGAAGCCATGGGCTGCTAGCGCCATAACCGAGGACAAAAGCATTGGGGAGACGCACCTTTTCCCGCCTCGGTGATCCCCCCATATGCACCAGTCAGTGCCTGTCTCGAACTGTCAACTACGCCAGGTCGCCCACCAAAGAAGACGTACGTGTCCCAGTGTCTGCCTTGAGGCGGTCACGCGAGATGTTATGTATTTGCATCCTAGCGAATCTCCAGGTCGTCTAATCTCCAGGTCGTCTCTACATCTGCCAATGGGCAATGATCAAACCGGGCAGCCAGTTGAGCAGTCACAGTCTGCTATGTATTTGCTTGTTCAGTGTCCGCGACAGCATACCCTATTGGCCTTCAGAGTCCAATGCCATGGTGTGCAACGGCACATCAAGGATCCGTTCCTCCGAAGACTGCCCCTGTACGAGACACGCGGTCGTTGAGCAGATTCTCAGCCAGGAGCCTGCGTCCAAACTACTGCAGGAGAGGCCACTGGGTGCAGCAAAGGCAACAATCGAAAAGGCGAGGAGAGATAGAAGCCACGCGAGCGTCACCAGTCGGGACGACTATTAACCGGACAATTTTCAAACTTCGCAAGGCGAATTCTTCAGACAAACGCTTGGTGCCAAGGATCGCTACCTGTACGAGCCAGGACCATACGTGATACATGGCAGTTTCAACAAGAGCGCCCGCCTCCCATAATCCGTCAGCAGCATGCATGAATATGATACAATTCCAACTCAGCCCCCAAACCCCTTGACGATGACATTAATAAAGGAGCCTGCGCAACACAACATGCATCGTTGGCTTTAGTGCTGACCAACCACGTTAACACCATGTGAAGACAGGGTTCCTGCTTTTCACGGCTTCGAGGCGCTCCACAATGACCTTTCGATGATGTCCCATCTGTCCTTCCGCGGCGGCATAGCCGAGATCCCCTTCGAGGTCATCATCGTCGGCGCCGTAGGAAATGTCCCCGTAAAGCTGCTGCGCTATGCTATTGCTGTGCTGTCGCGTGGCAGGGGTGGCATACGAGTATCGTCGCTGATGCTTTTGGTTCTGGCCCTGATGGCGCTCCGGCTCGTATATGTTGAGCGCGCGGGACGGGCCTTGGTAGCCTCTACTGGATTGAGACTGGGCTTCCGTCGTTGTCCCAGTTGGGGCAGAAGCTCCGGAACTGTTTGTGGACGATTCATCGGGGACCATGAAAGGATCCTCGGGCGGACTCGCCGTCTCGAACCTACCGGATCGGGGCATCTCTGCCGGTGCTGAGGCAAAGCCAAGGAGATCGTCAACGGGCACCCGACTGGTCGGGGCGAAGCCCGTGATATCTGCCTCATCCAATGATTGCCGCTGGGCCGTGCTACGACGCATCTCCGAGGAAGTCATCCTCATGGGCACGGCAACAGGCACATCGACGTAATCATCCCATACACAAACCTTGGCCCGCCGGGTCAGCTCCAGCGGGCCATGATCGGGGGTCTTGAGCGCCTCCACGACATTCCAGGCTTGGCCCTTCATGACCGCAATCTGCTTGGCAAACATGCGCTCCTTGAAGTCTTCGTCCATCTGGAACACCCTCTTAAGCGCCATTTGCGTCTCACTCCACCATGCTGTGGATGTCAGTAGAGGCAAGAAGTGATCCCGAGTCTTTTGTGAGAAGGGCCGGCCAATGAGATCAACCGGAAGAAAGAGCCAGCCAAATGGGAAACTAAACCGTAGTATCATCAGTCAGAGAGACAGCGTTTCTTCATAATTGATTTTGTTCACTTGGTAACCACAACACGAAATTTGGGGAGCACTGACCTGCGCCACGCATCGGGATGTTTCCATGGCCATGAGAGCGAGTTGTCAATGGCGCCAATGGCGATGTTTGGCTCAGTCTTGCTGCGCGGCGAGGATGCCTTCATGGGCTTCTGGCGTTTGTAAGGGTACGAGGCCCGGGTAGGCTGAGGTGGCATCTCTGAAGCATCGATTGGTCGAACATTGACGCCTTCTTCGTCTTCTTCCGTGACGGGTTCCATGTTGATCTGGATAGGATCCGACGCCAACGAGACTGTGTTTGTTTCCCAGTCAACCTTGACCATCCAGTTGTCGAGGCCACGGTCGGTATTCCGCATGATATAATCCAGAATTACGAGCTTCTCCAGCTCTTCTCGGAAAGACTGCTTCAACTGTTCCGTCCAGACGAACTTGTTGGTCCCCGGAGGCGTATCGCTCCGACCGCCGATGCGTTCCTCCTCATCCTCATCACTGGAGGCCGCATCGTCAGCTGCCGCGGAGGAAGAAGGCCGACAACTTTCTGTCCAGCGCTTTCTCCTTTGTCGATTGGCATCGGTGGATCGGAAACCTGCCCAGTATTGATCCGGCCAGGGATTCTCCCGTAGGAAGACGTTAGCATCCTTGAACCCCTTGAGAAAGACCTGGAAACTGCCGGGCTTGGCAGGGAGAGGCTTCTTCTTCTTCTGAAAGCTCCGTCGGTCCCAATAGGGATAGTGGAAAGATTTGGATGAGAGCCAGACGACGTCTGTGTAGGGAACTAGATGCGTCCGCAGTTGATAATCGAGCACATAGGCCGCGGCTTCACTAACGTAGGAGAGGTTGGGAATGAGGCTGCCGTATTGGGAGGGACTTGGTCAGCATCGCAGGCATCACGCTTCCTGAAACTGGACAGAGGACTTACCAGGCTCGTCCGAAGAAGCAGGGAAACAAATTCCGATGTATCCATTTGTTCCATTTGGGATTTCCCGCGGCGTATGGCTCTTCATCCTTTGGTTTGAACACCCCAACAATCTTGCCATCAGGGTCGCGAGCAAAGTAGCTGCCAGAGCTGCCTTGTGAGATCATACTGGGGTGGACTTCCTGTCGAATCGCTTGCCGTACGCTTTCGATGACGGCATCAAACTCAGCCTTGGTCATGGCAGTGACTTGTGGCTCGGCCAGTGCCTCTGCAGATATGGGTCGTACGCCCTCCGGAGGTTGGAAGACGGAGTGGTGAATTTCCAGCCGTTCCTCTTCCCCCAAACTGTGCCTGCCCTTGCGCTTGAATTTTGCCGCAATCTCTTCGGCCCAGCGTTCGAGTCGGGCATTGATGGCTTTGATGTCAACACCGCCATTGCTCCCCAGACGGCGGCGAAACTTGGGTCTCGAGGGATCAAGCTTGGGGCTGGTGACACTTGAGTGATGGCGAGGCTGTGATAGGGGAGCATGTCGTGGTGCGGATAAGGGCTGGAGAGAGGCAGTCGATTCGGCAAGTAGGTCGTTGTCGGAATCGTCGCTGAGGTCTGCCTGGGCCAGGCGTTCGTACCCCGTCGTGGCGGGACGGTATCGACGCATTGCAGAGAAGCAATTAACGTGAGAGGTTATTTGTCGATTTGTCTTTTGTCGGGTGTAAGAACGATGAGATTTGTGCTCGTTTGCTGACAGTTCGTGTCCGATTGCGTGGTGGCCGCGCTTCCGTTGTTGGCGATGACAACGAGATGTTCAGTTCTGCTCCTGATGTGGTGATGATGTATGCGTGGAACCGAGGTGACAGCTGTTTCACAGGCGCTCGGAGCAAGGGAGGTACACCCGCTAGACAGGCAATGGACGAAAAGAAGATCTATGAAAACGAGTAGGAAGATGATAACGACTGAGGGCGATGCAGGTAACCCGAATCTAGCTGGGGAACGGGGAGAGGGGGCAAAGAGAGCGATCAGTACGCAGTGACGAAGCAGTTGAGTGTGTGGGAAGCGAAGGACGAGATCACGGCAACCCCCCGAGCCAAAGGCAGCTTGAGGCTGATGCGGTGCAGCAGAGGGCTGTTTGCTGGCGGATGCAATGCTGCCGACGGCACGACACAACACGAGGGGAGACGGAGTGAGATGGCGGGCTTGTCCAATGTGATGCGCAAGGTTGAAGCACAGACGCTGTCCGGGACTTTGCAGCAGCAAGCACATGTCATCGCGGCTGACCCTTTTCCTCGTCTGGATGGCGCGTCCTGTGGAAGCCACCACTTAGCACTGACCGGGCTTACCTCAGGTACCTACAGTACGAGTACCTAGTACGTGTACAGCAGGTACTGTACATGTAATACTAGGTACATGCAGGCTGGTGGCACCTTTCCGTAGAGCTGTTTCCGATTATATAAGCCGCTGCTTCATCCAAAGACTTGTCATGCAAGGGGGGGCTTTCTCCTCCAAACCCCATTTGCTGCAATTCACTGGCACTGCACCGTTCCGCAGTCATTAGACATCCATCAACTCATCCCGTGCGTCTGGAGCGGCAGCCGCGCACACATGTGCATGCATGCGTTTGTACTCGTCGTAGCAGGTATATACGTGAACAAGTAAGTGCGTGTCTGGAGCCTCTGCTTGCGTGTTTGTTGTCAGGCTGCTGTGAAGTCCGGCTGTGCCTTCGCTGAGTCCGCCAACCAGCTTGGACAGGCCTCTCTCCTGGATACCGATGTTGGAGCTGCGGCTTGTTTGCGGCATGCTCAAGCAAGGCCTGCCTCAGCCCGAAAGACATCGAATACGAAGCCACCGGGAGCTCCAACGACGACAGCCCGGAGTAAGCATCGGAAGCTGAAACTACGAGTACTCGTATATGGGGACTTTGTACGAAACTGGGCTTCAGCCGCAGGTGCGGTGTTATGTGTCCACATATGACTGGTACGGAACCCGGAAAGTGACTGCAGAGGCTGCATCAAATGTCTCGGCTGGAACTCTCCGTCACACTCGGCCGTCTCATCCTATCAGCTTCATCCATCTCTCGCGTTGATGCGCGTATGTAAACCTTGACACTGCCCCTTGCATTAAGCTGTGGAGAACGGGAGAGGTGTCACCTTGTAAGCCTTCAGCTTGTGAGAAGCTCTCGCTTGTAGGTGACTGCGTCTCCGCAGCGGATAGGTACGGCAGCATGGAGGGCCAGAGTAGCTATGTATGGTGCAAGTCGGCAGGTTCCGTGTCTGCCAGTACTGCCGGTAGAAAGCGGGAGATAGAATCATTGCTTCCATGGGTGCCAACACAGCAATGGGTGTCGTAGACCTCATTGTCGGACACGATGAAACGAGGGGCAAGGCAATATCGATGGCTCGACAGACACCTCGTTCATGGCATCGAAATCGAACCTCCGTCCCTTGACTCCAGCCAGAAGTCATTGAGATAGAAGCCGACTTCACCTGGAGTCCAGCTCTCTTAAGAGAACATCGGCTGCCGTTACATCGGTCCCAGTCCATTGCTCAAGTCGGTAGTGGTCCCGACCTTCATCTCCCTTTGTTTTGCTCACATTCTCTCTTTCCCTCTCCTATATGTCATTCTTGCATCTTGTCTAGCTGCAAACTTGGCGGCAACAAGGCTTCGCGAATCTAGCTCGATTTGTTGCTCCATATATGCTGTATGTTGCATCACTATATCCAGCACTGTGGCCTGAATCTTGACACCGGCTCTTGAAGAGGAAGAAAGATTTTGAGAACCATAGTATAATTAGATGCCCCGTACCCCTTCCACTCTCTGTGTAGATTTGCTGGTCTTTGATCCCCCGTCTTTGCTCCGATTGCTGCACAGCTCCAGGCGTTCGATATCCAAAGGATTTGGACTGGTGATCTTCTCACCGATCCAAGAGTCCTCGGATATCGGAGATAGGCCGAGACTCGAACCAACCATTCGTGGACATAAGTGTGCCAAAATCAGCCGGATGGATGGGAGGCATGTGCATATGATGCTTATGTTGACTTCAATGGTAGACCACCAGGCGATATTCCAATGGTCCCACGTGGGGTTCGTCGAATTAGCAAAGTGGACGAGAGACTGCAGCCGGAGGATGGAGACAATGGTAGCTCTACTCCGTCATGGCGAGAAGTTAGTGTATGAGTCCTTTGTTTGTCAGGAAAGGGGGGAGCAGTCGCACATTGCTCCTGTCATGAACATAACGGCCGCACTCAACCTTCTCCTCCACTGAGTGTCTAGCTTGTACAGCTGGTATAGGGGAATCCCTATGAGCCAAATGTCGACCGCAATATTCATGGCGGCGTTGACCCACGCTAAAGCATTCACGTTGATGCAGTGTCCTGGTGGGCGATTGGTGCCGTCGCCAAATTGCTCCCACGCGAGACTCAGGGGTACGCATTGCAAGAGGCTGCCGACAACGAAACTGAGGCCGGAGGTGACATGGAATATGATGGTGGCCCAGATGACTCGGCGAAAAGTAGTTCCTGGAAACAAATCGAGATAGAAAAGCGACAGGCTGGATTTGACAATCGATATGATGACCACGTAGAGGATTTCCATGGCCAGAAACCATTGTGCGAATGAAGCCAAAGCTCCTGGAGGCAATGTCCAAACATCTTTGCCTAGTCCGTGGTCACTCAACCCAGAGATGTTGAAAATGATGCATGGTATACCGATTAGTCCTGCTGCCAACATGGTCCAATCATCCGGACCAAAACCCTGTCTGATGCTGAAGAGAAACTTGGACACGAAGCGCATGCCGGCGATCAAAAGGGTTACAGAGCTAAGAGCAATGTTCATCGTCTTGTAACGACCTGATCGATCTCGCACTGAGCCACCACACACTGTTTGGGTGAGATTCATCATGACTAGAACGTGATGTTAGCCCCACTGCAAAGCATGCAACGATACAACGGCCAAGAAGAAACAGAAACAGAATGACAGATTGGCTCCCATACCCAGGCTTTCGGAAAGGCTGCATGATGCTTTGAAGCACGACAAGCTTTGTGACGGCTGATTCAAGCTCCTGCAGATGCATGATAGATCGAGCTCTGAACAATTGGCCGTGAAGCAATCAAGCTTTCAGATTGCCAAGTTAGCTTGCTTCCGTAATCGCAACTTGATGGGAGTCAAAAGACATGGATTGGCATGAACTTACAGCGCAAAACGGGAGGTGGATCGGATGGATAGGTGACGCCACATAAGAGCTCGACACATTAGATATGTTGGCATAATGCTGCTGCCTCGAACCGGGAGGTATAACGGCGGTGGCGGACGCTGCAACAACGACCGCTATAAGAATGAGCGATGATCTCCGAAGCATGATGCTGTGAGGGGTTGATATCCGGCGGGAAGGAAAGAAAAGCCATCGAGATCTCAAGGAACACAACGCTCGGCAAGGGCGTCGCAAAGCTCATGATAAGGACTCAGCTCAATATGACCCCCTTTACCTTTACTCCCCATTGCAAAGCAAAAACCATGATCGCCGTTCAATGGATGCTAAACTCTCCCTTGCTTGACTGCTGCCGCCTTTGAGTGGAGCACCGACGCTCAACCGGGCTGCAGGGAACGCTTTGTGAGCGAAAGGGGCCAAAAATGGAGGCCTTAGATCTGATCTTCTTTGGAGGTGTGTTGCCAGAGGCCAAGTCATGAGGCTCCGACACCCCCCATTCTGATACACGGCCTGAAGCGAACAGACAACCCGCTGGCCAGGTAGGAGGGTGGGCGTGAACAGAGAATACGGAGCTCCTCAAGACATGGAGACAGTCTCCCTTGTAGACTGAGGCTGCTGATTGGTGCTTCTCCTTGTTGATCGACCGGGTTTTTGAAAGACACCAAAAGAGACGCCCTCGTTTGAAGGCCTTGTCGCTCTTTGCAGTGTGTGGTTTTCGCATATGGCGTGGGATTCCTCCCTTTCCACTGAGCAAAGGCACCACCTTTCATTTCATCTCGTCTCCTAACCTCGGGCTCCCCTTCTGTCCACATCCGCAATACGATAGGCTGTATTGAGACATGGTGGATGAACGAAGAGGGAATGCGTCCCGTCTAAGGCTGGGAAAGCATTTGGGTCATTTCCCGTATAGGCTGCTGCCGTGAAAACATAATTTCGCGTTCCTCAACATCAAACTTTACTTGCCTTTCATCCCGCATGATTGTCATAATATTCCGTAACACTCCGTCCTATATCCATGGGCTTGTCCTGGTGGAAGCTGCATGCTTAGATGGGGCTAATAGTCGCCTAGAGAGGCATGCCAAGCAGTATGAAATATGCATCTCGCTTCTCACGGTTCGCAGTGGCAGCTCAGCAAGGATGCGCACATTGAATAGTGCCTAGGGGGACTGCCACAAATCCTTAGTGATGCTATGAGTAGTGTATATATGAATGTGAAAGGAGGCGTGAAGACGAGTTTGTCGAGGAGGCCTTGATGTTATCATTCAGAATTGGCCCGGAATACATAAAGTTCTTGGACAGTATTGCTCGCCACGGCGTCATAACTCGTGTTATTGCGCTGCCACGATGAGGAGTCAGATTTTCTGTTCTTTTTCTCTCCGTTGCTGAAACCGCCCACCATCCATATTCCCAGATTGGTAGTTGTGGCGAGCCATACCCGAACATATGACTTGTGTTTGACGGATTGCGAAATATGTATAGGGCTGTTTTTATGAATGGAGGGCGACTGTTTGTGCTCATGCGCCTTCAATGGCAACCGTGTTGATATCCAAGGGGTCTCGACGTCGCTGGATATGTACCACTTAGTCCAGGGCACCGGATAAGCATCTCTCGTCCTTGACAAAGTTTTAATGCCAACTCGGCATTCAAACATCGCCCTCCCATACGTAGACCACGTGGCGTTCTCCCAGCGTTTCTTTCAGAGCCAGAACCAAGTCATCAATGGCGGACAAAAACTTAAGGTAAGACGACACAGCAACGCAATAGCGTCGATAATTCTCATCTCGAACAAGCGATGAGCTCAGCTCAATCTTGTGATGCTGCGCATAAGATAGGGATTCGAAGCAGGTGCGCACAAGAGGCACGGGAAGCCTTTCGGGAAGAGGAGACCCGGTACGCAGGGCTTGCTCAACGATTGCCAACACAGCCATGACATTTCCAATGGCGCCGTCATCCAATACGCCGAGTGAGGTGACCAGTCTCTCTTGGAATTCTTTAGGAAGGGTGGTCGACAAGTAAAGGAGTCTTCCGAGCGCTTGGTTCATGTTTTGGCATTGCTCCTGGGTCTGGCGTAGGACCGCTTGGTCAAACGGCCCGGCGCTGAAGTCGGCCTTGAGCAGGGCTATTGAGCCGTTCAAGGATGAGAGAGTTTCTGCAACCTCCAGCGTCAGATCCTCTATGGCAGCAGGACCAATGTGAGTATCTTGATTCGCCCGACTCCAATGTGACAGAAGCAAGGCATAGTAGTCCGACAGGGTTCGAACGGTATTCGACAGAGTTTTGCACACATGTACGGTGGCAGATGGCGGCTTGGGGAAGAGCTGTACTATGGTCGCAGCTAGAAACCCCAACAAGACCGTGACCAATCGTTTCCAGAAAGCCTGGTATCCCCTGCCTGGCGATCCGTATTGCGGCAAGTGCTGGTTGTCGTAGCTGAAGCCAATAATGAGTATGAAGGTGACGCCACACATGGCTGTCGCCTGAGTATAGGCCAGCGGCAAGAATATCCTCAACCACATGGAAATGACGGTGAAAAGAGCCACGCTAGCAGCCAGCCCATACGGGTTGCCCGGGCCACTCCCAGATCCCATATACCACGCAACGAGGCCAAAGACGCCTCCAATTACTGTGCCGAGAGCCCTGGAGATGAGAGAAAAGGTGAAGTCAGCCATGTAGAGAAGGACACATGTCTGCGCGGTGATGACTGCCCACAACCCCTTTTCGCGATAAAAGAAGCCGGCCGAATGAGGAAGAGATGCTGGAATGGCAGTGGCAAGTGTTACGACCACCATTCGGATCGCATACATGCCGGCCGGGTTGGTGAGCCAGCGAAATGTTCCTACAATAGCTCTGGCAACTGGACCCGCGCGAGTAGGGGTTTCGTAACCTCGAATGAGGCGGAGACGCTCGCGGACCTTTTTGGACTGTTCATCGACCGCGTCTGGATCGTTTGTACCGCCATCATCAGAGACGCCCGCGACGGGGACTGTCCTGTTTCCATTGAGAATCCAGCTGATTGCGTAACGGATACGAGACGGCAGCCAGATGCGGTGACGATTCTGCATAGTTGTGAGCTGCAGGACGTGCTTTAGCATTGCCTCGGTGGCCTCAGCCACGCTGAGGATTCGCTCCTCCATGACCATGGCCACCATCATCGCCTGCAGTGACTGTGGCTGGAGCGTGTCTGTTACCTTGAGCTGGCCGAGGTGATCAAACAGGTCTGAGTGGCAGTCCAGAATGGCCTCGGTGGTGCTAACAACGCAAGCTCCGCGAGCAGATTGCAACGTGGCCGCGGCCGCCTCCAACTGTTGAATCAACCCATCGAACACCTGTTGAGCGGGCTGACGAATCCAACGACGAGTATTGACAGTGTGAATGCACTCGGCGACGATAGATATGGACTTTGAGCAAGCTTGCCGCACTTGGAAAGTCGTTTCGCGCATGGCTTCTGTCATTCGAATGCGAAGGTCAGTATGCTCCGGCGTTCGAAGGGCTTTGATCAGCTCGGCATATTGCAAGACATGGCGTTGCCCAATTTCTCGGCTGCTGCTCTTTTCGCCAGCTGGGCCTTTGTTCGAGTATTCGTCATACTTCAAGCCTGCTTTGTTCCCCTTCTGCAGAGCAGTAATGGTTGTCATATGGAAATCTATCAAGGAGATGCTCGCTAGCATGGTCTGGCGAATGCACTCCTGTAGGCCTTTGACATCACTGTCATTCCATCGGCCACGGGAAATGTCTAGAGGGAGAAAGGCGAGTTCCGGCTCCATGGCTTTGTGAAGGGCGATCATGTCATTCTTGCTTTGCCTCAGTTGCTTGAGTTCCAAGGGCTCAGCAGCAAACCGCTTCCGGGTCAGGTCGAGGGGTATATCAAACATGCGGACGAGCTGCTCCATTTTCCGAAGAACCACATAGGAAGTAGACTGCGGAAAGAAAATGAGGCAGCAAGCAGCTCCAATGCCGACCCCAATGGCTCCTGGCTTCACCAGTGTTTGTCCCAGGAGGGGAGTGAAGGAGGGTAGCAGAGGTCCAATGAGGAGGAAGACGTCGACGACAATGGTCCCGAAGAGGTGAAGAAGTGTGAGCTTGATGTTTCCTGCTCGCAAGCGAGCCAGGAAGTATATGAATACACAAATCATGACGTAGTAAACAGCCGTCACACGCGCGTCCAGCATATGACCTTGGTAAACCAGTATCTGGCTAATGACCGTAGCATTTTGGCCGGTGGCTTGTGACTGGGCCACGGCGGCTTGCTGAAGAGCCTGGAGCTGTGCTTGGGTCTCGGAAGCCGGACGCGCAGCCAATGCGGCCTTCATGGTCAGGATGCCCCAAGCCCATCCTAAACATAGGCCGAAGAGTAGGGATAGGGACCCGAGCAGGTAGATGAGGAGGATACCAGCCGGTGGCGTGACGAAGAGAACTAACGCGGCAAAGAATGTAGAAACGCCAATGCTATGGAGCGAAGGCTCGATGAAGATGAGGAGTGAAGCAACCCAAGCAGCTGCGGAACAGCGGAAGAGGGTCTTGAGGTCGTTTCCGTGGAAGTGATCCAGCAACGAGGGCAGAGATCGCTTTCCGCCAGAAGCCTCATCCTTCTTGGTGGCAGCATCGGCGCTATTGTCGGCGGATATCTCTCCTGACATCTTGGCTGTGTTGAAGAGCTATATGCAACGGTGGATTACTGAGATTGCATACATTTGTGTGGTTGCAATTTGACGGGTTCGAGGGAAGTGATGCCAGCTGGCCTGGGCCCCGTTGGAGATTTTCAGCTGCGCACTGACGGTGTCGGCCTTCACCTGACGCCTCATTAGCTCACAATTTCCATCATACGGCGGCAGAGCGGCGGGGGAAATAATATGCAGGTCATCGGAAAGTGTATACTGCGAGGTTGTGATGTGGACTGTGAGATCGAGAAGAAGGCAACGTAACGATATATGGGTGCATTAGGTAAGTACAGGAGGAAACCTTGATATACTCCATACTCCAAGCGATCAAGGGGACATGTTCTCAACGATGGTAGAAGAACAGTTCAAGGATCCACGACATGAAAGGAACTCCCTGCCATCTCACGGTGACGGCCACGTAAATGCTCACCTCGCTTTCGAGAAACCAAGAAATGATAGGAATCGCCACTTCGTCAAACAGGGGAAATAGGCCGTGTACTAGTTGCAATATTGACGGTCGAGCTTTACCTCGCAGAGGGCTGGGCAAGAAGGGCGCTGGCAGTACAGTTTGCCCGTACGTCCTTTGTGTGAAATGGTGGTCGCGTCCTTAAATCTGTCGTTGCATTGTGTCTCACTCACGAAGGGTCGTGCAGTTTCCTTGTTCGGTCATGTCACGCGTCGTGTATGGAACAGCCAAGCTTCGGGCGGTTCGGCTCCTCCGTCATGGCAACCGAGGCGGATAGTCGGAGAGTCCTTGTGGAGGAGCTGTGCCTTGTCTCCAATGCAACGCTTCCACCATGGGCCTCGGCATGGCAGCCAGAGACGGGCGTTTCCTAGCCTCGAGTAGGCATGGGCAGGGCTGATACGCGTATCTAGTGCCATACTGTGAGAGTTGGAGCGATCTGATCTGACGGGGAGCCTTGAATGTCATACCTTGCTGACATGGACTCCATGGACTTGGTCTCTGCAATTGCGTAGAGGCAGGTTGATGAGGGGATGCATTGTGAGGAAAAGTGTGGTCTACCGAAATTGCATTTTGCAAGGACTTTCGTTGTCTTGGTCTCTTTTTTTTTTCTTACCTTCCCCGATGGTCTTGTTCAACGAGGCAGGAACATTCGTATGAAACATCGATCGCTCAGCTCACAAGACGCGCTTTCCCATGGACGAGTGCTTCCGCGGACCGCAGCTTCCCGTGTCACGCATGGTCACTGATACACTGATTCAGGAGGGACTGGGCGGTTGGCGAGAGGTATACTGGTACCAGTCGACACGCTAGCGCTCGGCGAGAGCAGGTGAGTCCATCTATAGAGTATCTACCTACCTTTGTAGGTAACTGCCCGATTGAAGCAGAAGCGACATCTCCAAAGGGAGAATGTACCTTCGTCTTGCAGTGCCTTGTTCGCCTTCTCCTTCCATTTCAATAAGGGAAGACGAGACTGCACATCTGGACGACGTCATGAATTGAACTGGGAAGGACGTACGTGCACCGACGTCGGCTTGTGCCCCGGCAGCTGTTGGATACGCTCCCGGAGGCACCTCCCCATTACGGCGCCGTGGTTCTCAGAATACAGAACGTTCGAGAGAGGGAATTTTCAGTCGAGATGATGCAAGAGACGGGCTGGGAATGTGAGTGTTGAAGAAGTATGAGAAGACGTCAAAGCTGAGCTCGCTTCCTGCTATCGTCGCGACTTGGATCGAAGCAGGGCAGCCGTGGTCCCAAGGGAGGCGGCGGCGGCGGCGGCAGACATGACAGATGCTGCAATTGGCTCAATAAAGACAAGCGATGGCTGGGCGATTGGTGATGAGCTTCCGGGAGTAGTGAAAACGGAGGAGATGCGAAGAGAAATCTGACGTTGACCAAGGCATAAAGAAACATGGTTGGCAGATAAGATGCCTCAGATAAGGCGCGTATTTCGGAAAGGGAGGAAGAATACCCGCAAGGTATCAAGGCGCCTTCAGTGAACGGCATGGCGAGCAAAGCAACCGCGAATATATAGACGACTGCATCGTTTGTTGCTTGATATACGACGGTAGAAAAACGCGGCTGAACCTGGAGAAATTTTCGACAATAAACAACTCTTTTCCTCCCTTCCTGCCATCTTGGAGCCTCAGTAATACACTCGGAGTATCACCTCGTCCAATGCCAGAGTTCCGACCCACCAGAGCTCATCAACACATGTACCCACTTTAGCCTTGTCACCACATCCTCCACGCATCAGCGTCCTCTCTCAGTCAATTCAACTCGCCATCAACGTCCCCAATCCGAGGCTTTCTCCTCCAGCGTATCCCGCCCTCCTCATTCATCTCCGAGCGCTCTCCACAGACCCTCAAATCGGGTTATTATCTCTCTTCCTGCAGGCATCCAAGCTGGGCGCGCGCATTTACCAATCAATACCTACCTAACAAACGTCGTCCCGAGCCAAAGGGCAGCCGCTTGCGCCTCGACGAGCAATTGCCGCCTCTCTTCTCTCCCTTGCGTCTCTGTGCGATCTTTTTCCTCTCTTGCTGCTTCTCGTCCATCGCTTCGGCCATGCTTGTCTCCCTGACGGTTGGCAAGGTCGACGCTGGCGTCACAGTGCTGCTGACCCCGGACAAACGCCTGGTATGTCTCTCGCAAGCTGGCTCGATTCGCCCGTTGCTCTGCCATGGCTGTGCTTCCGCTCGCTCTGCCCGCCAATGTCATGACGTATGTCTAACATCCACTGCTATCACAATATGTATAGATCGAGTTCCCGTCCATTCTGCTGCCTCCCAACATCTCCTCCGGCAGCATCGTGGACATCACCGTCGGCCGAAATGTGAGCAAAGAGGCCGCTGCAGAAGAAGAATTTCGCGCCCTGCAGGACCGCATCTACCAGTCGTTTGGCGCCTCCGAACCCGCGGCGCCAGTCCTGCGCTGCCGCAATGCGACTCAAACATCCGTCGTCCTGGAATGGGACCCCATCGAGCTCGCGACGGCCGACCTGATATCCCTAAGCCTGTACCGCAACGGGCAAAAGGCCGGCAACATCCCGCGGCCGCTGGAGATGCACAGCACCAAGATCAGCGGCCTGGCCGTCGACACCGAGTACAGCTTCCACCTGGTGCTGCGGACGAGCGCCGGCACGCGGGCGAGCGAAAAGGTGGTTGTGCGCACCCACAAGATGACGGACCTGAGCGGAATCACCATCACGACGGGCATCCTGCCGGCGACGACGAGGGAGAACCTGACGCGCGCCGTGGAGCGCATCGGCGCCAAGATTGTCGACGGGGTACGCATCGACACGACGCACTTTGTTACCACCGAGGGCAGGGGCACGGCGTGGGAAAAGGCCGTCGAGAACAACATCCCCGTGGTGCGGCCCGAGTGGGTGACGGCCTGCGAGCAGAACGGCAGGATCCTCGGCGTCACCAAGTTCTACCTCGACGTCATGCGGCCGGGACCTCCCAGCGACGACCAGCTGCCCCCTCCTCCGGCCAAAGACGTGCCTCCCAAGGATACACCACCACGAGCGTCACCACCGGCGGCGCAAGACTCAGCTCATGACAAGGCTCGAGATAGCAAGGCAGCCCCGGCCGATGGGAAGAAGGACCAAGAGGCAGAAGGAGAGGCATCTACAAAGGCAGATAGCGATTCCAACTCCCCAGAAAAGGAAGAGGACGGAGAGGGAGAGGCTTCAGAGCCAAAGGCCAAAACAGGAGGGCAGGCAGAGCAGAAAGTACGGCTCGAGGACGTGCAGGAGCAAAAGGTGGCATTGCGGCCTGTCGAGTCCCAGACGGCCCTGGTGGAACAGGTCGAGGACAGCGATGGCGGCGAGGACGAGTCGAAGCCGGCCTCGCCACCTGACGGAGCGTCGTTTCAGGAAGTCGAGTTGTAGATGAGCCGTTGTATCCCTGCCGGGTGTTTATATACCAGCAGGTGTATGTACGTACGTGCACCTATTGTCAATTTACATTCTTTGGGCCATGCTGTGTGGGAGGGAGGGAGGGAGAGAGAGCCAGCGCAAGGTGAGATCTTATAATGATTACTGTACGGTAAAGGGCTATCTGGGGCAGGCAGGACATGACAAAAGCAGAAATGGCGTGTCCTTGACAAGGACCACTGCTGTACAGGAGCTTTCGTTTGTTATCAGTTGTTTGTTATCACGTTTGCATTTACCCCGTGCACCTGATACAAAAGGAGCCAACGAAGTATGATCTGATGGGCCTTCAAGGAGGCACCTCAGTCCCTTTCCAATCCCAGCACCTCCCCCTATCCTCCACCCCAAGCCCGCAGACCACGTCAATGAGCCTCTCGGCGGCATACTCGGGGCTGAAGAGCCTCTCGTCGGGCACGCCGCCCCAAAAGTCCCTGCTTAGGTCCGTCTTGACCGTGCCCGGGTGGTAGGCTACGGCCATGGCGTTGTCGCCGGCCCTGGCGCGGAGCTGGACGTCGAGGCTGCGCGTGATGCTGTTGACGGCGGCCTTGCTCGCGCGGTACGAGAACCAGCCGCCGGAGCGGTTGTCCGTCGTAGAACCGACCCTCGCCGACATGCTGAGCCATGTTGCGTGCTGAGGAAGACGCAGTGCTGCTTCTTTTGGCTTTCCTCTCACTTCCTCCTCTGCTTCATCTTCATCTTCTTCCCCAAGACCCTCGTCCTCGTCCTCATCCTTACCCTCACCCTCACCAACATCATACCCATTCTCATCATCATCGTCATCCTCCTCCTCGTCCTCATCGTCCACCTCATCATCCCACTCGTACCCCGCCGGCATCGCCGTCGCCCTCCTGGGCAGAAACCCGAAAAAGTGCTTCGCCACGAGCATCTGACCAACGGCATTCACCCGGAACGACTGCAGCGCCGCGTCCGCGTCCACCTGCGCCGGCGACTTCTCCGGGTTGAGCAGCACGCCCGGCAGCACGCAGGCCAGGTGCAGGTGGTGCGTGTCGCCGGGGAACAGGCGGCGCGCCTCCTCGGCGGCGGACGCCACGGTGGACTCGTCGGTGACGTCGCAGCGGACGACGAAGAGGCGCTTTGAGAGCTCGTTTCTCTGGCGTTGCTGCTGCTGCTGCTGTTGCTGCTTGTGTTTGTTGGACAGTCGCTGTGAATCTCTCTTTGACGATGAAGATGGTGTAGATGAGACTGAGGCTGATGATGATGATGATGAAGATGATGATATGGGAAAGACATCCCTCAAAAGAGCCGCCTTGGCAGCCCCAGGATCAACGTGCCGCGTCGTTGCAAGAATCGGAACGGACGGGGACAGGCGAGCCGTGCGCCGCAGGACGTGGCGAGTGAGGGCATGGCCGATGCCTCTGCTGGAGGGGCAGATGAAGATCCAAGGTGTTGAGGGCATCGCTATGGGGAGTGTGAGACCTTTATTTCTTTAGCTTTCTATTATTGATTAATCTTGATGTTCTGTCATCTGCAAAGGAGTGAGCAATTATGATTGAGGTGAGCAGAGGCAATGTATGAGAAGAGTGATGCCATGACTTGACCTGTACATGCGCCTCAGTGATGAAATCGTTGGCTAGAGTCTGTCCTTTGTGGCTTGATGACGCCAACGATTCCGCCGTCAATGATTGACTCAACGCACAGCCATGTCTGTCATCTGCACGTATCACGAAACACCACCATCTGCAAGATAAGGTAGGATACACATTTGACCATCTCATCGTTGGGTCAGATTCAGATAACCAACAACTCAACAACAGAATACCATTACTACTACTATGTGGCCGCTGCGACAGAAAATGATAGAGAACTAGGTACCCAGGACAAAAGGAACAAAGAAAAAAGGAACAGTCCAGAGAAAGACGTTGTACGGGTATATGTAGGTAAAATACGACCGCGGCTGGTATATCCATCCCAAAAGCATCTTCGCACTCAATCTTTGCATCAGAGTGCAGCATATAGCCAACGTGATCATCTCCCCAAAGAACGCCTCGAAATGATACGTCGCCCATTCCTTTCGCTAAGACAGACAAGATCGGAGAGAAAAGGAGGGGAAAAAAAGAATAAGGTGTAAGGAATATCAGATGTAGACGGCTTCTCTGCCTCGTCACAAACACATGCCTGCTTATACAGTGTTGTGACGCCAATCATCCGCTGTTCTCTCGGCAAGCTGCTGCTGTCTCCGCCTCGCCTCGCCGGCCAGTTCTCGCATCAGAGGCTCAATGAGCCCGAGGCCGCCCATCTCGTCGCTCCTGCTCATCGTGTCGCTTCCGCTATCGTCGGACGCGAGCCTTCTCCCAATGAGTCCCGCCATGATCCGACCTCGCGAGAGGCTGGCTCTCCTCGTGGGCGTCTTGGCCCGTTTGGTACTGCGAGCTTTGCGCTCCGCGCTTGCTCCGCTCACCTCGTCATCCGAAACCCATCCTCGGCCATCGCCATTCGCGTCTGCGTCTCTGTCGATGCGACTGGATGGCTGGATCGCCTTGAGGTTGCGGCTCATGTCATCGAGCACGGGGACCAGAGCCCGCAACCATACGTCGCCATTGCGCTCTAGCCTCCGAATGCGTCGTTCCACATCTCGCAGCCGATTCTCGTGGTAGGAGTCGTAGAGTCGTAGGATTTGCTCGTCCATCATGTTACGCTTTTGTTGTAGGTACAGCTCACTGTCAATGTCCCGAGAGATGCGCATTTGACTCTTGTCCGGCGACGGTGACGGCATGGGCAATGGTGAGGGCGGAGGCGAGGCTTTTCGGGCGGTCTTTTCATCTGGCAATCCCGGCGAGGGTTGAAGGTCTACTACAACGACGACGGGGCAAAGTGTATTGATAGACGACATCCGGGGACGCCCATCTTCCTCTTGCGCTTTCGCATTGCGTAGAGGCTGCTGCACATTGCCGCTTGCATCATGGCCTTGTCCTCCGCCTTCTTGTTCGTTGTGTTGGTCCACAGACTGGCGTCTCTGTAAATCTTTCAATGCCTTTGCGTTTCGGACGGCTTCCATGTCTCTCCTTTTCTTTTCTCGAACCTTGTCGCGGCGGCTTTGTATGGAACCTGCCGTCGACGGGCGAGAGGGCATCTCTGGGCTGGCAGGCATCATTGACTGGGAGGATACTGCTCGTCGGACACTGCGCCTGTTGCTTCTCGTGGACCCATCGGTGAGCTCCTCAGTAATGGGGGAGGGATATCCGACGCCCGACCTTCGTTTCTGCTTGGCCCGAGGGTCGCTGACTGCTGGCGGCTTTGGCAGGGGTTTTTTGTTGTAGCCATCCCGAGCGAGTTCGATGCCGCTGGCTACGCTCAACCGGCCGTCAATGGACGGCGAAAGTGCGGGATGAAGGTGCTTCTGGCCAGTAGTAGTAATGACCATGCTCGATGCCCTTGCTTTACGTTGAGTGTTCGTCTTGGCCGGACTCTGAGGGGGGCTTTGAGCCGCGCCGGCTCCCCAGGCAGCCGTTCCTTGCGCATACATGGCGATATGCGTTGGAGTTGGTGGATCGGTTCGCTTTGGGGATATGGTGGAATAGCTCGAATGTTTGCTATCCCTCTTGCTCCGGGCGCTGAACCCCATAGGGTCGTCTGTAGGCATTCCTGCGGGCTGGCTCACGGTGGAGGTTGGAGGAAGGCTGCATCTCTGCGGCAGGCCTGTCGGAGACAAGGACGATGACTGAGGGGGAAAGAGGCTGAAACGATGCGCTGGAGGCGCTTTGGACCTCGCGCGCACCTCGTTTGTCGCGGCGGGGAGAACGGTGACGGTGCCGTTTTCCTCTGAGTATGTCTGGACAACATAGTTTCGTGGGAGGGTTCCATGCTCGTCCCTTTGTCCCCCCGCCTTCTCATTGTTAGCCTGGTTGCCCGCATTGGCAGGGCTCTGCGTTGTCGAGTTGGGGTCGGAACTGAATGGCAGGGCCTCGAGAGGAATCGAAATGGCAATGTGCCTGTGGCCACCAATTGTCAAGCCTGACACTGCCGAGTCTGGTAGCTGGATGTTCTGGGGCGGCCTTGGAACGGATTTGCTCCTCTTCTTCAGAGCCTTGAATCTCGACCACTTGGACTCCTGATCCTTGTCGTCTGCGTGACCAAAGGGAACCGACATGTAGCTGCTAGGCGGCGGTTCGTGGTTCTTCAAGAACTCCGCCAAGGTCGTAGTGTCGTCTCGGCTGTAACGCTTCGTGCGGTTGCGAGACCGCTCGTCCTCTACTTCGTCATCATCGTCGACGCCGCCACCTCCTCCTCCTCCTCCGCCGTGGACCTTGCTGATATAAGAGTTCTTTAGGTTTCTCAACGCCATGGCTGGGTCAATCACGGACGACCTCCTGTTCTTTTTGCTACTGCCTTCCAGCAAGTCGATACCGGTACTATACCGACGGAAGACGACCGGATTCGAAGCGAGTGGTGATGGAGGAGGGTTTTGGTCCCCCACCCACGGCGCGAGAAGTCTCGAACCAACAGTCGCCGCCATTGCTTCTCTGTGTCCTTGGATAGGCTGGGCTGGGCTAGCGGGCAACGATATCAGCAGCCAACGGTCGGGTTGTAGGCAGGCAAAACACCAGTTAGAGTGGCGAGGCCCTTGCGTGCTCAGTCCAGCCACTTAGACTGCGACTCCCTCCCTGGCTAGGAGTGATGATAGGACGTTTGAAGGAGGTACCTGATGGCTATCAATTATTCCAAGCTAAAAGCATGCAGGTACAATGCATAGGCCTAGTTGCAGTGGTACATGAGAGATCGAATTGATGCTTGTGGGCTCTTCCGCCCTCGATAAGGTAGACGTATGTATGTCTCAGTCGGCTGGATGGAAGCGTGCGAGGACGATCGACCGTCTGTCGTAGTAATAGCTGCCGTGATTTTCTGTATGCCGAGACAGTAGCCCAGACAGTACGTGTACAAGGGCTGAGAGAACAAAAAAAAAAAAAATAAAAGAAATTGAGGATCGAGGGAGCGAGCGAATGAAAGACCGAGCTTCTTTCTGAGCTCAAGCGGGGCCAAGCATGTCTGAGCGTGTGGATTGTCGTGCTTGGAGCAATCTGAAGAAGAAGGAAGAAAGAGTGTGAGACGTCGACAGATTTTGGTTCACGTGAAACCAAAAGGGAGAACTTGACGAAGGAGTTGAAGCAGCACACGGTGGCAACTCTGAAAACGAGTCCAAGGAGGGAAGGGGAGGAAGGGGGAGGAAGAGGAGGAGAAGATGAGGCAAAGAGAAGGAGGATCTTGGAAGGAAGAGGTAGTAGTACTGTAGTGTGGCCCGCCAGGACGGAGGCGATGAAGATGGAGATGGAGATGATGAAGAACGAAGCCCTGACGATCACTTTTACGGCCATGATCAAAGCAAATGTCTTCAGACATGGGTCCTCTCCTTAAATATCGGGTCACTTGTCTGATGAAAGGGCCTTGTCAGCCAAGGAGCTTCTCAGCACCCTGGCAGTCGCCTCGACCAGCCCCGGGGCCCCGGCTGATGAACGGGCAAGCTGGCAGGGAACCGAGCCATCACAGGGCGAACCTCCAATGGGACGGCGGTTGGGCGGGTATCTCCAGAGCCAAGTTAGCTTGCAGAGTGGTCCCGAGTCGGTGGCGCACTCCGCCTTTGTGGCCCATTGGCCATCTCGGTCCTGGGACGTCCAGACTAAGTCGTAGCGATCCAAGTGCTATTGGAAGATGCCTGCGGATTGTCGTTTTACACGGACGATGCTCGTATGTATGTACAAGTACTGTTCATACACTCCTATTTGTAGTAGGAGGCAGCGATTAGCGGCCGGTAGAATACAAGGTCCCAGATGTTTCGTCGAGCCGGCATGTTTTTTCAGGATCCCCTTTTCTCCGCCGGTTCTGTCCAACGTTGCCCCTTTCCATGTAGGTGCCTGGAGTCTGAGTTTGCACGTACAATCAGTATCAGTGAACTATATGTTGCTCCGTTTGCTGAACGTCGTGCCCGAAACGGCTCGTGCCCTGGTCAACCCTGCCGTGACACGTGTGGTCGTGTATTACCCAGATGCCCGTCATCAAGCAACTCCCGACTGCTGAGAAGGAGCCGAGATGAACGAAGCCGGCGATGATGACAATGACGGGTATGCTGCAGGGTTCAAGGCTCCAGCTCGCTGATTGCCGTGGAGTCGTCTATTTCTGACAGGGGTTCGTACAAGTCCCCCAAGCACCGTCTTGCTGCTCAGTATTTCGTACTGTGTCTGCACTCGATGCTGTAGTAGTAGTAGTAGTAGTAGTAGTAGTAGGTAGTAATACATAAGTAGGTAGGGAGCTGCCACAGCAGCGTCTCCAGAATGCGGGCTTCAAGGGGGGGGAACCGAGTTGCTGTGCGTACGACTAATAGGTGAAGTACTCCCGTACGAGTCAGGTTGGGTCTTCAAATATGCGCTCGTCCGGTCGACGTTGTCCTGAGACGAGCACAACGGGTCTGATGCAGCAACGTCCTTCTGCAACACCACCAGTATCCGGCAGCACTGGCGGGCTGCTGCATCATGTGAGGTTGTGACGACCAGTTCCGGCCTGCCAGAGCAAGCAACGAACATTCTTCTTGTCTGGCTCTCATTCTCACAGGGATGGAGTACCTGTAGGTATGAGGACTTGGGTGCGAGTAAGTGTTAAGTCCACAAGTTCATCCAGTTCTGGGTGCTGGCGATGCAAGGGACGCAGCTGCAGGCGAAATTATCCACCCCGGGTACGAAGTGGCTCCCCCTGGAAATGTCCGCTCGGCTCTGGCTTGCCCTTGCCAGCGTCCTTGTCTGGCTCCGTCCTGGTCCCGACTCCCGACCTGGGGGAGACTGAGGTCGCATCGCCGCCGGCTGAGCTGACACGAAGCGAGGACGTTGGCGGGGTGAGGCCAAATCGAAGGATCTAGACGTGGTATGTCTCGTGGTATTGGTAGTACTACTAGTAGGCAGTAATAGGTAGTTGTTGCATGGAAAGGAGAAGAAGGAGGAGGAGAGTTTGGAGCCTGCGATACGAGTACCTTGAGCTGGAGACTTTTAGTAAGCCAGGCCGGGTATCAATTCGGCAGGCAGTTACTACTGTAGTATTAGGTAGGTTGCTAGGAGCCACTACCTAGTACAGTACGGTAACTGCACCTTCCGCGGGCACCAGAGACCACCTAATCAGCGCCACCCGCTGATCTGGCGTCCTTTCGCCCTTTGGCTCCCCCCCTCCGAGGCTCCAATTCACACAAGCCCATAAACTTGCAATTTCAAACAAAATACCTACCTACCTATGTCAGTACAGTATACATGAACGAACACCTCCCGCAGGCTCGCAGCGGCAACGTCGTTTCAGCTTGCAAATCAGCGGCGTCTCATTGTACGGTGCAGGTGCAAGGCGCTGACTAGCTGACTATCTTAGGCAGGCAGACGTATTGACGCCTTGGCGAGTTCTTGCTTGACGTCTAGAGGTATCCTGTACAAGAACTACCTCATTACGAGCATGACTTGACACTAACAGGTCCAATCTTCTTGAATAGAGAGACGACCCACGATCAGGTTCTACCACCTGCTTGCTCCTTCGTCCTTGCTAGACGATGCCCTTTAATACTGCACCTCGTCCGCTGGAATCACCCTTGTTATCGCCGAAGAAACGTACAGATGCGCGCAGTTCCCATCCCTGACACGGCTGACGAGACAAGATCCGGCCAGGTTCTCCAAAGCTCGTCCAATAAACCACCAGCAACCCGCGCAGATTCCTCCGTGTCTCTGATATAGTAGTAGGTAGTGCTATGCCGCAAGCGCCGGCTCCGCGAGCTGCTTTTGCTCGTCTTCCACGACATAGTACAAACTAACATGCTGATCGCCATGAGCTTCTCCACCGAGAAACTCGGCAATCGAATTCTTGCCTTTCGCTGCAGCCACTCGGTGGCCTGGATCCTTCGTCTGCGATACATGAACTGGACCTCTCTGGTCAACTGCCCAGCCTAAAACCCCCGGCATTGACTCGTTCACTGAGTTTTTGCACAGACTGGCCGGTCCTCATTTCACTTGCTTCGCGAAGACGAATAGTGGCATCCCATTGAGTACGGGTACTACTAGTAGTGTTATTGTCATTCGAGCTCGTACCGTAGACGTCGCCGCCAGCAGTTGTTGAGGTGCCTGGACCAGCTTGAGGCCCTTGTCTGTCTCCATGACGATGAGCACCGATACCTCCAACAGACCCATCGTTATAGGCACTGGCAAGACTGGTGCCCTATGTACTTTCTAAAGACAAGTTGTTTCCGAATACCTAAGGTATGAATATCCGTGAGTACTAGCGGGTAGATGGTATGTAGCCGTTGGCTCATTCGTCTGCATCATGCGAACCATGCATCAAAGCGTCCAAGGGGCAAATCATACCCAACCCATCAGATCGCCCATTACGCCAAAGTTCGTCTAACAGCAAGGATCGCGTACGTCTCACCTCGTCTTCATCCGTCTTGCCGAATCAATCTTCTTCCATGCTGATCTCTCATGCAATCACTCATTTTGCCAAACCCTGCTTTTGCTCTACATCTCGAGGGGTCAGTGTAAGAGACACCAGAGTCTCAAGGCTACGAGGCTGGCAGCTCCTGTGTAAAACCCAGGTATGTATCGATGCGACTGAGAGCAACCGAAAGCTGCAGTGTGGTGGCTCGTCTCGGCCGACCTACATCGCCTCGTTTCCCAGGGCCAAGACCATTGTTGGTCATTACTTTCTCCGTCGTTTATATCTTGTAATAACCTCGCTTCCACTTTCGTTATCTCATACAGTATCTACAACACCTTACCTGACAAGCTATTCTTACAGTTATTCGTTTGCCCCATATCGTTTTCCTCATAGGCTAGTGCCTTCCCTTGTATACGGATCATCTCTCATAGACAAAAAAGGGAACGAAGAGAGTACTATAGAAGGATAGAAAAAGAAAAATAACCAGCAACTGTGATGGATCATGATTGGCAAAGCGCTCACCAACTTTCAAGAGGGCGGCCACTTGCCACGCCGTTTGTGGAATCTATCGTCCACTTGGCCTGGGTCCGTCTTACACGTCTAGCAATGCCCTTTCTAATCTTCCTGCTAATTACCAAACAAGTTAAGGGAAAATTTTAAAAGGAAGTCCAAAAATAAGAACAAGGAAACAAGAAATTGGTGGGGAAAAGAGGGCAAGAGAAAGCCGATGCCCGTCACCTTCGTTTTGGGAGAAAGGGGTTTGGCTTCTTCTTCTTCCGTGGACCCTGTGGTATCTGTGTCTCCCTAGTCAGCAAGCGCCAGGTTTGATGTCGACTCGTCGTCAACCATTACTTACATTGCCAGTGGCCGCGGCAGGACCAGTTGGCGGCATTTGCCTTGGCGCGGCTGCAGCAGCAGGATTCATGACTGGCGGGGGCCGTTCGGGGGGCGCCAATCCGAGTAGTGACATTGCGGACGGGTCGGTCGCGGGCTTGATAGGCTTCGGCCTCTGACCAAACTTACCCATGAGGCCACTGCTCGGCCGCGAGCTGTCATTCGCAATCTACGGCCCAGTTAGCGTCTTTCACACCTGAGTCCTGAACTGGCTACTCACCCTCTTCGTCACGCTCTGATTGGAGTCGGGGGATTCTAGCGGCCGCTTTTTCGCCTCCGTACCGGCGGAAGTATGGATAACTGGAGGGCCGCTCGAGCGCGGCATGACGGCATCTAGGCTGGACGATGCTGCTGAGCCCGGGTTTCCCTGGCCACTGGCGCTTTGGGGCGCATCTGAAGGCTCGTTGCCAGGTGCATCCCTCATGACGATATCCATAGGCTGGGAGGGTTGAGGTGGAGGGTCAGGTTTCTGATAGGACGATGCGACATATGCGTCCGGCTTGGCTCTCTCGAGCGGGCGTCGAAACATCGACAGGATATCGCCCTTTGTATAGCGGTCTCGTCCTTGCGCATCCTCTATCAACTTGCGCCAGAACTCTCCCTGGACAAGAGCTCGCGAATCGCCCAGGATCCACAGCGACGACTTTGCACGCGTCAGGCCGACGTTCATACGGCGGATATCCGTCATGAAACCGATGCCGCCAGTGGAGCTCGCTCGGACGCAGGAGAAGATGATGATTTCGCACTCACGTCCCTGGAAGGCGTCCGTTGTGTTGAACTCGATGATGTTGGTGATGTTTTCGCCATACCGAGCCTGGAAACGAGACCGCAGCTCGTGTAGTTGCGCCTTGTAAGGTGTAATGATGCCAATCTTGCGCGTTAGATCGCAGTCACGGTAATCCCTGCTGAACCTTTCGTACATTTGCAGCGCCACATCCAGCTCCTTTGTGTTGACCAGCGACTGACCCTTTCTGCCCCGTTCTTGCACACCTTCCACATCGAAGAACCGGTAAGGCGCAAATAGAGCGTCTTTGTGCCACGGTGCCTGGCGGAGCCGCAGCATATCTTGACCGTCCTTGAGCTGGGATTCGTAGAATTCCCTGCTGGGAAAGGAGCTGATTTCCGGGTGCATTCGGTACTGCATGTCCAGCAAGTGGACCGACTTTGGGTGGTTTTGTTGCATCCGAACAAACAAGCTCTGGTCGTAGCCAAACCGCGCCGCGGACTGAGACAAGACCGTCGGAGGCAGTTGCTTGGGGTCACCGACGAGGATGCACTTGCAGCATCCGTACTTGAGCGGGATTAAGGCGCTCAGTTCCACGCACTGGGCTGCCTCGTCGATAATGACCGTCTCGAACTCGACGTCCAGGTTGCGGAACATTTCGTGGCCACTTCCGCTAAGCGTCGCGCACAGAACGTGAGCAGAGTTGAGAATCTCCTGCTGGATCTGTCGGCGGCGTAGCTCCATCTCGCGAGCTATCGAGTTGCCGCTGTCCTTGTTGGCATCGATCTGCTTTCCGATTTGCATTTGCTTTCGTTTCAGCTCGTCAAACTGCCTCGAGAGGGAGTTGTGCAACGACCGATCATCGTGGTTGCGAGACTCTTCCAGCCTTGGCCTGAGTTGCGCCAGTTGCTCCTTTACTTGAGCGGCCTCTTCGTGAAGCTTATCCCTATCCGCCTTTGCTTTGTCCTTGGTTGTATCCCCCTCAAGGCGGGCTTTGACCATCTCATCCAGAGTGACGTCCTTGACTGCGGCATTGATGGCTTCACTTCTTCCAAGGCGGAGGACGTTGATATTTCGATCTTTGCCATTGGCCGTTTTGATGCCACCCTTTAGTCGAAGGACCAACTCATCGACAGCAGCGTTACTCGGCGCGCAAACAAGAAGCTTCTTTGATCGAGCCTGATTGCCCGTAGGTGCACCAGCAGGCTTAATTGGTGTCCCAAGAGGAACTCCTGCTCCGGCCAAAGAATTCTGTGCAAGCTGTTCTGACAGCAAAGCGCCAACCATTGCTACAATCGTCTTGGTTTTTCCTGTACCGGGGGGGCTAGAAAGTAGAAGACGAGAAAGAGTCAGTACCGCTGTACAAAAGAGAGCAAGGCAAAGTAGGGGCAAAAAAAAAAAATCAATGAAGGAGAAGGACAAGGAAAGGTCAGCTCTTGTGAGGCCCTGATACTGTGCTTACCCTTGGATCAAAGTGAAGCCGTCGTTCTCCTGTGCGCCAAGTACGGCGAGGGCCTGACCTCGATTCAGAGCCCAATTCTCCATGTAGCTGGTTACGCGCTCTTCTCCGTAGCGCAAAATGGGCGATGGTTCGGCCTTCAGGATCTCGTCCATGAGATCATAGTACTGCAGACTCTCCAAGGCGGCATACTCTCTCTCTATAGTCGCCATGTTGGTGATTTTCACCCCGTATATGGTGACGCCAGGGGTCAGGTTGGGCGAGAGAGGGTTATTACGAGAAGCTACGCGATACGTCACCTCGACGGTGTCTTTTTTATAAGTAATACGATGGACTCGAGCCAGACAGTGCTTCGCGGATCCATCCACCAGGGGGTTTTCCGCCTCGGACACAAGGATAATGTCGCCCTCATAGATACCACGATCCCTATGGGGGGCTACGGGCATTGTAAACGTCACTTCCAGATAACTGTCGACGCTCGCGCGGCTGGCTATCTTCATGCCAAACGACTGGGCCGTATTCTCATCTTTAGACGTCACAAACGAGCGCCAGGCCTCAGACGCAAGCAGGGGGAAGAAGGTCTCCTGATACGATTTGGGGTCGGCGTACTTGGTGGCGACCTCAGACGCTTTAGGGCCGTTGGGGGGGTCGTTGCCGGCGTGGAAGATGTCCCACGCGAGGATCGTGTTGTGAAGGCGATCCATGGGGGGGATGAGCCGCGCTCGCATCTCCTTGACCGAGCGCTGCTGTCTGACCTTCTTGACTGGCTGGCGAATCTTGTCTCGTAGAGCCTGCTGGCGGCGCTTCTCGGCCTCGGTCAAGGATTTCTGGCCTCCCGTGCTAAGGGCAGCAAGTTGGTTGTCGGCGTCCGAGCCATCGCTATCAGCTTCAGACTCCTCGTCAGAACTGTTGACCATAATCTCACTTCTCGAATGATCCTTGCCAGTGAGGCCGAGGCCTTGCATGCCAGAGCCTTCGCCTCTGACAAACTCCCCTCGAATCTGCCTGGCGCGCGCAATAGCCTCGGCATCTCGCTTGGCTTTTTCCAGCTTTTCCCTTTGCCTGCTTTCTTTGAGCGCCGTGATCGCTTTCTGGTCGGGGATCCTGGCGGCCTTTGCTTTGGCCTGACGGGCCTCGATCTGCTTGAGCAGTGGATTATCCACCGATCTGCTAAACTCCAACACATCGTCTCGGTTGGAGCGCCCCAGTTTAGACGGGGTGGCAGCAGCAGCAGATGATGATGATGCAGCTGCGACTGCGGACTTTGACCAGGCATCAAGCTTGCTCTGCTTTTTCGTCTTATCCTTGAGAGCTTGCTCCTGGCGTTGCTGTGCGCTCATTCCCTGCTGATAGATCTGCACCTCCTCGTCCGTCTGGCCCAGGGCTTGTAGAAGCTCTGCACGCTGCTGATCGGTCAGGTTCGTAGATCGTACGTACTTTCCCGGAGTGGCAGTTGGCAGGCAGGCATCTGTAATGAGCTTGCGAGACGCTGCGTTGATTTCGAGGCCGTTTTCTTGGAGCCGCTTGAGAATCTTGCACAGAACGCGGACCGTCACATCAACGAGCCAGCGATCTTTGAGCCGAATCATGTTTTCCATTCCGCGGAAATTGTCCTTTGCAGGAGCAAGAATTTTGATCATCATGTCTTTCTCGCTCCTACCAAGCGCTGTCGCAGAAGTGAGCAGGCCATCCTCGGCAATGAGGGCCTCGGCTAGTTCCATGATCTCTCGGCAGAATTCCGTCATGATCACATTCGAGATGTAAAAGGACCACGTCTCGATATTGAGACAGGCCTTGGAGACAAAGCGCCACTGCTCATTCCACCACCGTAGGACAGTAGCGGCCGACTTGGAGTCCAGAGTTCTGACTCGAAGAACTCCCGTCGACGGATCTGCCAGGCCCCTTAAAACATCACGACTCATATTCAGCAATGGTTTGACCGGTCCCCATGGATACGGCGGACGTAGGACGCGTTCCAAAGACCAGACAATCGACGCAAGTGTCTGGTCTGGATGATGCTGCGTCATCTGCTCCAGTGCGCCGCTCCGGGAGAGCTCCCCAGTCCAATTCTTCAGAATCTCCGCTGAAGCCTCTGCAAGATCCGAATTCTCATGGACAGACAAGGCTGTGGTGACTTGGAAAGGCAGTCGGTCAGCAAACAAATCGTTCAGGTCCATTACATCGAGCTCCGATATGCGGCCCAGGATCCGCGCCAACACGTCTGCAACGTCACCAAGCGCCTTGTTGAAATTCTTGGCCGACTCTTCGAGCTTGTCGTCGGCTTTGCGAGGCCTGATCTGTTCCACAGCTACGAGCGGCGCCAATGACACAAAGATGTCCTTCGCGACGGCGACCTGGTCAGATGAAGTATCAAACATCTCCAGAACTCCTTCCCAGAATGCTTTAGAGTTTCTGATAATGGCGGTTTGAAGCTGCTTGCTGGCGTGAATGGCTTGGTACTCCTCGGATAAGAGCTTCATATCCAGCTTCATCGCAGCCACCATGACTTCGTGGGCAGCCTCAGCAACCTTGAAAGTGGTCCAACCTTCAACTTCTCCATTTCGTCCAGCCGGCCTGATGCTTGATAGAATAAGACCAAGATGTTTGACGACAAGGCTCGAGGCTGCGCTGGCGTAGAGATGGGTACTCCCCGCCGTAATGGTCATCTCCGGGTCGAGGAATGATTTCATGGTAAAGCTCAATGCATCAAAGCCAGCGCGAACACAGGCGGCTTGGCCGGGTTCGCCGATGCTAGCGTCCTTTGCGAGCGTCTCAAAGAGGGTGTGCATCAGAACCTCACATGCATCATATCTGCGATCGCGGCTGAGAGATTGTAGCCATGGCTGAATCCAAGAGGTAGGAAACGGTGCAAATTGCGATCCGGGGTCGACAACAGACCAGCATTCCTCTAGAGACTGGCGCAAGAGAGTCTTGTAGACGGGGCTACCAAAGAGCAAATCGGCAATGACGTTTGGCCGAGCATCGCCGACAACATCCCAAAAGGCCTTTGGCGATTTCTTCAGCAGACCACTGAGGACTCTGATGGCGACAACCAGCACACCTTCCGAGCGACAGAATTGAATATGTCGAAATAGCAAATCGTAGATGTTGAAGCTTCCTTGCGGGATTTCGAGGCTGCGCAAACGGCTGAGGATGATGTCATCGTTTAAAGTCCTGAGGATAGCCTCAAACCCTTGCCAGAACCGCTCGATCTCGAGGTAGATCTCGCTTGTTGCTGAGGAGAGATCCTTCTTGCTAATGTCGTCGATGGAGCTGACCAGGCCATCGCTGACAGCCCAGTCAAACTGGTCCTCCGTCATACCGCCGCTTTCAATGTTCTTCCAGTTTTCTGCCGCCCATCTACGGCGGTCCTCGTTCTTCTGGTCAAACAGGAAGTAGGTCATGCCGGGTAGAGGATCCTTAGTCCCGAGCTTGAGGTACGTCTTGCCCTGCAAACGCATGAAGACATATTGAAAGACGGCCCTTTGCTCTGCATTCGCCAGATAGGCCACACAGCACAAAGCCTCATAGACAGTGACGTGGACCTCGGTGAGATGCTCGCCGAATTGTGACTTTTTGAAGACGGCGCCGGACTTTTCAATCTTCTCGATGAACTGCTTCGCCCAAGTGAGGTTGTGGTCGATCCGGTTGACGTCGATGTTAACGAGCATATCTTGGATCTGCGCGACAGCTTCTTCATCCCACCGCCTGCATTACATGTGTCAGCAAATGTTATGTGCTGCGAACGTGGGGACATGGAGCGCCTCACTCTGAAAAAAGCTGGAGGTGGTGCCTGCGCTGCATATGCCAGTTGAGGACACATTCTGGGCAAGTCTTGAGACATTTCTCAAGCCTCCCAGTGAATTCCTCTAGCCATTTGCCGGCCTCCTGTTTGTCGAAGCCGAATATCAGACTGTTCCAGTACGTGATCTCGATTCGCTTCTTGCTCTGTTCGATGCGACTTTGCTTCTCTTCGGCCGTTATGCTCGAGTCGGGATCCTCGAGGGTTTTGTAGTTTTCGTCGTCGTCGTCGCTAACCCGTGGACACAGAAGATGAACTCCTGCAGGGATCCGCTGGAATTCTTCGTACCATTTCCCCAGCACCTCGTTGATGTCTGCCATTGTAACGAAATATCATGGCCAGAAGCCTCATCAAGGTGCAGCGGGAGGGAGTAAACACCGCTTGGGTGACACAATCCGTTTGCTGTCGGTTTGATCCCGGGTACAAGAGAAAAAGACACAAGAAGGAGCGTGGCCGTGCTGCGGAAAAGCGGAAGCGAGGGGAGAAGTTGTAGAAAGAAGGGTTGAGGGAGGTGAAGCGACGACGGAGCGAAGAGAGTAGAGATCGCGAACAAAAAAGAATAATGTGGGTCTGGCAGGCAAAAGGGCCGCAGGCGCGCGAGAGGGAGGTACCGGGTACTTGCCCCTCGCGCACGCTCAGTGACGACAGAAGGTTCCATGCGCAACCGAAAGCCCGTCAAGGTCGGATATTCGAGCCTCGCAAGAAAAGAAGAGCTGATTTGGGCATACTACAACGCATCGATGCAATTTTATAGGCTCTGTAGAGTCAGTGAGGTCATAAAAGGGAAATATACAATGGAGAAGCTGCTATGAATGTACCTAGCAATAAGAGAGGTCGGAGAATTGCAGCCACATCAAGCATGTGAACTTCAATCGATACTTACCTTTACCTACCTAAGTACCTAGGTACCTCGATAACCTTCCAAGTCCGAAGTCAACACTGAATGTTTGAGATGGCTCCCGGAGAGGTACCTACCTAGGTACTCGGTACCTGCAGCATCCAGCTGCTGCTTCTCTGACGCGCGACTTGCCGGCAGTGATCCGCGTTTCCAGGCTTAGCACTTGCCAGGGTTTAGATGGGTTTGGCTGGTTGTGACTCTAGAGGTACAACTACCGTAAAGAAACGAGATCTCAAAGCCTCTTCCAGATAGATCAACTCAAAGAATAATAGTCATGCGTCTCAAGCACATCCAAATGCTCATATGAACATGAGAGACCATCAGGTCCATCGTGCATGCTCCATGTCACTGAGAGAGGAGAAGTAAGGGTTATATAAGGTAGGTCATGCAGCAATTATTCTTCTCCTGCTGCTTCTTTTGCTTCCTTCTTGCACACGTCCTCTGCCCCGTATTCCCGCAGCGACTGCTGTGAAACCCCCTCGATACCCTAGGTATTGTCCCCAAAAGGGGAGTTGTTTCTGCACTTGCATTCGCTACCACCTTACCTTATTGTGGTTGAATCCATCAAGCTGTAACAGAGTGAATGCACCAATGCCGACTGCAGCTTGCTCTTCTGAATGGTAGCTCACACTGCCTACCTAGGCACCTAAGGTCATCGAGAGGAACAAAAACAACACACAGCAGTGGTGTCATTGGCAAACAGCCTGCAGCTACTCTGTACCTCGGCCAACAGTGATTGCTTCTCGACCTCGTAATCAACTATAGTGTGAAAATTATAGACACTGACTATTGTTTGTTGTGTAGCCACTAGGAGTTTCTTCACTCTTCGTGAGGCCCCGATCGCGCTGCATGTAGGGTAGTTTAGCCAGAAGAACAAGTGCTTTGCGTCGTCATCCGCGGACGGCTGGCAGCGTCCGACCCAAGCCTCACTGTCCTTGATGCACCTCTCGGCTTCATCTCACCTTTGTGGCATTGCTGCGGGTGCTTCTCAGCTTGGCCGTATCGGCTTGCATTACTTTCTTCCCCAACCTCGAGAAATGGGTGACTTGGCAAATACTGGTGCATCGCAATTCATCAGCGCCCAGCTTCCCCTTTGCCCAGCTTCGAAGCGCTGCAGTTGGCCTACGCATTTGACAAGCTCTCCCTGTTCCTGACTCTCTTCATCATCTCGAAAACCTTGATCGGCATATACCATCTGCTGATCTGGATACATCAGACTGCATCAGGGCTCTTCACTCTATGTCCATAAGATGTCCTCTCGGATGATGATCGACTCCTACGGTGACGAGGAGGTGCAATACTTGACGTCGCGAGATGTCGCTTCCAAGGACAGATCGAGAGCCTCGTCATCGGCTACCCTTGGCCGCACCACCGATGATGATAATGAAGAAGGCGAGGTGGAAGAGCTGGTGGAGCTGTTTGAACGCGAAATCATCGACCTCACCGAGCAGGAAATAGAGGCTGGTACACACGGTTCGATTCGTCCAGGAGAATTCTCCCTCGAAAGGTTTCGTGAGCCGCGCTCGGGGGCTCAGCTCTCTCGTGGCGACCTGATTCAGGTGAAACATGTCGAACTCGGGACTTACACCATCGACTTTGTCCAGATCAAGATCATTGCGAGCGATCGACAGGGTGACTTCAAGATCCGCGGAATTCCGTTTGTGCGGACCAGAAAACTGTTGGGCAAACTGCCAAAGAAGTGCAATGAGTTATGCATGATTCTTCACATCCAGAGACGAGATGACGGACAAGAGCTGCCCGCAGTTCTTATCGATGTTCCCACTACCTCGATTGTCAGAAGAAGAGAACTTGTCATGACCAACGCAATCTACCCAGAGCACTGTTACAACGGAGAAAACACTGATCTACGTGTCCAGAATGAACAAGCGCAACAGAGGCTGGTTGAAGATTACGGAAAGCTAGTCTGCCGCTGGAAGTTTACGATATACTTTACCTTGCAACGCCAGAGTCGTGCTACAAGGCCAGAAGAAGAAGTCCTAGAGCGCGTCCAAGCCGATGAGGTTCCAGTGTCGAGATATCGTGCGTCTGACGAGGGGCTTTGCAACCAGTGGCGGGGGGGACGCATCAAGGGAGGGTCGTGGCCTTACAGAGAGTCGAGCATCATTGATCTGGAATCAAAGTCTCGCTCATCAACGGCTCGCTCTGCAGGTAGTAGACGGATAGGGCAGAAGTATACACTCTTCGACTCCTTCTGTGGAGCGGGGGGTGTATCTCGTGGCGCGCAGAGCTCTGGCTTCAAGGTCCAGTATGCCGTTGACAAGTGGGCCGATGTCTAGCAAACATACCAGGCCAACTTTCGCGACACTGAGCTATTCAGGCAGTCTATTGACGAGTTTATTCGAGACACAAAGGACAGGCGGATGAGGGTCGACGTGTTGCATCTATCGCCGCCCTGTCAGTATTTCTCGCCGGCACACACGCATCAATCAGTCCACGACGATACCAACATATTTGCGCTCTTTGGGTGCCTATCCCTGATTTTCAAGCTGCGGCCACGCCTCATTACGCTTGAGCAAACGTTTGGGATTACACATGAGCGGCATCATCACTACCTCAGGGCCCTCATCGGAGACTACACCCAACTTGGATACTCTGTTCGATGGAAGGTGGTTCGTCTCTGCACTTGGGGTTCGGCACAGGATAGAAAACGCCTCATTATCCTTGCGGCTGCGCCGGGGGAGAAGCTGCCTCCTTTCCCTAAGCCAACTCATTCCGAGAGCGGTGCTGGAGGCTTACAGCCATGGACGACCGTTGAGAAAGCGATTGGATCCATTCGCATTGGCGACGACTTACACAATCTGGACACCGTCAAATACCACCGACCCCCTAGAGCACCGCTTGACCCAAGCCGGTTGGCAGGCACAATTACAACTGGAGGCAACGAAGTCTACTATCCCGACGGATCAAGAGACCTCACCATTCGCGAGTACGCTTGCATTCAGGGATTCCCAAGGTACCACAAGTTTATTGGAACAAAAACTTGCATCAGGAGACAAATAGGCAACGCATTTCCTCCGAATACAGTTCAGGTGCTGTATCGGCATCTGGAAGACTGGCTCCTGCAGCAGGATGGAATGACGCGATACCAGCCTTTGCCCGACAGCGGACTGAATGTCGACCTCTTTGACAGCTACCCTTCTGACGACTTCACGCGCTTACAAACGTCTTCGATGGCGCAGTCAGCTCCGGAGATGGGCGAGGACATTGTTGAACTGGCATACCCATGGGGAAGGTTTCGAAGTTCTCGGCACAGACGCAGCGCCGTTGTTGACCTTACATGACTAGACACATCATGTTAGTCATGGAGGATGAATGACTTCCCATATTTTGCCTTACTTGTCCTGGGTCGTGCTGCAGTAATGCCACATTCACTCTGCAGAGGTACTCTGCAGTAGTGGACGCAGAAGCTCAAAGGAACGGCAGCATTGCTCTGGCGATACGGATGCCCTTTGAGTGGTACATGGGTAAAGAGAACACCTGTTTATTCGGGAGAGAACTCAAAAGGTATTTCATCTCTGGCAGCTTTCAGAGCGAAAGTCACGGTTTGTAGGAGGTAGGAAGCTTATCCGCTATCAACAGCTTCGAGAGCTCAGGCATTTCATGCTCTCCCTCTCACCTCTAGACATGAAAGTTCGCCATAAGTATGGCGAGTATGCAGATAGAACTCCAACGTGTCATCTACCGTAAATCTGTGTGGTCTTTCGATGCTTGACTGGATTACCTGTACTTCATCTGTGAAGCCGAGGGGACTTTGATTGCTGCGCGTACGTGGGTGTCGTTCCCTAATGCCTCCCATTTGATGATGTTGGTGCTATCATATACGTACCTAGGTAGAGACGAGTAGATGCCCGTAGTTCATTTAACAGCACCGGCGATAATCTCTGAAGCCCAGATAGCTCAGGCCATCCGAGATATCACACTCTCCGCAAGATAGCCGGCCCGGCCTCGCTTATCGAGGGACAGCCTCCAGCGGGCGCTGATATCCATTCGCCAACTGACCGCCAAACATCCAGCTCTGATTCACGCAGCTGGCAAGCACGTGCGCGTCTCTCTATTCAAGTTTTGATTGTTCTGTTGTCCGCCTCAAGATCGTCTCGCCCAGTCAGCTGACCAGGAGGGCTGCAACCGCGATTCCTGCTCTTTCCTGCTCTTTCCTGTTCTTTCCTCCCCTCCCTTCTCTCTGTCTCCTATCTTCGTTCCGGCAACATTCCCCTTCCGCCATCACAATCCCTTCCAAAAACCTCTTGACAGCAACATTCAACTCATCAATCGCTCGCCTGAGAGTGTACCCATCCTCCTATTCCTTTCTCCACCTGCCTACGTGCCTCTCGAGGTGTTCTCATCATTCGAGGAATTTGATACAAACGACTCCCTCTTCCCTCCTCTTCCCTCAGATCCCGCCATATCGTCAGACCGTCGGCTCTGCTCTCCCCAGTGAATTCCGAGCACCGCCTGGGGACAACGACGCTACGCCTGGTTTGTTATATTCGCAGTTGCACATCTATATTCGAGCTTCGGAGCACGCTTTTCCTGGACTCTTGACTGGAGTCCCTTGCAATCGACGTCCGATCTGCTCTTGTGGTATTTTGAGTATCCCGCAGCCATTACGCACACCACTATGGTCATCAAACCCGACTTCGAGACCTTCACGGGTTCTGCAAAGGTAAGAGGCAACGCAACCTCACATAAACCAAATCGACGCCATCACCACCCCGGGTACTTGATGATGCTGACCAAGGACCGCTCGACTACAGATGCATCAGCCCGTCGTCAGGTTTCCCTCACAGGAGGAGTACGTCCGTCGACTAGAGCAGGGCACCCTCATCGAGATGGAGAATGAATTGTCACAGCTCAAGAAGCTCAACGCTAGAGGAGATACATATCCTGCATGGATCATTGCTCCCATTCCAGGATGTCAGACATCTTTTGCAACGTCCTGGCTGCTGATGGCAAAGAACCCGCACTCTACTGAGAACGTACTGTTTCCCACGGTAGCCGACAGGTTTACCATCGATATCAAGGAAAGCGTTGAGCTGCCTCATGGCGTTTTCACTCTCTATCATCTCCCTGCTACGCGCATTGAAAACCCCTTCGACAATGTTGGCGAGCTCAAAGGGAGCTGCGTGCAGAAACTCGCCGCCTTCAAGGTGGAGGTCCCACGTTGCCAGAGAACCGACGACGGCGAACAAACCGAGCTGGATATCATGGCACATCTACAGGTGTCCGGCGCTTTGGATAACATTTCTGAATGGATCTTGGATGAGAACAACCGGAAGAACATCTCAATTCGCTGGGAGGTGACAAGCCAAACCTTCGAAGCCGAACTAGATGCGTTGCGGTTCTTTGTGGCGCCCAAGAGGTCCGAGAAGAAGGGGCCTTCACACCGTTCGAAGCTTGCGTTCGACATGTTGCAGCATTTTCAGCCCGAAGACCCCGAGATAACCAATCTCCTTGCCAAGTATCGACATCTTGCAGAGCCGCACAACCCCGTGCACAAGATCTCCCCAGTTCTCGTTCAGAAATTTGCCGACTTCAACTGTGACCATTTGGCTGCCCATGAGGGCCTTGGTCACATCAAGAACGGCCTCTTTTTGGTGAATGGGTGCCCCGGTGCTGGAAAGACCGAATGGAATATGGTCATCTCGGCACTCATCCAGTCGCACTTTACATATGGCGCCAAGAAGGTTCGTCATCAAATCCTTTTCCTGGTCGACATCAACCAAACGGTATCAGACGCTGCCGACAGGTACCACAGTCTGTGTAGGGAAGCAGGACTTGATGTCCGCATCATTAGAATGCATGGTTGGCCATATGAAATGCGCCATTCCGATCGGTTGAACCAAAAAGGTGGCCAGAAGCGTGAAGGGAGCGATGCTGCTGCCGCAGACTTCACAAAAAGCTTCCTGACGACAGCAGGCATAACCCGTCATGCCATGTTGGAGAGAGACGATACGCGGGCTCCCAGTCTTGACGAGGCAGCGTGGGACCATTACGAGAAGAACAAGCACGATGGTTATCCTGGCCTCACGAAACTACTGGATCGGATTGAGACCGAAGACGTTCTTGGCAGCGAGGATTAGAGACTCCTTCGTCGCCTGGTCACCGGCTTATACCGCGACGTCCTTGCCGGCGCTGATTTTGTCGCCACCACCCCCGTAGCCGCCTCTGGCAGCTTTTATCATTTCTTTCACCCAGAGATTGTTTTTGTCGACGAGGCGCCGCATGCTCGCGAATTGACCACCCTGATTCCCTTGGCATATTTTGATCCTGTGGCCTGGATCTTCACAGGCGATGTGAAACAAACGCGGCCCTTTGTGAACGACTGCGGTTCCGCGAAAAATGCAGAGATTAAGGGGCTCAAGTTCAACCCCTATACCGAACAGCTGCGGCTAAGCACAATGGCGCGGGCAGTCGCTGCAGATGCCCTTGATCACAAGTTGTTAGTCAACAACCGCGCCTATGGCAATCTACACCGCCTCCCGTCGGCCATATTTTACGATGGAGAGATGATCTCGGGCCACGATGAGCAGAGTATGTACCCCCCAAGCACTGCGTACTTGAAGGGGCATTTGGAGAAACTGTTGGGCCGTGGAGACTTGCAGGAGAACCGGGTGGTGGTGAGCTTTGCTAGCAGTGCTGAGCAGACTCACCGGAGCAGCTTCTGGAATCCCAAGCAGCATAACTGGGTTGTTGAACAAGCCAAGTGTCTGCTGGGAGACTCAGAGTTTCAGAGCGTTTCTGGAACTCCCGGGACCATCATGATACAAACACCCTACAGCACCGCTTATCGGGAGTACCAAGCAGAGGTCAAGCGATGGCCTGAGGAATGGCAGGGCCGTGTCCAGGTCCTGACCGTGGACAAGGCACAGGGCAATCAAGCCGACGTGGTCTTCCTCGACATGGTGAGAACGACATCAGTCGGCTTCATGGACGACCCACAGAGACTCAACGTTGCCATCACCCGAGCGAGACAGGCGGAGATCATCGTCATGCACGTCCGCATGAACTATCGTCAGGCCAGGGGATGTCGACGCACGAGATACGCCACGCAGCTCTGGGCAGATGCTCAGGTGCACCGACGCCTTGTTCATCTGCACTAGCTGTTCTACTGTGTTATCAGTGTGACGGGGAAGGGTCCTTCTGGGTCTTCAGGCCTGCGATGTTGTGATATTTCGATTGACCGAGCATTGCGCGGCACGGAGCTGTGAATGGGCCGAGTTTGAGAGGTTAGATGATGACAATGTGGTTATGGAATTTAAGAAGGGTTGGAGTGTTTTGTTTGTGGACCAATGAAATAGCACCGGAGGGCAATGGAGTATCAGAGAGAGTGTGAGTGTCTTTGATCAGGTCTATCGCCCATCAATGACTGGGCAGACGGACATGCTTGTCCGATGCGACTACTGGCAGCGTACAGTGATAACATAGAGGGCAATTACAAAAAGACCAACTTGGACCAACTCGTACTCAGGAGAGTCGTCGTAACGCTTTGAATGCGGCTTGAGATGAAGGACGCAAGAGAGGCCTCTCGCTTCTTGGATGCTCGTCTCCCGGTAGCTCGTATTGGGATATCCCAGGCAGATAGGCGAGCTCTTCATGATGTAGCTGGCAACGAATCTGATTCAGAATTCAATAGCAGTGATACTACTCCATACCTTGTTTCTTCCCCTGAGATACGGAGCCTGAAGCAGATTGTGGTATCAGATGAGTATCTGGAGTAAGTGCTTTCGTACTTTGCACCTTTGCAAGGTAAGTAGGTAGGTATGGTAAGAGGGACAAGGTCTCCTTTGTTGGTGATGGAAGGGGGCTGGACTTGCGGACTGATGGAAGGGCCGCGCGCCGAATTGAGGCACAAGATGCGAACCAACCACTGCGGACCGTATGCATGTATGTAGTTCTTGGCTTCTCCACGGCTCTGCGTTCTGGTACCGTGGACGGGATCGCCGGCGTGTAATGTCCATGGGCGCTGAAGCCGTGCTGGGCTGAAGCTCCGGGATTGCTAAGAGGGTACCTTGTGTGCGTAGGTACCTGTTGAAGAATGAGAATGTGCTGTTTCCTTTGACGATTCATACCTTACCTAGGTACCTACCTACCTACCCATACTCGTTACCTACCTAAGGTACCTACCTGATACTGGCGCTCGAATATAATACTGCATTACTAAGGTAGGTAGGTACTGTAGTCAGCTGCGGGAAGCAACCCGAACTCCGTTTGTGTGGAGGATCAAGTTGGCAATTTGGAACAGTGAGGATTGCCGAATATGGCAACGCGGGGAGAGCGCTAGCTTCTTGTTGAAGAGGTCGCTACGAGTAAGGCAAGGTACCTAGGGGCAGCTTCAACAGCACATAAGAGATAGGTACTAGCTGTTCGGACAGAAGAAGTTTGGATGCGGCCTGTGAGGGACACGGCGAATGTTGATACAAGATTGTTGAGGAAGGGGACGGCTTCGGGCAGCCGGAGAGGCACTGTTACTCGCGGCAGCATCATAGGAGCTGCTCTATTAATGCCTTGTGAACCCTACCTTACCATAGTATGTACAGGAACGGGTGCCACAATCACGCAGCGGAGTTGATGAAGAGGCCGGCAATAATATGGGGCAAATCTCGCAGAAACAGGTACCGACTCTTGAGCGAAAAGGGTTGGCAGACGGCAAGGCAGACTTTGGTACTCCGTTGCTCGTACGTAGGAGCTATGTACAGATTGATGTTTGCTCAATAGGTACCTACCAATACATGTGTGCCGAGTGCCTCCCTCCCAATGTAATAAGGTAGTAAGGTACTCCGTGAGGGTGAAATGTGTAATCGACATGCTGCATGTCTGTGAATCCGGGGGGGATCGGATTACAGACTGCCATAGGTGTCGGGTGCATCGAATCAATGCTTCTCTCAGAGCGTAGGTACCTAGTCGGCACTGACGGGATAGGGTGTCGTTGCCATTGGCCACCGTGGTTGGACAACGTGCCAACTGCAGCTGGTCGCGAGCAGGATTATGCCTGAATGGTGCCGAGCAAAGACCGTCAGGGACCTCTGCTGTCAGACAAGGGATGCAGCAAGCAAGCGTTGGCGGCGAATAGGGAGTCGCACGGAGCTGAAGCCGTCCAAGTCGTGTCGGTCGGTAATATAAGGGGCGAGACTCGCTTGCGAAACTCACACCTACCTAGGTAGTACTACCCAGGTAGCTTACGTCAAGCACCATCTCTACAGCCTACCTGAGCAATCTGGGACCAACTGATGAGCTAGAGATGTCTTCAAAGCATCGGATACACTTCCCTTTGGCATCCTTGAATGCGGTCGGCACCAGATAAAGGACATGACGTGACAGTATGCCATTTATAGCGTGTCGAGCCTTCTGGGCCGGTTTTCTTTTGGCACTGCAACCTTGGATCCTAAGCGCCGAGCAGCGAGTGGGGGAGAAATCATCAGCAGTCGGCGGAGAAATTGGCACCAGATGCCAGCGACTCGGGAGTTGGTCACTGTGCTAAAATAGGTACCTTAAATAACTGCTGGCAGCTCGACATTAGCTGGTGCCACATTTGCGCGGCCCGGCAGGACTGAGATATCCCCACAAGTTTCCATGTTCCTTTTTGGAACGTTTCCCTCTGTCTTCTCTGTAATGAGATCGGCCCCACGAACTGTGTTGTACTATCGAGGCTACTGAGGTAGGCACCTGCTACTAACCTACCTCCTATGTATACACGAAGTAAGAACGACATTGGGCAACGACCAATTCGTCGACTCACTTGCCAATGATATACCAGACAGAGAGTATTACTAACTTACTCTGTACGTACTTGGAAGTAAGTAAATCAGTCTCTCTGTAGTTACCAAGGTAAGGTACATGTAGACACCTCATTGCTGAGTCCCCAATCCCCCTCAACTGGTCCGGACTGGATGATCCTGCGAACATCGAAATATCCGTCGCCTTGCCTTTCCAGGCTAGCATTACGGTGCGCATTTCGCCAAGGCGTGCGCAGCAATGCATGTGCAACGCACTTGCCGCATCTTTTCCACCAACTTGCTCAGCCCTGTGTCCACCTTGCCGTGCCGTTGGCAAGTGCTTGGGCTGGGTATTAGCTGCAAAGTGCCAGAGAAAGAGCGAAGGAAGGCCCTGCTGACTCTACTTTACTTGTACAAAGCCGGGCAGCAACTCCGTCGTTCTTTGCCTTTCTCATCCTCTGACTTGCTAGTCTGAATAATCAGGTCCTCTTTTTTGCTCTCCAGCTTCTGCCTCTCCATGATGAGGATTTCTTGACAACCCGCAGAAGAAGGCCTTGGGAGCATTCATCTCTCAACACTGACATCCCTGCACGCGGGCGAGATACCCGTCTTTTTTTTTTTCCCTCCCCCTCGGCCGTGGGCGGCCTCCCACGCTATTCGAGAACGACAGCGACCGACGACTGAGCGAGAGAGAACCGGAGCGGCGACCTTAGGCAGCCAGGAGCAATGGCTTCGTCCAGCTCCATCGCCAGGGGAGCTGTCACACCCGACAAGAGCTCTATCAGTGGACATGTGAGGACTGCAGGCGACATAGCGAGCCATGCCCTGGCGAGGAGCTTCGAGGCGCTGCGAGGGTTGGCGCTCGGGGGCGGGAGCAGCAGCAGCAGCAGCAGCATCGGCGTGCAAGCGGGTGTAGGTCTGGATGGGGAGGGCTATGGAAATCGAAACGCGAGACGGATTGCCATTGGGAACAGCCTCGATTCCAGGACTATCCACAATGGCCTGCATCTACAAAAGCGACATCTTGGCGGCGGTGCAATTGCTGGAATCACGGTCGGTGTCGTTGTTGCGGTTGCACTGCTGGCCATCTGTCTCTATCCGTGCTTCCTCTATCTCAAACGTCGCCGGAGCGCCCAGTCGCATCCAGCGTTCGATGCTGAGGCAGGCATTGCTCCCCACGCCGGACACGGCAGCAGCGCTTCTGGCGGAGCAAACACGCCTCCAAAGCGCCTCTCGTCGAGCGATTCGTATAGACACAGGGGCGAGTTGACGCGCGGAGGAGATGGAGATGGAGGAAGCGCTGATTACGGCAATTGGGAGGCTTCTATCGACGGCGGCGGCGTCAACAATGGCTATTCTTATCCCCTCAGCGCGGCGTATCTGCAGCCTGGGGATCCTGGGCTTGTCGACAGCAACATTGCTGAAGAACACCGAGTCAAGGCTCAGCCGTTTCCGCTGTTGGGATGCGAAGACGGCGAGTTCGCACCGCCGATAGCAGACGATCACCAGCCCGGCGTGCTCAAGGGAACCAGCGCCGACTACTACAGCCCCCATATCCCATCCGAGGCCTTTGGCATGGTTACACAGCCCGACGCGGCGCTTGACTCGCCCGTCCCGCCACCCTCTTCACGTTCCAGCTCTCTTCGCCAGAACATGATGCAAATCTTCCGCCGCAAGACGGGCAGAGACGCAACCATAGACTCTACCATCTCACGGACAACCATCCCAGAAGGGGCCGCAGCGTCTCACCTTGACGGCGCCACTCCGCTGCAGACGCTTATAACCACGGGTGACCGAGTCGATTCTCCCACAAACATATCGGCTGCCTCCCTGCCCCTCTCACGCTCGCCCTCACATCAGCGTCCCAGCGCTGAGGCCGCGCCTGGAGCGAGCTTGGCGCCGGCCAGCCCGCCCACCAGTAATGCGCCGGAGCCCTCCTCCAAGGCCACGCCTCCAGAGTCTCCTCCATTCCCGGCATATCATCAGTTCCGAAAGTCTCCCTCGCCGCCTATCGCTGCCCCCGGAACCGTGAATCCCATGGACATCATGCCCGCCTCTACGGAAACAGAGGTCTGGCATAGGACCGAGCACCAACTCTACGAGGCCTTCCACAAGGCGTCGACGAGCGATCCAGTCGCGGTTCCGGCGCAGGAGTCGTCTGCCATGCCGTCCCCTTCTCCAACGCCTCCCGAATCGCAGCCCCAACCTCAACCGATATTTACCATACAATCACCCGGCGCAACCAGTCACACCGGACTCACTCCCGACTACATCATCAACTCGAACAACACCGACACTAATACCAATACCAATACCGCCCAAATTAATCAAGCTCAGTCCTACCACGACAACGGCGATGTCGCTATGCTAGAAGCACCTCTCCCTCCAAACCACGACCACAGCTTGGCAGCCCCGGACGGCCGGCACGCGAGCTACCCCTCCGACCATTCCACCCCTCTCCCCGGCCCTTCGTTCACCGATGTTTCATCACAGAACACGCCCTCGACTCAACTAGATACCCCCTCCCCCGAGTCCATGGGAAGTTCTGATTTCCGACACAGCACGTCGCCACACTCTGGCGCCGGCAGCCACTCCCCCAGGACTGGAGTCTACCGATGCGATGAGCCTGGTTGTAACCAGGCTTTTGATCAACCACATAAACTCAAGTATGAAGCGCCTTTTCGGCTACTGTGACTTTGTTGTGACTTGTACTGACTATTTGTTCACACAGGCATCATCAGCGATATCATAGCAAAGACCACAAGTGCCCTTATGCTGGCTGCGGCAAAGGTTTTGGCACCAAGACCCATCTGCAGAGGCACATCAATGACCGGCATGAGAAGAAGAAGAAATTCCATTGCTCTGTCGTTGGGTGCGATTACTCCAGAGCCGGGGGCAAGGCTTTTCCTAGAAAGGATAACTGGAAGCGACACATGATTAAGATACACAATATCGAGCAGCAGCAGCTGCCCGAGCCGATTGAAGTCGACATGGACCTTGACGGGGTATGAACAACAACTGGAACCGGAAGATAACGGAGAGAGAAAGAAGGAGAGAGAGAGTGAGAGAGATTGTGGGGACGGAGGTTCTGAATACAAGAAAGCAATGGTGTGAGGGTGGGTGAAGACGCATAGAGGTTTCTCTTTCACCGCTATGTGCCCTCAAGGAAGGGGTTTGACGCACCCCCAACGCATCATGACCCCCTTCATGATACATTTTATGATCTTGCAGCAAGCCAGCGGTTTCAAGGCTCATTCATATCCAACGGCGCTTCACTCAGCGGCAACCTTGACAGCACAGCTGGCATTCGGCTCGGAAAGCCAGTGACACTTGGGAAAAGCAGACCCAATTATCGCTGCTCTGTCGCTGCATCCTGAATTCTCATCACGATTTTTCTTCAGCCCTAGCAGGTCCTTTTTCCTGTTAGATTTGATCTTCACTTCGGGCACAGTCGGTCACTATCTCATTCAGCACACATGGTACAGAGTTCCGTCGAGGAAAGGGCATTTTAGCTTCAGCGAGCGCTTGGATATTTCTGGTGAGGCGTTTCACCCTACATTAGTAGTCTTTTGTATAATACGGATGAGCCCGCCCCATTCTGTTGATGAATAAACCAACCTAAATCACGCGAGAACGGGCTTGAGGAAGGCGGTTCCTTCTTTTAATTTCCGTCCTCTCTTTCAATCTACCTAGCTTGATGGGAAGACAGACATGCAGCTCCAAAGGAACAAACAAACGCGTGATGGGTATATTCAACAAGAGCAGATGGCCCGCCGAGAAAAGCCGTCCGCAAGTACTCTGTGGGTGTACTGCGAACATTTGATGTTTTTTCATCTCTGTCTCTCCCTCTTCTCGTTCGCTTCAACTCAGTTCTTTGATCAACTTCTTGACCAGTCTCCTCTGTTCGTCCACGCCAAGTGACTTTTCATCTGTTTCCTGAATAGCTCTGCCGACGGCAATGATGGCCTTGGTGCTATCACTGTCGACCCACAGCCTGCCGTTCCTGCCAGTCGCCGTCTCAAACTGGACGCCGGCGTCGGCAAGCTCGTCGAGTACTACGAGCCTGCCCTGCTGCGCCTTCTTGGGCATCATCAGGAGGCGAGACATGCCTAGCGAGATGGTGAACAGCATGCCTCCAACCAGCGGCCCAAGGCCATCGGCTTTGCCCGTTGAAGCCGAGACACACTCGAGCTCGGCGTCCATGTGCTTGTTGGCGAGCGTAACGCGGGCGTAGACCAGCGCTCCGGGGAGCAGGATGGGGCGCGTCTTCTTCGTGGCGGACTCGAACGAGAGCTGAGGGAGGAGGGCGGGAGCGGTGTAGTCGGAGAGGCTGACGAAGTAGACTTCCTGGGCGGATTTGTTGACGGTGCCAATGACGAGCTCGCCTACGCGCGGGATGTACTGTTCCGATGACATCGCCAGACTAGAGCGTTAGCCGTTGAACCAGCACCACCACGATCGCGTCGGCGTCAATTCAGAAAGAGTCAAGAAACAGCTAAGTCTCACCCTGCCATTTGCCGTCTCTACACGGATGGCGTTCTTCTGTCGGTCCGTCACCAGTTGACCAGCCAGCGTCGGAACGAGGTCGCTGGGAGGGACATGCCGCAGGCCAGGGCCTAACCGGAGAGGCTTCTTCTCGTGCGAGGGTATCAGTGAGGCATCGATTCGATCGCCCGGCAGGACAAATATTGGTTCTGAGGACATGCTGTGTGATGTGATGCCAAGATGTAATCGATGAATGAAGAACAGAAGAAACAAATGCTCAGGCTCAGCCTTGCGTTGAAGTCGGTCTGAATTTTTGGAGCTTCCGACCATAGACCTTGATTGGCCGGATAAGCGATAAGGTTGCCTGCTTTGGAGGGGCCGCATCTGATTGGCAGCCTTCTATCGCCGCACCGCGGGGTGGCTGTAGCCGCCAACTGGACTGGATCCCGTCTGGCTGGGTCTCTCTTTTTTTTTTTTGCTCGAAATTTTTTGTTAGGAGGAAAAAAAGCAGCCCCTCCACCCAGAGAGCGTCTTCAACCCACTTCGCAACTTCTTACAATCTTTTCTTCCTCTTTTTTGCTTGCGAATTGACTGACGCAGCAGCAAAAGATTCCAGCGTCTGATTTCCATTCCCTCCAGTCGACTATTGAATCTTGAAACCGGGTTCTGCCACAAATCACAAAATCCGACCCAATGTCTGAGAGCAACGGCGTCAAGTCCGGGGTCGAGCCCGGTGACCGGGTCGCCATCGGCATCACCTTTGGCAACTCCAACAGCTCCATTGCCTTTACCGTTGATGACAAGGCCGAGGTCATCGCCAATGAGGACGGTGGTATGTTTCGATCCTTCTTTACTCCGAGAGAATACTGCGTGGCTCGTTAATGAGCATGCAGTTGGGGGCTGAGGGCGAGATCTTGGGTCGCAGCAGCTCTTCAAACTGCCAAGTCCGATCTTGGAATCCTGTCTTTCCTCTTGTGTCTTCTCTTCTTTCTTGACTGACACGGCGTTGTATCACAGACCGACAAATCCCCACGGTTCTCTCCTACGTCGACGGCGACGAGTACTACGGTACCCAGGCGAAGAGCTTCTTGGTTCGCAACCCGACCAACACCATTGCCTTCTTCAAGGACTTCCTTGGCCAAGAGTACGACTACCATCTTCCAGCAATGAAATGGAAAACAAGAAGAAGAGAAAAACTTCCTTGAAGAGATATAAACAATGGGATTTAACATTCCGACGCAATGCTGACCGTTTTACAATTCATGCAGATTCAAGTCAATCGATCCCACACACTGCCACGCTGCTGCCCACCCCCAGGAGGTCTCGGGCGAGGTTGCCTTCACCGTCAAGGACAAGGCTGGCGAGGAGGATGAACCCTCAGTCATCACAGTCTCCGAGGCTGCCACCCGATATCTGCGACGCCTCGTCACCGCCGCCTCCGAGTACCTCGGCAAGAAGGTCACCTCTGCCGTCATCACCGTCCCCACCAACTTCACCGAGAAGCAGCGCGAGGCCCTGATCAAGGCCGCCAACGCTGCCGAGCTTGAGGTCCTGCAGCTCATCGCCGACCCCATTGCCGCCATCCTGGCCTACGATGCCCGCGCCGAGGCCAAGACCGAGGACAAGATCATTGTCGTCGCCGATCTGGGCGGCACCCGCTCCGACGTCGCCGTTGTTGCCTCAAGAGGCGGCATGTACACGATCCTGGCCACTGCACACGACTACGAGTTTGCCGGTGTCCATCTCGACCAGGCCCTGATGGAGTACTTTGCCAAGGAGTTCCAGAAGAAGCACAACGTCGACCCGCGAAACAACGCCAGGAGCTTGGCCAAGCTCCGCCTTGAGGCCGAGGCCACCAAGAAGGCCCTGAGCCTGGGCACCAACGCCCAGTTCAGCGTCGAGAGCTTGGCTGACGGATTCGACTTCTCCGCCACCCTCAACAGGACACGGTACGAGATGGTTGGCCGCAAGGTCTTTGAGGGCTTCAACCGCCTGGTCGAGAGCGTCGTCAAGAAGGCCGAGCTGGATGTCCTGGACGTCGACGAGGTCATCATGTGCGGTGGCACCTCCCACACCCCCCGAATTGCCACCAACTTCCAGTCCATCTTCCCCGAGTCGACCGTGATCCTGGCCCCCGCCACCAGCACGGCCGCCATCAACCCCTCGGAGCTGCAGGCTCGCGGTGCTGCCCTCCAGGCGTCGCTGATCCAGGAGTACGACGCTGCCGACATCGAGCAGTCCACCCACCCCGCCGTCACCACCGTCAAGCACATCTCCAACGCCATCGGTGTTGTTACCGTCAACGCCGAGGGCGAGGATGTCTTCACCCCGGTCATGCAGGCCGAGACGGCAGTTCCCGCCCGCCGAACCGTCCACATTGCTGCCCCTGCCGAGGGCGGCGATGTCCTGGTCAAGGTCGTCGAGGGTGGCACTCACATCAAGGTGACCAAGCCCGAGCCCAAGGCCAGGGTCGAGGACGTGCCCGAGGACGAGGACGACTCCGACTTTGAGGAAGAGGAGGAGGAGGAGAAGCGCGAGAAGATCTGGAAGATTGGCTCACCGCTTGCCGAGGCCGCCGTCAGGGGCGTTTCCAAGGGTGGCAAGGTCGAGGTCACCATCAACGTCGCGGGCGACCTCAGCGTGACTGTCACGGCCAGGGAAGTCGGCGGCAAGGGTGGTGTCAGGGGCAACCTGCAGGCACCGTAAAATTCGAGATGGGTGCTTGGAGGTTGAGTAGAAAATGGAGAGACCAACGTAAAAGTCAGAAGGGGAGGGGGAGGTTGCATTATTCTTCGGTCATGAATGTAGAAGTATATATGTTACAATCTGCTGGTTGTGCGGTTATCGTACGGGGTGGAGCACATCTTTTTCCTATAGAATTTCATGAGAAGCATGAGGATCGCTGTACTCGAAAAATTATTGGGACATGGAAGTAGAGTACGGTCGAGATAGATATTAAGAGAAGTTGATATTTGGATGCCTAGAATTTCCCATGAGAGAGCACAAGCCAGTGAAGGGGTGTTGAGACAACGCGCAAAGAAAGAAGAAAAAAGGATGAATAGTAAAACCGCTACCAAGATTCGCTGCACAAAATATAATCAACCATTTAGACGGTGACGCTCCCAGGTAAACTCCAAGCAACTAAATCATCTCTCACGTCGGACTCCCCAATCTCCTTTGCGCGCTTCATGCTCTCCCTCTCGCGCTCGCTGCTCCCGAGCGTTGGCGCCAAACTCATCAGGCTGGCAACGCTCTTAGTGCTGGCCATGTCGTCGTCCCTGGCTGTCGATTCGCGGCCGTCCTCCCGAATTCGCACGCCCTTCTTAAACGGATTGCGATTGCCTCCACCCGTGACTGTCGAAACGCTCTTATCGCTTGACCCCGAATGGGTACGGCGATGGTGAGGATTGGGGCTGTGGAGTTGAAAGGAGCTTCCCGGGCGGAAGTGAGATGACGAATTGGAATGGTTGCGGCGGTGGTTCATGGCCATGCGACGATATTCAGGTGGTCGTAGGGCTCCCGAGTTCTCGCCGTCCTCCTCGTAGTATTCATCTTCGGAATCGGGGCTGGTGGCGCTTCTATTCTTGGTTCTCCAGCCGTTGCCACCAGAGAAGATGTCCTCGATGCATTCATCAGTGGGAAGCTCTGAGGGTTGACGAGTCCACGACGCTGCGAGGGTCCGGCGATACAGATCTTGGACCTCGGCAACATCTCGGTTCTTAGACAAGTTTGGCAAAGCTACCGTGTTATCAGCTTTGATATGTCAATATACAAGAGCGCACGAATCAAAAGGTATATAGCAGTACAGCACAGGTAGCCGACCAAAGGGTTCAACTTACGTCCCACTACCTCGTCCTCGTTCTGCTCCGGCGCCATGAAGCCTACAATTCCCCCGAATACGGGCGCCGTTTTCAAAGGTGGCGCGATGAAGTTGCGTTCGCCATCGACCTGGATGAGGAGGATGCTCACTTTGAGAGTGCTGTTGACCTTGCTGTCTTGCATGAGGTACCTGCGCACGATGCCATCTTCACACTCTCTCTGGATCTCATCGGACAGTTTCAAATCCCTAGCACTTGTAGGGCTCAGTCCGGCGCTATTGGTGCGTCTTCTGGATGATGGCGGCGAGGCAGGATCCCTCAGAAGGCTTTCGCTCTCTTCGACAAACTCGGCAAGGTTAATCTTGATATGACCAAGGGTAATCTTCTCGGTAAGGGCAAACTCTTGGACAACTTCGAGCTCCAAGAGGCACTCGTTGAGGTGGTTGTTTCTGTCGACGGACATTCGGACCCCGGTAATCACCTTGCTGAAGTTGTACTCAACTCGGTGATTCGCAATGGCCGCTTTTGCGGTGCGGCCACGATGCTCTGCATGCATAGAATGAGGTAGATGCCATTTGATGAATGATGTGCCAGAAACGAGCGGCACGTTGTTTAGATCGAAAATCTATGAGGTCATACCATAGCATAGAACGTTAGGCCATCAAGCGTCTCTTAAAGATGAATTCACCTCTCTCGTTTGTGTGGTCTCACCTTGAGATGCAGGTCAAATCTGGGCTGGACACAGAAGAGTAAGGTGTTAGTTAAGAGATCACTCGGATGGCTTAGAAGCAGGACGGAAATGGGCGTTGAATTGCCTCACCTTGCGCCCCTTGCCGACTGTGGGAAAAAAGGGCATGTTAGCCAAGTGTTGCTGCAGGGTGCCTCCGGATAGGCCGGGTTCAGGAACAAGTCGCGTCGAACCAGCTCACTGGAGCTGAGGATGAGACTTGAAAAGGGAAGCGGCCAGCGCATAGTCCAGGTTTAACAGGAAGCATGAGCCTGGAGGAAGGAATGCATCAAGGGGCCACGCCCACTCAAAAAGGCTGATGCAACGCGCAGTCGGCCCGTGATAGTTCACCAATACGACGAGCGGGAGGATCGGGCTTACTCAGGGCAGACATTGTAGCCAAACGAGGCCACGGCTAATGATAACCAAGCAACCAATGCCGGTAAGGCCTAGGCAGTCTCACTAGTATGCGATGGTTTGAGACTGCATGACAATACGGCAGACAAGGAAACAAGCCACTGCAAGTGGAACTTGAGCTCCGCGGCGCAGCACGCTAGTGATTTGCGTGAACTGGCCGGCAGAGATTAACCGGAGGGAACAGGTCGAAAGACTGCGGTTGAGCTGCGCCTCGAGGTGTTGTGGCAGGCCAGGGCGTGGGGTGAGGCAGCAGAAGAAGCTGGCTGGGGAGATGCGAACGATGTGGTTGAGGTGGACGATGGACAAAGGTCGATGACAAGCTGAGCGCTAGTGGGAGTAGTAGTACGTGGACGAGGATGTGCAGCACTGGCTGGCAGGCGTAAGGTAGTTGTGTCGGTGCTGCTGGAGCGATAGAAGCAGGAATGTGGATGTTACATCGCCAGCTGACGGGCAGCTTTTGACGTTGCGAAGCGCGTGCCCCTATTGCCTAATGGATGAGGCGGCATTAGACAGATGAGCTGCAGCTGTCTGGCATGCTATGGAGCACGCCTGAAATGAGTTGAGCGAATGAATGCAACTGGATACGCGTACCTTTCAGGGATGGGCTCGCTAGAGATTGGGAACCCGGCACTGCCGATTCGTATGTCTCGACAACTGACAGGGTTGAGGGTTCGGATGCCTCCAGCCGGGGTAAGGAACAGAGACGTGGTGTTTCGCTGATAGTAGTAGTATGTAGGTAGATTCGGTGTGGCTGAAGGAATCAGAGGTGGATCAATGTTTGGACTTGATGAGACCCGATTCAGGAGCTGAGATTGTACATATCATGGAAGTGTTACCGATGATTGGGATGATTGAACGCTAGAAGATCGGATGGAGAGAAGCTGTTGCATATGCAGATGCCTCTACTAGACGGATCGTTGGAAAGGTGGAGATGATGAAAAATGCGGGCGGCGTCTTGAGATGGGCAGTATTATTATTACAGTACAAGGCGGTGAATTCGTGGCTGAGATAATAGGAGATGATGGATTCGTACCTACGATGTGTGATTGGGAAGGAGCTTCGAATGGAGAATCGATCGCGGAAGGTACAGAGGAAGCACGCGGGACTTGGAAGGAGGGTCATTAATTGGAAGTGTTTCGTGTAAGGAGACTTAGCAAGTACCTACCTAGCAGGTATCGATGTGATGTTTCGGGAGGTGATGCAATTGACATTGTTAACCTACGTCACAAGAGAGATCGTGTCATTAGAGGGTCAGAGAGTCGTGTTATTTTCTCAGTGTCAATGCCGGGAAGAACAAGAGACAAAGGTCACAATGGGAGAGAAATGCAATTGAATGATACCCGGAGCAATGCTTGCTACCTTACTTACCTACTCAGGTAGTATGAATTACCTGTTCACCATGTTGATACATCCAATACCTCTGGACAGCAGTTGAGCCTGCCGAGTCGATACTCAGGGGGGAGTGTTACAGAGGCTTCAGAAGGATGGCAAGCAGACTACAGCGACAAGTTACAGTGGCTGCATGTACCTACTGACTTGTAGCTCCCTCGCTTATCGATAAAAGCACGGCAAGAAAGTTTCCCAGACCGAAGCCATCACCCGCGCGCGCAGTGAATCTCGGCCAAACCCGCAAATCGAGCTTCGCAAGGCTCTCTCTCCATCTTGCCATTGCGATGGCTTCAACCCATTCCACGGGCGGACAGTCCGCTGCTGCTTCCAAAAAGCGCGGCCCCCCAGCTCACAACGCCCGCAGCGATGCGTTCATGCAGAAGCGCGCCAAGGTGCATGCTGCGCGAAGCATCCCGACGCAAGCTGCCGATGCCGCGCTCAAGGATGGCGAGCTGGACCTGGTGGCCTTTGTAGCGGCGCACGAGTTTGAGATTCGTGCCTTGGAGCAGAGCATGGCCACGACCAAAGCAGTCAAGAGCAGCAGGGCCTTCCAGCAGGTCCCTCGCGGGTTGAGACGGCGCACGGCGAGCCACAACCCCAAGCGGGTGCCGCGAAGGCTTCGGGCCAGGGCCAGGAAAGAGATGGACGAAGACAACACGCCCCTAGTCGAATCACGAAAACGAAAGCCGAGGACGACGAGAGCGAGGATACGAGCCCAGACGGCCAAGCGACTGCGCATACTCTCAGCGCGCAAGAAGAAGAGGAAGCAGAAGAGGAGCCAGCAGCCCTCCGACAACGAGAAGCAACACGACCCGAAAGCGTCTGCGACAACGGGCGTCACCGACGTGGCAAGGGCTCCCAAGCCCAAGATACGGAGGAACGCGCTCAACGAACCACCCAGACCGGCCGCAAAGTTCAGAAGGAGGCAGATGAACAAAACCTGGCTGCCCACACATCAATGGCACGCAAAGCGGGCTCGCATGACGGAGCCCACGGAGCCCCTGTGGCGCTTTGCCATCCCGCTGACACCCAATGAAAAGATATATCGACCGACGCACAGGGCGCAAGGAGAACGCGGGACAATGGTCTGGGACATGACATATATGAGTACCATTGGCCTCTATGGAAACTTTGCCGGCATGGCGCGAGTCCTCCAAAGGGTCGGAGTGACGAATGATTCTTGCTGGGACGACAGAGGAGCAAAGTGGAGGCAGGGTACCCGAGCGTGGACTGGCATCTTGAGCAGGGAGAGAGCCGGAATTCGGCGGCCAATATGCCAATCGATAGTTATCTGGGATCCTGAGGCAGCGCCACAACACATCGACGAAGATGGCGCAGGGAGGGAAGGAGAGCAGCGAGGCGCAATCGACAAGAAGATGCAGAGACGCGTCTTTCTCAGAGTCCATCCTTCGGCTTTTCTGGAGCTATTCAATGAGCTACTGCGGCTGATCAAGATGGAAAAGCCCAGGCTGTACATTGAAGATTTGAGGTTCGAAATCGGAAGCATAGAGCTCTCTGGTCCCGCGTCTACCGAGGTTCTACTGTCAGTCTTGACGCCGTATCCTTCCGGGGATTCAAGTCCGAAGAACAAGCATGCCGAACTGTTCGAGTCTCTGAAAGGGCTAACAAACCCGGCGGCCCTACCGAGTAATTCAGTGCTACACTTTGCAGTCCAGGATCCTCGGCTGAGGTATCCGCCACGGAAGATGGAGTTCCCCGAGAACGAGCAGGCTCAGATGGATTTGCTGGCAACGATCGCCAGCTGGCCCGCGGAAGATAGCTTGCAGCCGTCGCTGCTATTCGACCGACATGCCCGTCATAGGGCCTCTTGCTTGCCATCACAAAAGTCCATCAACAGGAGAAGAAGTAAGGTCACATCCGGAGCGCTCCTGAAGCCAACCATCCACGATCCCCCAATCCCCGTCACGCTCATCGCGTCTCGTTCCGCGCCAGGCGCGCAGGCGCAAGGGACATGGACTCTGCTGGCTCCCTGGAAATGCATACTCCCTCTGTGGTACAGCATCGTTCACTGCCCGCTTGTCTCGGGCGGCAACCCACGGTTTGCCGGTCTCAACGAGACGATGCAAGTGGCCTTTGAACGCAGTATCCCATGGTTCCCTGCCGACTTCCTAGGTACTGACGCAGGAGCTGAATGGGAACTTGAGCGCAGGCAGAGGCGAAAGAGGGATTGGGCACGGCGCCCCAAAAGCAAGAGGGTCGAATGGACGTCTCTATCGCTGGGCGCAGGCCGACAGGGCGAGATTGGAGACGGCCACGCCTGCGACTTTGAATTCCTCTTTGGCCTTGCGGCGCAGCAGCAGCAGCCGAGTGCACCGCCCGACGATGCAGGGGAGGCAATGGACGTTGATGAGGAAACTTTGACGCCGACCAAGGAGAAGTTGAAAGACGTCGCGATACCACGCCTCAAGCTTTTGAACAGCATCCCCAAACCAGACTTCAACAGCCTGCTTTCGCCATCCTCGCCTCTTCAGCCGCTTCCTCCAAACGCCATTGCGTGCGTCCGGATATCGCTCCTCTCGCGAGGCGTTGTCGGTCCATGCGCGAGGATATACCGTCTACCTTCAGTCCCCATCCCAATACCGCCGTCATCCGATGCCGAAGTTCCCGCAAGCATGCCCCCAGAGGCTTTGTCTCTTCCGTCCGATCTTCGTTCGCAGTGGCTTTCACGCATCCCCTTGTCTTCGTCCTCTCCCACCTGGTCCAAGTCCAGGTCATCTCTAGCTTCCCAGACTCATTCAAAGAGGGCAGCGTCGCGTTTAGACGACCTGGAGACGCGCAAACGCATTCTAGCGCAGGAGCTCCTCAATGCTCCTTCAACTCTGGAAAGCGGCTCGGGGGCCAACGAGGCGGATATTGGCGGACACCATCCGCTGGTGCCTGATGCAAAGGACCTCATTGGCTTTGTCACCACGGGGTCTTTCTGTCTGGCGAATGGTCGAGGGGCGGCGATTGGCAGCATCGCCGTAGAGAAGGTGTTGGCAGAAGTCCGCGCGAACCCCAAGGAGGGGAGGCTGTGCATTGTGAGAAACGCCGGCGAGAATGTTGGCTGGATCGCAAGGTGGGAGGCGGTTTGAGAGATAGTGCTTGCTTCTTTCTTCCTGCGCGTGAGCAACAAGACAGCGGTTTCTGGCTACTTATAGAGGAGCATATGACGATGACGACGATTGCATGGTACGCTTGGTCGCAGGCTGGTCAATATAGGTTGTTGAATAGATGTGGTGCAGAACAACATGTACCTCCTGACACATAGTCACCTTGAAATACCCAATAAGAGCTCTTTCACGCTCATGGCATTGAATTACACGCGAGTTTTCCAAGTCAAGCCATAGATGCTTCGTCTAGCAGCCTTCTTTAGCACCAAGTGCTGTCGGCTAAACATTCGAGAGCTTACGATGCGCAACTACGCTACCTAGTAAGGTAGCATCAAGATGACGATAGGCTCGAGTTTGGGGGCTTGTGAAAGGCGCCATTGACAAGAGACCGGGCGACATGGCTGTTGGTTTCAAGAAGCGGCCTGAATTATTTGTCTTCATGTTCCTTTTCCTCTTATTTGTCAATTTCTTGAAGAACTAGAACTGCACGAGAACGTTAGACGCTTGTCGAGAAGCCTCGTCAGAAACATATTGGAGAGAGGGAGAAAGAGGAGCATCGTCTCTCCGCTTCCTTACAAGCTACGACAGAGATCCAACTGACAGTCTCGCTTCATAACCTCACGTCTCTTGGCAGACCTGTTGTAACGGAGATCAAGGACCAAGGCATTTAAGCAGACATGGCTTCATCAGACGACACTCCAAAGAACATCACCGGCGGCTGCGTCTGCGCATCAGTCCGCTACACAGTGACGTTTCCCCCTGACCACGACTTTGCCAACAGCGTGCGTTCCTTTATCCTGTTTTCCGCCGTTCTGTTTCCTGTCCTTTCATCAACCCAGCTAACGAAGAAGAAACACGCAAGTCAACAACCTGCCAGTGCCAGCAGTGCCGCAAAAACACGGGCTCCCTCATCTTCCGCTCCCACAAGGTGCCCAAGTCCGCCGTCGCCTTCACGGCCCGGTCGACGCTCGGGCTGTACTCGGCCACGCCGCACTGCGAGCGCGGCTTCTGCTCCCGCTGCGGCAGCTTCTTGTTCTGGCAGCGGGACGACCGCGACTACACGTGCCTCACCGTCGGCTGCTTCGACGCGCCCGTCCTGGCGCGGTACGGGCCGCTGCTCACGGCCGCCAGGAGGCACCTGTTTTGTGAGAGGGAGGTGCCCGGCGTGACGGATCATCTGGTGGGTGAGAAGTTTACTGGGGATGATGAATGACGTGTGTCTCTCTGTCTGCTTTGTCCTGGTAGGAAGCTCTTGTAGCACATGCCATTCCATATCGATTATGATTTGTCCTCTTGATCTAGGTTCCTTTACTGTATGCGTTTTCCCCAACAAGGCACTGGCAGAAGTTGAACAGGCGTCAGTCCAACAAGACAGAAGAAGAACGGTCAGGAGAGCGGGCAAGGCTGGAGAAAGAACAAAATTCAATCATTAAGAATCTCGCTGGTGGTATCTGGCGTTGGCTAACCCATGTCAATCGAACGCCTTCCCTCAAGCAACCAATATATCAAGTCCCACGGCAAAGTCAATAAATCATAAAGAAGTCAAACAAAAAAGGAAAAAGCGATGGAGGGAAAAAAGAGACCCGAGAAGTACCATCAACTCCCTGACCCCATCTGTTGCCCTGTCTTTGCCCAAAGTAATCCCAGCCGAATTCGCCTGTCGAGCTCTTGTCTAGTCCTCCTCACTAATCTCACTCTCGTCGTCATCGGCATTGTTGCTGTAGTAGTAGCCGTTGTTACCGCTGTCTTGGTCATTGCTCTCCAGCTTTTCAAAAGCATTCTCCAACTCTTGTTCCAGGTCTAGCTCCAAGTCGGCAGCCTCATTGGCCCCCTCTCCTTCTTCTCCTTCTTCTTCTTCTCCTTCTCCTTGTGCCCCATCCTCTTCATCTTCGTCCAAATCCATGGCCTCCGATTGGGTCTGGCTGGCGTTCTTGACTGGACTGGGCAGCTTAAAGTCCGTGTCTGGATCCATGCCGCCATCGTCGTCTTCGTTGTCTTCTTCCTCTTCCTCCACCTCGGACTCGCGCTGGTCCATGAAGTCGTCAAAGCGCCGAGGGGCGGGAAACGACGGCGAGAAATGGGTCTGCCTTGCCGGATTCTCTGCGCCAGGATACTCGATGAGGAGATCGCCATCGTCGTCCTCGTCTTCCTCATCATCGTCATCGTCCTTTTTCTTTCGAGACTCGGGCTGTGCTGGCTTCGGCGGCTGAGGCGTGGGAAGCGCCAGATCAACCTTCTTGGGCAGCTTCTTGTCCAGCTGCTTTCTCTCGAATATCTTCTTCTCCAGAGACCTCTTCTCCGCCGACTTCTTATCCAACGGTTTCTTCTCCAGTGGCTGCTTGTCGACTGAATTCTTGTCGCCCACCGGCTTCTTGTCCAGAAGGGATTTCTTGTCGAGAGGCTTCTTCTTGTCGATGAGCACCCTATCAGACGACTTCTTGTCGGTTGTCTTCTTGTCGAGTTTTCTCTGCATCGCCTCCTTGGTGTGGACGGTGATGCTGCCCTTCTCATCACCCTTGGGCGTTGCCTTCGATTTGTCTTTGTTCGCTGCGTTCTTCTTATCTCCCGCCTTTTGCGACTGGCCGCTCTCCAGATGAGGGTATCGCCGTCGCAGCTCCTCGGGATTGCTGTTTCCGGGGATGCGCGTGAGATTCATATTGAACGTCGAATCGACCTTGTCAAGGACAAACGCCTTGCGCTCGGGGTCGAACCACAGCACGTAGTCGTCATCGTCGGTCGACCGCGTTCCGGCGAATCCCACCGTTCCTTCGGGGCTGGGAAAGCTCAAGTCGTAGGAAGTCGTCTTTCCAGGGAGCGAGGGCTTCAAGCGTGCGTCGGTCGCAGGGAACGAGGGCTTGTGGTTGTCTGCGCAGATTGTATTAGCATCCTGTGCGCCTTTGCCAATCGTCACTGCGCTATCCATGCCAAGTCGACGTACAGCGAATGCCGGTAAAGATCTCGTTGGGCGTCTTCCCCAGCAGGCCATCGCCGAGAATGATGGGGTAGTTGCCCTTGGCTGTCGGGTCGATCAGCTCAGCCATGGCGGGCGAGCGGGCGGTCCTTCGCGTTGAGCCGGTGTAAGCCTGCGATGCTCGGGTCGGGTTGTTGCGCGCAGGGCGAGTCGCAGTAGTGCCGAGAGCGTGCTTGTTTGTTTCGGCGAATCACTGTGGCTGCCTGGCGATGAAGCTGTAGACAGAGCTGCAGCCGAAGCCGATATTGCTGCTGGTGGGGATGCTGGCGATGGATTAAATTATCTAGGATGGTTGACGGAGGGAGAGGAGCGAGGATGACGGGACAAGGGAACATGAACTGCCGACCGAACAAGAGGCGGAGAGAGGCACGGCAGCAACAAGGCAAGGGGCGCACAGACTTTAAGAGGCGCCGGCTCCCCTCTCCATGTCCCAAAATAATACAGTTCCTACATACCTAGGTAGTAGTACCTCAGCCTTCAACCTTCTTTGTGCGCTTTGCTGCAACGGTCGGTGGCTGTCAGCCCAGACGCTGCGCCGTGAGCTTGCTTACCTAGGCAAAGCGCGCGCCAAAGAACGGAATGCAAATCTTGAAGCTTTGACGGGCGGGTTGTTGAACCTCGACTGTGCTGTTTTTGATTACCTAGGTAGGTACTCCGACCTCTCGGCACTGGACAAGTTGCTGCTATTGTACACCTAAGGCATGCACGTGTAATACCTAAGGCATGCACGTGTAATACCTAAGGTACCTGAGCCCGCCGGCAGCGTCGGTTGCGCGACCTTGTAGGTACGCTTGACTCCTCGCCTCAAGCTCTGAGTTCAGAAATACAGCGCCTGAAGTCGCCTCGTTCAAGGCCCTTTGCTGAGTCAAAGCGCCCTGTCCATGGCCTTCTGCTGCGTCGAATCTACTACATCAGGTAGTCAATAAGTCGGATGCAGCCGGAGGCCACAGACTACATTTGCCAACATCGATAGGCCTCTGGGCTTCCACAGATGGTCAGTTCACTCCAGGTTTCCCACAGCGCCAGTGATGCCTTTACCGTACTCTCTGTCCACGGCTATTCGGCGCTCTGATCGGACTTTTACTGATTTGCCAAGTGGATGATACCGTTCCATGGTGAGAAGCTCATTTTCAGGCAGCCAGCACCTTCAGACCACTTCGCTAAGTAGGTAAGCACCTCTACCTTAAACACAGGACCTAACATAGAACTGTGATTCAGGCACGGAGTGGTGGCAGCGATGAGTCTGCGGATGAACATCTTCTGTAGGCTCACCTTGTATGCATTCTCTCCGACGCAACTCCGCCATCAAGTCGCCTGTGTCCAGCTGGGCTGAGTTCCAGCAGAGCTATGTTGGTTCAACAAATAAGTTGGCTTGATCCTGACCTTGAGAGATGGACTGCAAGAGGAGAAAAGAAGAGAGCTTTGGCCCTCTTTACCATCTTGGCTCTTTCACCACTGTCAACTCTGATTAAGACACACTCTTCAAGATCCTTATACATACAGGAGCACGGCCTGGTCTGCGACAGCTGGGACGTACTACAAGTCAGATGCCCGCTAAAGGCGTCTATAAGGGTAAGCAAAGCTGCTGCGCCAAGCGGCGACTTTAGCGCCCTATTAAACAGATAATAAATATCCTATCCTTATAGCAACGCTTTATAAATAGCCTTATATTATAATGCAGTGCTTAAAAGAATATAGACTTATAATTCTATTCTTATATACACTTTATTAAATAAAGTAAACTAAAATAACTAATAACTTAAGTAATAATAGTAAATGCACTTTCTTTATTAGCACTAGCGCTTACTTTTAGAATATATACTTAGCTATAGTTTTTTAAGCTTTATAAGCCTTCCTGCAGCTTATATTATTATTATTATTATTATTATTATTATTATTATTAGAATTAAAATTAAGGGCAGGATTATTATTATTAAGTATATTAATTATAAAATAAAGGGCAGTATAGTATTACTTTATTATCTACTTAGCTGTTAATATAAGTATAGGAATAGAAAATAAAAATATACCTTCTTATTTTACTTATTAATAGCATAGTTAAGTTTTTAAATAAAGGGCAGGAGCTTATAATAACTATATTATATTAGTAGTAAGAAAAGCCTTATTTTAAAGAAAAGAAGCATATTATAAATAGTAAGGGTAGCTGCTTATATAGTAAAGCTTATAATGCCTAAAGTTACTATTTAAATCTATATAAGTATTAAAGGAGGTTACTTTTTTATTTATAATAAGGCTTTTAATATAATTTTTATAAAAAGGATTTTATAAGGCTACTGCTACTACTACTGCTACTACTACTACTACTACTACTATTACTACTACTATTAATATAGTCTTCTTTTTAAGCTTTATTTATAAGTAAGTTAGCATTAAGCGTTAAGTAATAAAAGGAGATAATAAGAGATATACTATTTTAAAAAAGGTAGGCTTAGGCATAGTAATAGCTTTACCTTTACCTTTAAGGTTAGCTTTCTTAAAAGGCATAATAAGAATAATAAGGATAATAAGAATAATAGTAATAATAGTAATAATTATAAAAAAAAAGAAAAAAAAAAGAAAGCAGTAGCTTTATTTATTTTATTATTTAATATATTTAATACTATTTTAATATACCTTTATTTACTATATATTCTGCTACTCTTTTTATATTAAAGAAGCTTTTAAATAGTAGTATAAATATATTTCCTTTTCTTTATGCCTTTAAAAGCTTTTTTAAACGCTCCTTTTTTTAATGCCTTTAAACGCTCCTTCCTTTAATGCCTTTAAACACTCCTTCTTTTAATGCCTTTTAACACTTAAGCACTACTCTTACTTTTATACTCTTATACTTTATAACCTATCCCTTATAACCTATTATATCTCTTATCCTTTTAATAAAAGCTAGATATTAAGTATTAAGATTAGTCTAGTAGTTTAAGGGGGGTGGCAGCCCTTAATTACTTAAATTAGTTATATATATATCTGCCCTTTATATATAAAATATCTAGTAAAATAGCTAGAGTAATAACACTGCCTTATAGTAAGGCGCTTAACTTTTATAAAAGCAGTTAAAAAAAAGGCCTTAAGCCTTTTTATTTATATAAAGGCTAAGCATTATAAAATAAGTAACTAGGTTAATTAATTTAGCCTGTAGTATATTAAAGCTAAAGTATAAAGAGTTTTTACCTTTTTAGTATTTTAACTGTCTTTTCTTATAATAAAATCACTAGCCTATATAGTAAATTATATATACTAATTAGTATAAAGCATAGCTATAATAATGCTTAGTAAAAGTAATTATAAGTATAAGGGTATTGCTTTTTTTACTATACTTACTATTATAATTATTAATTTAAGAAGGCCTTTTATATTATAAAAGCTATTAAAAGGTTAAGTATTTAAATCCTATATAAGGCATTTTTTTTTTATTAAAGAGATATTATATAAAGAGGTAAAAGCAGAGGGATAAGATAAAAAATAAAGGGTATATAGTATTTATATTAAGGGATAAAGCTAAAGCTATTTAGACTTTAATTATATATTATATAAAGAAAGGAAGAAGAGAAAAAAGACTATAAGCTTATATAATAGGCAGTAAGAGTATTTAAAGCATATAGCGCTTTTTATTAAGGTAATAAGGATTAGTAGCTAGATTAGTATTAATATAAATATTAAAAAGATTAAAAAAACTATTAAATAGAATGCCTTATAAAGTCTTAACTTATAATACTATTATATATATAAGGCTAATAAAAAAGTCTTATTATAAGATATTAATAACAGCCTGCTTTATTATGCTTTTTTATAACTTATAAACTGTAATTATATAAGTAATAGTAAGTAGGAATTATATTTAACTATATAAAGCACTTCCCTTAATAAAATTACAGCTTAATTAAAAAATTAGTATTATATTATAAAGATTTACTTTAAAAAAGTAAGTAAGACTATTATAATAATTAAACTATATAAAAATAATAGCTAAATGCTATATATAAGGGTCCTTAATATTTTAATGCTAAAAGATATTATAAACTTAGCTAATAGCGCTATTAATAAGCCTAATAGATATTTAAATATTTTTAATTAATATAATATGCATATTAATATAAAGGTGTAATTACTAGTAAAAATTACTAGTAGCTAAAAAGTTAGCTTTTTTTACTTTTAAGCTAGTGTTTAATACTATAATATTAATATATAGCTTATAAAGCCTTTTTATATAGTCTAGGTTATACTTATAAACCTAAGCATTTATTAAATAAATATATATTACTAAGTTAAAATGCTAGACTTTAAAAAGGGGAAGTAAGCACTATATTTAAGTAGTTAAAAAATGCTAATTTTTAATAGTAAGAGTATTTTAGTATATATATTAAAGTGCTAAGCAGAAAGAGGCTTAATTATTACCTGCTTACTAAATAACCTACTTTAACTTAATAGTAATACTAAAGAAATAATATATATTATAACCTGTAATATTAATAGGATTTAGTAGCTAGGCAGGTAAAAAAAAAGGCTTTTTTATTATAAAAGGGAGCTAATAAAAGTCTCTTAAAAAAAGTATACTTTAGCTATTAAAGTACTTATTTTAGTAAGTTAAGAAGAGCTTATATAGGCATTTATTAATATAGGCTATAGTATAAAGGCTAATTATTAATTTCTTATTAATAATAAGATACTTAATAAAGCTAAGCTTAATATAAAGGTTAAAGGTATTAATTAAAAAGAGAGGTAAAAGCTTAATAAGCGTTTTAAAAATAAGCAGCTATAAAAGAGTATAAAATATAATACTATTAATAGTATTAGTAGTAATACTAGTAGGGGCAGCCTTAGCTATAATCTGCTAATTAAAGGAAGATATTTTTTATAACTTAGCAGATATAGCCTTAATTAAAAAGCTCTTGCCTATTTTACTAAGGCTATTAATCTAGACTTATAAAGGATTAAGCAGTAGTATAAATAAATTAAGGCGCTGCTTAAAGTGCTATATAAAGAGATTAAAGACTAAGTATTACTAAGGGTTTAGTATATATATCTCTGCCTTACTTATATTATTATTATAAGAAATAATATTTATATAAAAGCGCTATTAATACTAATAACTAGCTTTAAGAAGATTAGGGTATTATTTAATATATAAACTCTAGTTATAAGCAGTATTAATAAGTTAATTTTTAAGGATTTTAATATTCTTTACTTTAAGATTAATACTAGGAAGCTGCTAAGCTAGCTTCTACTACTTTTTATAAGTTATCTCTTTTTCCTAAGCCTTTTTTTTAAAGTTATTAAGTAAAGGGGGAGGTAAGTTTATATAATAGTTATTTAAGTAAGCTTTAAAATAGACTTAATAGTAATACTTATAGGCCTTTATATAAGTATTAAAGACTAACTCCTTTATAACCTTTAGACCTGCTTAATTATAATAAGGATAGTATAGTATTAAGCAGACTTAATAATAGTTCTTATACTTATTAAGCTCCTTATTTAGCTTATAATATAAATAGTAACTTAAAATATAAAGCTTAGTAAAAAGGAACTTATATTATATTAATAATAATGCCTTTAATAAATTAATAATAATTAAAAACTTAAAGTAAGTAAAATTATTAAATATAGGAGGGCATTTAAGGTATTTAATATATATAAACTAAGTAAACTAAATACTAGTTTTAAAGATAACTTTAATATAGAATTATAAATTAATAAGGCAGTAATTTATAGTAATAGAAGTTCTACTGCCTTTTTATAGCAGGAGATTAAGTAAATAATATATTACTTTTAGCATTAACTAATCCCTTTTTACTATTAACTTATTTATAAATCTAGCTATAAAGCTTATAATAGGCTTATAGCTATTAACTAAAAGAAGGACTATACTTATAATCTTTTTATAAAATATACTATATATCTTTATTTTACTTATATATTTTATAATATAAAAAAGTATAGCCTAAATGCTAGTTATAAAAGAAAAGTTATAATTAATAAGCTATAAAAAAGTAATTAACTAGTTATAGTTATTAAGCCTTAGATTATTCTATACTTTATTAAATATTATAAATAGTAGGTTTAACTTATAAAAGATTTAAGGCTTATTATAAAGATCTTATAAGAAGTAGAACTTATAAAGCTTTTAGTTTAAGAGATAGTTATTAGGTAGGTAATAATAATAAAGGCAGTAAGCCTTTATATATTTATAGCTCTGCATTTAATTAATAATATTAAATAAAAGCTAAAAGATTAGCTGCTAAAATCTTATAGCTAGAGGATTACCTTCTCTTATAAGAATAAAATAAGCAGGCTATAGGTTAATAGTATTAACTAACCTTCCTTAATACTTAGTAAATACTTATTAAGTAGCAGGAGTTATAAAATTACTAATATCTAGGCTTCCTTATATTTAAAAAAGGCTATAAATATATAGGCTTTCTCTTACCTACTATTTTAGGCAGTATTAAAACTCCTTAATATTAAACTTTAATATAAGGACTATATATAAAAAGAATATAAACCTATAATAAAAATAGTATATAATAATATATAAATTCTTTTTTAAATTCTATATAGTAATATGCACCTTATTTTAGTTTAATATAGCTTACTACTAATTATAAAATAGTATATAATATTATAAACTCTCTTAATAAAGATTTACTATAGAAAATATTAAGAAGGTGCTAGAATATTTAAGCTTATAGACTATAGTCTTAAGTTTATGCCTTTTTATATTCTAATAGGCCCTTATATTATAAAAACTCCTAAAGTATTAAATAATAAAGTTAAAGAGGGACTAGGCTTTAAAGGTATCCTAGTTAAAGGCAGTATAAAGATCTTTAAGTATTACTAGCTAACTTACTATTTAGCTAAGGCGCTTAATAAAAAATATACTTTAAGTATTAATAGACTAGTATATAAAGGTATTAAAGCTAATATAGTAGAACTAGAGGTGCTATATAAAGCGCCTATTATACTACTTAAGTATAAGGTTAAGATACTGCTTATAAAATATAGGCTAAATATATAAATATATAAAGTTAGCTTGCCTTTAAGGGTAAAGCATTAAAAATATAAAAAAGAAGAGAGGCTATAACTAGTTAAACTTACTTAATAAGGTAGATTAAATATTAGGCATTTAAATATACTGCTATTAAGAAGCTTACTGCTTAAGAATATATAGTATATAAAGCTTTAAAAGGACTTATTTAAAAGCAGTAGTAGGCTTACTTTTTAACTGCTTTTATAACTAGTCTAGGTCTACTTATATAGTAATAAGGTTAAGCACTATAGCTATATTAAAGTCTCCCTCCTTAAGTAGGTCCTTAAGTAAAACCTTATTATTAATTATAATATCCTTATACTTATAATTTAATATATTTTATAAGATATTACTATTAAAAGAGAGCTAACTAAGTTAATCTTTATTAATAATAATATTCTAGTATTTAAGATAGTTATTTTTAAAAAACTAAAGCTATTAGCAGAGGGCATGCTATTAAATATAAAAGTCTTAATAAAATTAGTAAGTTATATAAGGCTGCATAGTTTTATTTACTAGCCTTAAAATAATTATATTTAGGTTAAGAGGTAAAAGCAGTAATTAAAAGTATACACTCCTAGTATCTTAAAGAAAGTTAATAATATAGCCCTTATAGTAATACTGCTATTTATAATATTAATATACTTATATATAAATATAAATATAGGTAATAAGTATTTCCTTAACTTATAAAAGCTTAAGAAAGTATATAAGTATATTATTAAAGTTAAGATTATTATTATTAAAGAAGAAATATAAATTACTAAATACTTTTTTTAAATCCTTATAAATATAATGCTAGTATATACTATCCTTAAGCTTTTAATTAAATTACTTTATTTAGTATTAAGTATAGAACTTTATTTAGGCTTAATCTAGCTTAATATACTAGGCATATATTAAACTCTAGTTATAAGAAAATAGGGTAATATTATTAAGGTTACTTTAAAAAGGAATATTTATAATAAGAGGGGGGGGTAAAAGAGAAGTAATAGGTATTATTATAATAGTTTAAGCAGTAGAGATTTATATTAAACAGCTAGTATACTTAAAAAGAGGCAAGATATTTATATTTAAAAAGAAACTATTAGGATTATTATTATTATAAAAGGCGCTATAAAAAGTATAAGTATTAAAATTAGGATTATAATTAAAGTAAGGCTAAGGCAGGGAGTAGATTTAATAAATAAAATAGTTTTTATTTATATTATTATTTCTAGCTGCTATAATAGTCTCTTATAATTACTATAAGTATTAAAGGTGCTATAAACTGCCTTTTTTAAAGAATTAATACTAAAATAAATACTATAATAAATTCTTAGTAAGCTGTAATATATAAGGCGCTATTAGCTAGGAAGTTATAGGTATTAAAAAAAGGATAATATTACTATAATAATTAACCTAATACTATTAGTAAATATAATTCTACTTATAATAAGCTTTTTATTACTTAAAGGTATTATTAAGGTTTACTTTATAATAAAAGAACTGCGCTATAAAGAATAATATATAGCTTACTGCTTAACTAATAAGGCTAGGCATTCTTATTAAGTTTAGGCTAAGAGAGTATAGTATAAAGGGGGGTAATAATAATAAAATATTACCTTACTTAGCAGAAGGCTGTAAAAGAATACTATAGCGCTTTACCTGCTTAAAAGACTAGATATTTATTATAAAATGCTTTACTACTATTAAAATTAAGTAAATAAGGTTATATATTTAAAAAGTAAAGTATTAGTATAAAAGGAAAGAAAAGAGAAGAGAATATATATAGCCTATAATACTTATTAATTATTAATATTATTAATATACTAGGCACTTCTTAATAAGCTTATTTAGCTTTTTAAGATATAAAAACTAATCTATTAGCTTAAATTCCTTATAATAAGTGCATTAATAAAGCTAAAAAGCACCTAGCTTTAAAGTAAGGTTAAGAGGCTTTAGGCTACTAAAAGGAATTAAAGGTAAAGGAGGGCTAGCTGCAGCTATTAATACTATAGCTTAAGAATATTAATTTATTAAGCTGCTAAATAGTTAGTATAAGTATATTATTATAAATAGCTAATAAAAATAGCTTAAACTAACCTTTTTTAATAATTTAATAGTAATATATATTAATAAAGAGATAAAGGAGGGAGTAAGAATATAAAAAAGTGCAGGGAGGTATAAGGATATATAATATTATATAAAAGGTAAAATTAAAAGCATACTAAATAAAAAAAATAATATTAACTTATAAGTAAGGTAAGGGTAAGTATTATACTAGGTTATATAATTAAAATATAAATTTCTTATTAGTTAAATACTTAATTTATAAATACTTTTTAAAGGCCTTTTAAGGGCCTTATTAAGGGTCCTTGCTAAAGGCTAGCTTATAGCACTTTTACTTATAGCGCTATTTACCTATAGCGCTTTTTTATAAAGTAAAATTAGTATTATTTAAAAGCTTAAGTATTACTTTTTTTAACTATGCAAGTTATATTAAATTTAGTTAAGGTATTATATAGTAATTATTAAGTATTATAGCAAGGTCTATATATTCCTTTTATAAGCTAGTATAATATTAAGATAATAACTTTATAATACCTTATTATAATACTTAAAACACTAAAGGAATAAAGTCTAGCTATATTATAAGGCAGTAAGAATAGTAAAAAAAACTAATTACTACTTAAGATTCTATTTAACTTTATTTTAGCGTGATTTATCTTCCTATTAATAGAGTAAAGCTAGAAGCCGCCTTACTTACAGTTGCACTATTTATAAAGCTGCTTCGCAGCTTTGCTTAACTAGGTTATTGCCACGAATTCCAAGAGTTGCGTGTCCCGGAGAGAGCCGCCGCTGCCGCTGCCGCAGATAGCCAGGTGGCACATCAGAGACTGGATCGGAGCTCAGCGACACTTGGCTGATCCTCTCTGATCTTTCAAACGCCGTGTCCCAGGTTTCAGAGACCACTATCTGGCCATGTCTCGGCTCGGCGTCATCTACTCAAACCAGCAAGCCCATCGGCGAACGGGGGCATCAACTTCGCCCTATTGCCGCGGAGGACGACGAGTGTCTGATTTGCAAACACCGGTCACCTGGAGCCAATCTGCGGCATCCAGCCGGCTCCCTCACTCAACTGGGTCAGGAACCAAGGCGGCGCTGGGCCGCCTCACTTTCCGGCTGAGACATGGCCCTTGCCAGCAGTTGCCCGACCAGGCGCCGGAGCACCTGATCCCAGGTTCCCGGAGTAGAGGAGGCATCAGCATCCTTGCGAGTTGGAGGTGAGCTCGCGGCCTGAAGGATCTGCTACATACACAACGCCACACAATCTCGACTTCCTTGTGACCTGTCTAGTCAGATTCGCAATCAAGGTGATTCAGATGCGGCATCCATTCTCACCATCCACCATCATCGCCTGGCGTCTGCGCTTGTGACGAGAGCCGGGCCAGCTCGACCAGGGTACCCGGTCATGGTCCCCGAGCGGGTTTCCTTGCTCCCAGGCGGTGGTTTTCTTAATACCGTAGGGTACCGAGTTCAGTACCTGTGACCGCGGTAGTAGGTAGTAGCTGCTTGCGTTACGCTCCTGGAGGTGGTCGAACCAAGAGATGCAATACTACTCCGGGCTAGCTCTCTCCACAGGGGGCGCTGCGCATCTTGCATTCCCACCGTCCCGTCGATCAATGTTGCCGGAAAGGCCAGGCTCTTTGCCGCCCTCTGTTGTACTCTGTTGTAAATCTGAGGAGAGTTGACATGGTCTTCTCTCGCACAAGTATGTACCCCGTAGCCCAGACTTCAGTGGGCCGAATGAATCCTAGTAAATGACGTGTGACAAAGCATACAACGAATCTCGGGGGCAGACGAGACTGTGAGGAGGGACGTCCGATATCCTGGTGCACCAGAGTATGGCATTGGTGATGCTTCATCTCGGACTGCAAGTTATCAGAAAAACAATCGATCTTACCCGGCAAGGCGGGGCCGGTTAGTACACACTTGAGCAGGACCCAAGCCAGAGCCAGAGCCATCCAAGCCAGCCTTGTTACCTTGGTACTAGCATCTGACAGTCAGTTGCATACGACCGCCGGTTGGCTGCGTCGTTTCCGTAGGGCAGATCTGAGGACCCTACCCGTCCGCCCGTCTGTACTACTAATATACCTTGGTGTGTCAATATAGGACGTGCACACCCACTGTCCATCACAAACTGCCGGACGATCTTGGCTTGCGCAAAGACGGTGGAGTAACAGTACTTTGGGTTACTCTGGCACGGATGGCAATTTAGCTCCCGTAAGAATACTACCCAGCTTTCCTGCAGAACTAGACATAAGTATCGGTAGTCTGGTGCAACAATGTCCCTTCATCCTTACGGTGGGGTGAAGCTTGAGCTGCATCTTTCGGGCACCTTGCTGTCGTGTCACAGACGAGCTGGATTGTTGGACGAATTGAATGGAGGCATGGATGCTTCGTATCAGGAGTAGCTCGTGCAGGATGTAAGCAGGATTGTACGAAGCACTCGGGCAGGGAACTTGAAGGGACAAGACCCTACCTTACCTATAATCGGGTTCAATGTCCATACTACCTTTCCTATGCGTCCCCTTCCTGTCCCCTTCCTGTCTCCTCCTTTCGCTATCAAAGTGGGCAACGACTTTGGGCACTTGACATAAATGATCGGGAAACTCATCCACATGCGTTCCTTTCCTTTGGGTGGCACTGACCGGCAGGTGATGCGGAAGACAAGCCAGTCAGCCAGCACTGGCCAATGACTCTTGGTTGGCATGGCTGCCGCGGGGATGTGAGTAGGCATATCTGCTCATCACTCTTGGCCGTAATGCTCTGATAATTCTGCGAGGACTGCAAACCATTGTATGTGCACAGGGTCCGCAGTCATGTAAGGGATGTACCAAACGTAGGCAGATAGGTATTACAGGGACGTTCGCTTGCTTGCTTGCTTGCTTGCTCGCTACCTACCTTGAGTTGGGGGGCTGGGCTGGCATTTTTGTTTTCCATTGAGCGGCTGTGGCACCCATGCTGTTCGGACGATGGTACCCGAGACCCGGCGACTGGTATATCGAGTGGTGTTATAATTCAAATTGGGTTGCTCTGCATAGAGAGGCCCGAGATCGCAAGCGCCGTCGTGTGATGCCGGGCTACCTTAGGTAGGTATTTGGGACTCCTCGGTCAAGCCACGAAGACGGGCTGGCTCCGCTGCTCTAATATTGGCTCGTAGCTGAGCACTTCAGTTAGTCAACGGAACAAATCAACGGAACAAAAACCGGCCTGATTGTCCTTGGCTGGACGAGCCGTATGAGCAAGAAGACGAGTGGGATGCAGGCAAGGAAGCAACGCCAAATAGCGGGCCTGACTTGCATATACATACAGGCTGCTCGACGACTCGTCTCGCACCTGGGGTGATGGGCCATCTGATGGACGAGCCCAAGCAACGGGGCGTCACTGGAGACGCTAAAGCGCGGGCACGGAGACTCTTTCACGAAAAGCCTGCTTGTGGTGAAATTGTGTTGGTGCAGGCGATCAGTCCACAGAGATGTGTGTCTCACTTGTGTGCGAGCCAACCGGCCAATTCATGCCTTTGGCCCATGCTGCGTCCCAATCGAAGCAAAAAGAGACATCAACCAGCCTATAGGAGCACCACCATCAACTTGGCACCGGGTGGCCTGAAATCCTGTAAAAAAGCAGAGCATCGAAGCAAATCGAATCGAAAGGTGCACGATAAGTGGGCAGGACGGCGGCAATAACCACAGGGTATTTTCGGAATCATGGCCCTAGGTCGCAACGGGCCACGGAGGCCAAGGAGCCACAAAGGCTGGTGCGTAGTATTAGCAACTCTTCTGCATCCATCATCTGCTCTTTGCTCCAGCAACATGGATGGTCCGTACGCGTACGCTGTACAGTCATGACATCCATACTGCGACCCTTACTGACCTAGGTAATGGGTGACAATCCAACCAGCCGGAACAGCCTAAGCAGCCGAGAGAAGCGAAGGAAAAGTTTAGGGGGGAGCTGGCTGAGAAGAGAGGAGAGAAAAGATCTCGTCAGGTCGCAGGAGCGAATTTCGCCGTTGTCATTGGTGGCGACAAGTGATCAAGGGAGGAGAGAGGCCGCTGTCGGGGCTGTCGATGGGGGCGGGTCGGGACTCGGGAGGAGGAGGAGAGAGGGTACGGAGGGAGTGCAGGTCGTACGGACGATGCTTAAAGTAGCATGATCCCTGAGAGATGGGGAGCGGTGGGTGCCGAGAAATTGCCCAAGCTCTGATGCTCTGAAAGCACATGAAGAAATGGAGGTGAACGAATTCAGTCCGGTTCAGATAGCCAGACATACATACCTAGGTACCCCGTACCGTACCTACTACCTACCTAATGTGCGGCGAATTACATGTAGGTATTTTCGGCTTCAGACGCTCTCACAGCGGGCAAGCGCTGCCCTCCGGTACCCCTCATCGCCGAGCACAACCTTGAGTTGGGAAGTTGCTTTGCTTGTCAAGGGCACTTGCCAATACCGAAGTATCGCGTCAACCAGCCGATACAATGGGGCTGCGGCAGGGCAGGTGCAACCAACAGTCCAACAGGAAGGCAAAACCGGGCTTACGAAGTTGGCAGTGTCACTTGCCCTGGTTCCTTTACTGTAACCCGTACCGCTCTGTAGCAACACGCCACCCAAGGCACAAAATGCACGTGAGGTATTGAGGCTGCACAGTAAGGTATCAGATAGGTGTTCTCAAAGAAGCAAGTCGGCCACAAGACCCGCGCGGCCATTCGTCCGGCCATTGTCCGGGCCGCACCGAGTTGCTGTTTATTTCGCTAGGCGAGTTACGCTACTTGGCTAGGTCTGTACCTACAGGTACCTACCTAATGCCTTGCTCTTCCAAGTCCTTAGGTACCTGGTATGGAGGTGCCTTGCGCTCTAGGTACTAGTTGTGCGTCCTTTCTCTTGCTTTCGCGCTCGATACTGGTTTCATCCATTCAATATTGTGAAAATCCACACGCCCCCTCTCGACGGCCGAATCGCCACGCCCAACACCGTCCCATCAATCTCAGAGAGTCGCAAGCAGTCACCCTTCACCGAGGTGCACTAGCGGCATCGACTCGCGCCTAGCATCTCTGCCAAGGATCCCCCCGTCGTATCATTAGTTCGGAACGAGGGTCGCTTCGCAAGCTGCATAAGTATGCTATGCTGGTGTACCCTCTCCCCCTCCCTCCCTCTCTGTACTTGTCTCCCCTTGTGCCGCCACTCGCATAGGAGTTGGGAGCAGAGAAAACTTTTCAGTCACTTCACGGTACTTAGGTAGTATCATCGTTGGCCGTTATATCCCCATCAAGTGCGAAGTGTCTTACCTATCCTCTACCTACCGACCTACCTACCTAGTAGGTACTACCTCCCGGTCTTTACAGAAAAGCATTATTGGAAGTCCTTGGTACATACCCTGCCATTGTCAATGCCCCCAGGTCGCCTCGCTTCCCTTGATCATTGTACTTTACTTGCCTTTCCGTCATTTCAATTTTTTTTGCTTCTTTCCTCTCCCCTCCGCTTGGTGCGATCCCAGGCTCGTCTCTCTCCAATGACTTGTCGTCTTTCTGAGACCTTGTCTTAGGTAAAGCATCTCGTCCCGGACGAATACATCCTAAGTCTCCAAGCTTGGCTTGTACGAATGATTATACTTACTAGGTAAGTGGGCTGTTGTGATATCCTCCCAAAGCCCGAGACAGACAGAGCTTCAAGACATGCGTGCCCACCGACAGCTGGCAATTGCATCACAGGGCTCGATCCCTGCTCTTTCAATCTCACTCCCGGGTCCCCAAGATGTCAGGCCCACTACCCAATCGGGAGCGAGAACCGGATCTCAGACGCTTGTCTCTCGACAGCTCTGATATCCACACCCATCAAATCTCTTGCGGGTCGGCGTCATGTCATGGACAAGTACCCAGGGAGCTCAGACTCTTCTCATCTGGTAACGCCTTATAACCTGCTGGCCGTCCCTCATGCCATTGCTTCAGCATACTACCAAGATCCAAGAATAAGGTACCTACCACTACCGCCGGGCATGGTACAGGCTGTACTGGGCAACGTTCAATACCTACCAACCTCGGGTAGCATGTGCGAGGACTTGCAGTCATGACCTGGTACTAATACGGTAAGGATGCGTGATGTGTGCTACCTGATGGACCATGGTACTACTACTAGTACCTAGGGAAGTGTATGTACTAATGCACCTCTTCGTTGGCCAGCGAGCAGCACTGGGCTGTTGCTCCCTGCTACCTGTACTCCGGTACTTCACGCTCCGATCTCTGTCGGACTGCCTCCCTTTTTCTCGCTCTCTCTCTTTTTCTTACTCTTTTTCTTACTCTGTCTGTCTTTGCCTGGACAGGGGATAGGGGTCCACGGGGCGGGATATGTCATTGTGCGTTAGCTACCTAGGAAGGACCGCCTCACATAGCACTCGTACTTACCTCCTGCTACCTACCTACCTACCTACCTTGACTGACCTACCTGATCTACCTTACCTGACCTAACTTACCTACCTACCTACCTACCTTACCTTACCCCAGCAGGTGTACCGACCTTACCTATATATGCAGCTGGCCCCATCGTCCCTGCTGTAGAAAATCCTTCTTGTAGGAGCGACCCATGAGCACTTGCCTTCCTTACCTTGTCCGTCTGCCCCATTCATCTTCACATCTCCGGCACTTGTTCATCTTCTTCGTCTCCTTCACAGCTCATTGCCAGAGCTCTCCTTCGTCTGCGAACCCTTGTCTTCTGGATCGACCACTTTTTCATCTCCCTTTTTTTTGCACCTCTTCAGCCCATTGTTATCCACTTCGACACACACATCGGGTCCGGCAATGGATCCGTTGTCAGTCCCCGTTCCGCCTTCTTCTGACGCTCCAGCCCTGCTTGAGTCCGACTCTTCCACCATCCCTGAACTCAGCGACTCGGGGTACTTTACCGAGGTGCTGCGCTTGCCTCCAGGCAAGTCTGAGGCTGAGGCTGACCGAGAGTTGGTTGCCAGAGCAAACGCCGCTGGCATTGCCGCCACTCTGCCATCTGTGGCCAGCAGAAGACATCCAGCCAGCAGCTGCTCAGTCGTGTCGTTTGGGACTCAGCAAGACCGCACCTTTTCAAATGCGTCCAACGGCTCAGCCAGCAGTGCCTTGACTCCTCACTCTTCCGTCTTTGGGCCCCCGAGCTCCCTCTTTGATACCGGGTCCGGAGTGAGAGGAGTTTCGGCATCGAGTCTCACTTTTTCTCACTACGAGAGGCTCATTGCCTCTGTCGATTCTGCCAACGCACAGCCTCCATTTCCTAGGCCTCCACCCACACCGACTGCCAACGACTCCTCTGCCCAGAGCGTTGTGAGCGTGACCTCCAAGAAGAGCCATCGCGCAAATCTGCGAGACCGCTTGCGGTGGAGAAGAAAGACTGTGGCTCCAGCGGAAGTTACGATGTAAGTCCTTCTTGTTCCATATATGAGCCTCGCTTCGAGTTAGGGCGGCATGTCATTCGTTGCCTTCAACTTTTCCGTATGGTGATGTGATGAGCTGACGCCGTTACGTGAACGCCCATACAGACCATGCATCAGCTGCCAGAAAAGTTTTGGTGCAGAATCCGGCGCCTTGCATAAGCTCCCATGTGGCCACATGCATTGCGTCGACTGCGTCCGAGATGTGGTAGATCAAGCCGTCCAGCATGAGGCCCAGATGCCACCACGCTGTTGCTCTCAGCCTCTAGCAGCACCTCTTGTAAGGACAATACTGAGCCAGGACGCCCAGGTGACATTCCTGCTGGCGGTCCTCAAGCTCAACACACCAGTCGAAGAACGAGTGTTTTGCCCGGACCCAGCCTGTGGTCACTTTATCCCGACGCATGATGCACACGACGCCAAGCATCCGTTTGACCTTGCCTGCTTCAAATGCAATGGCCGCGTGTGCGCCATATGCAAAGGCGCTGCTCACGCCGTTGGCGAAAACTGCCCCCAGGATTGGGAGCTGGCCGTGTTGAAACAGAAGCAGCAGCAGCAGCATGATGGGAGTTGCTGGCAGCGATGCTACGAATGCAGGGCTCTTGTCGAGATAGCTGGGGAAGCTCCCTACATGACCTGTCAATGCAAAGCACGCTTCTGCTCTGTTTGCGCCGCCATTTGGGATCCTACAACAGGATGCCCCAATCTCTGTAGCTTCGAAGAGGAGCTGAGGCGGCGCCGGCAGATTGAGGATGCCGTTCCCTGTGAGGCTGCGCTGCAGATTCACGCCAATTCATCGATTAAGCAACTTGGTCAGGAACAAGAAGAGGAGCTCCGCCGTTTTCTGGAATTCAAGTCGCAGAGCAAAGACGCCTTGCAGACGCGGCACCTGATACAAGAGGCCGCCGTGGAAGAAAAATACGACTGCCAGGAGGAAAAGCTCCGCGAGAGACATGAGAGGGCCTGGTCTCAGCAAGAAGACCGTCACGTTGCGGCCGAGATGGGGTTGCTTGAATCGCTGCAGCAGGACGAACTGAACATCCATTTGCGACTCAAGCACATGGAGGCTTACTGCAACGGCATAGGGCAAAATCCCAACATGATGTCGTCTGTCAGGGTCGTCACTGAGCGAGACCGGAGACAGTTGGGCCAGCAGTACTACTTGCGAGATGGCATGGACCGCACACGCGAGTCCAAGATTAATCTCATGCGGGAGCGGCAGGCTGTAAAGATGGAGGAGCTCCGAGTCAAACAAGCGGAGGAATTCGCGCTGCTCACGGACGCGAGGCAGGAGGCGCTGGATCGGCTAGAATCCCAGTTCGTCCAGGAAGAGTCTCAGTTCAACGCCGTTTTTGCGTCGCGCCAGTCACGGCTGCAGTCTCGATGGGTGCTCGCCATTGAAGTCTTGTGCAAGGAGCTCGAGGCGCAGAATCCTGGCCAGATCTATCATCGTATTGACATACCAAGATGGCCCGATGAAAAGCACCTTTGATGTCCACGTTCAAAAAGGGCCAGGGGCGGTGCACCTGATGCGGCTTGGACATTCCACGTTGAAGCATCGCTATACAGCCGGCGGGCTTGCTCGGGAGCGGCCTGACATACACCTCGTTTTACTTTCTTCTTCATTCTCTTCTTTGCTCTTGTCCACCAACTGAGTTGTGGCCTTCACCTGGGCCCTATTGTTTCATTTGTATCTCTCACGACGTCTCTTCCCTCGCTCTTTTTTCTTTTGCCCCCCTTCGACCTTCTTCCTTCGGTGGCCGCAGTCAACAAGAAGATGGAATAACTGGCCGCTCATTTTGCCATACCCTCCTTTTAATCTCGTTTCTTTCCTATCGATTTCTTCATGATGGTATCTTCAGCGGCGTATAAGCGTCCAAGCATGCCGGTGGTCGAAAAAGAGACCGTCAAAAAGCAAGCAAAGAGACAAGCATATAATTTTGTATATATCATGCCTATTTCTCTTCCATATCCGCGCGCCGAGCGGAGTTCCGTTGGATGTTATCTGTCGTCGGCGCCTGGTAAAAGCTTACAAGCTCTCGCAGGATCATGTTTAGGATACCAGCCAACAAGGCCGGGGGTCTAAAAAAGAAGGGCCAGGTCGATGCTTCTCCCGATCTGGTAGATTGGGCTGCTTCTGGGCTGGGCCTGGGGAGCTGGCTGGGGGCCGTTGTCACACGCAACATTTGGGTTTGCTATAATAACTGAGTGGTAGGTAGTTTAGCTTAATGTCAATAATGGTTACCTAAACATGTTCCATGCTGGTCATGATAACTCAGCTTTTCACGGATGTGGGCAGCGAACCAAGCTTGGGTAGATGAGAGCAGTCAAGTGAGTGATGAGGAAGTGAAGGAGTCTGGGCCGTGAGCCCATCAGGTCAGCGGTACAGCGGCACAGCCAGCCTGGCTCAAGAGCCAATAACATACAAGTATCTAGATGTATGTGTATGTGTGCTCCGGGTATGGATCCCATATCCCCCACATCAATGCTACCGGAAAGCGTCCATGTGAATCAAGTCCGTGTTGACCTTCTTACACAAGCTGGCGGCCGCCAACATGGTTTACGCTGTTTACATGTAATGTAGCTAGCTAGTGCGCTTTCCGCGCAGCATGTTCCCGGTCCCTGGATTCCAGGTTGCAGATATCAGTCGGCGCCTGATCCAGCTAGTAGTAATACTAGGTAGCTGAGCGGGAGAGACACACACCAGGCCATGAGTCTGGCTCAGCTGCCCCCCCGGAACATGTCCCAGGTCGATAACAAGCCTCCTGGGTGCATAGGCGCCGGCCTCCCTTTCGAGGAAAGTTCCCAACCTCAAGGGTGAAGGTAGACCATCGATCCAGAGCGGCTTGCCGATCCAGAACATCATGCCAGTATCAAGCTCTTCCGCTGCGACAAGATCCTAGGATGATGCTTATGTACCCCGGTGTGGTTCCCTGTTTGCTTGCTTCAGGGGCGGGTTGGGAGCTTGAGGAGGCTCAACCGACTTTGTGGAAGGCCAGGGTATTCCGGTTCTCCGCGCAGGATGATAAACCTGGTACGCTGTGACATGTTCCGTGATATGTTTCAGAACTTGTACTTGGATAGAGTCAGGTACCTTACCCTTAGTACGTATGATTGTGCCCGATGGCACTTCGACGTACTGGCCAAGACACAGCAAGATGATCCATTCGCCACAAAACCGGTGTAAGAATAAGGCAGGCCGCTCCCGAGGCAAGATATTTTGCGAAGGTCGACTTTAGTGATACGGCGGCAAGATGCCGATGACAAATGTGGATGCCAAGATGCCGCGGACTGAGAGGCAAGATACGTGCTCTTCTTCGTTCAGGTGGCGCACCTCTTGTCTCAAACTCATCATACGGGGAAGCACAACCGCCGTGAAGGGTCGGGTGTCAGCACCTGCATTTGATCCCATGCTGGTCTCCGCGTCATCTAGATCTTCATTTTCGTGTCTCCTCTGCGACGGGGGGAGAGGGCGAGGCAGCCATCTTCAAGATCGGCGATTCAACATCTCGCTAGAGAAGCGACCACAAGGGGGACGATGCACTGTCCGAATGCTGCTGTGCGTCGTGATTGTCAATCGACGCGATGCTGCAACTGACAGATCATTAGCACCGAGTGTCTCAGCCTCTTTTCTCTACTCGAGCAAGGCCAAAAGTCTCCGACGAAGTGCTGGATGCAAGTGTTGACACAGAGGAGTGGAGATGGGCGCAGAGGTGCATGTTTGATGACCCCGGTCAAGAGTTGACAAGGTTTGGCACACAGATTGACATCCCGAGATGGCAGCTGGCGCTAAGGCTACCTAAAGCAATGCGGCTTCCGTAGATCCGGAACGCGGCTATTCTGATTCTCCGGCATCAAGCCTCCTGGCCTCTTCTCTGAAGCTCAAAACGGCAAGGCGTCTGCTTGGGGCTTTGCTTATCACACGTGACCTTATCGCTCGTGAGCCCCCCCACACGCGGCGCACCGAACTGGGTCTCTCAAGAAGAAAAAAACCCTGCCGAATAGCACAAAATTGCGGCCGAAGGAAAAAATACGCCCTCTTCGCTACCCACACGGTCTACCGCGACTTCTACCTTCTCTCCGCTCCCTCCTTTCTGCAAACCTTCCACAGTCAAGAACACGCATCTATCACAATGGAATCCAGCAGCAAGGCTCCCGTTAAGCTCGTCAAGGTGACCCGAGTGCTCGGTCGAACCGGTACGATGAGACTCCCTCTCGCCCTCTCTTCGCCAGGATCTTCTCCCACTTTGCCGCTCTGTTGCCATCGCCGCTGTTGCAATTGTCGTCGCCAGTCTCGCCGAAATATTGGGATTGGGGAAAGAAGAAGAGAATATACTGTCTCGAATATATGCACGGAAAAGAGGGCAAGGAAAGATTGACTCGGCGGCTCGACGGCGCAACAAATTGCAAGCATAATCGGTGCACGATGGCATACAGATCGGTTGGAGGGGGAGACGGCACATGAGGGGCGGCGATGCGGCATCGAATTCTCGAAAGCTAACGGAAGTATGCAGGCTCTCGTGGTGGTGTCACCCAGGTCCGTGTCGAGTTCATGGACGACCAGACTCGTTCCATCATCCGAAACGTCAAGGGTCCCGGTATGTTTGAGCTCCATAGCTGTCTACGGACGAGATTATGGATGGTGACTTGTTGGCTAACTGACTTGCCCCAGTCCGTGAGGACGACATCCTCTGCCTGCTCGAGTCCGAACGCGAGGCCAGACGTCTGCGATAAATGTTGGAAGGCTGGAGTGGTGGAAAACAAAGCGGATGGTAGAGTCTCTCAATGGCGTGAACGGGTACGGGTCATTTCTTTTTGGGTGTGTTCCATCTGGGCATTTACGGCCTCTCTTGCGACGACGGCATGAAACGATGGTGTCAAGTAGCGACAACCGGCAGGGCTTCATCCTACTAGTCGGAAATACCTAGGCTCATTCTCATAAAAAAGAGATACAAGGCGTCTTTCTTTTTGGTTCCAGGCACGGGATACGTCCGAGTCTCATTTTTCAGGTGCCCATCTTTGACTTGCCGATATCTGGATGTGGCCGGCACAAGTCGTCATCGGGTCAATCCCTACCTGGGCTGGAAGCTGCTTGAGAAGAGCATCGGCATAGCCTAGGTACCTACGTGGACAGCCGGGCTTCAAGGGGTTACTTGATATGCTTCTCCATAAGTGCATTTTGACGTCCGGCGGTAACTGGGCTGGTAGCGCGTCTGCCCGAAACACGAAGCTTGAAATAGCCCGAGTTCTGTGTGATACCGGCAATATCACTCACTCGGCTCTGTTGCCCTTGGGCAACAAGCATGTGATGCTAATAATAGAGACCACTACAAACTCCTGCAGCTGGTGGCATTCTGATGGCATTCACCAGAGAAGGATGTTGAGCTTGATACCACCGCAGAGACAGTTCTCCGGGAAGCGCCAGATGAGTCTGCAATGGGTAGACGAGGTTGTCACTGCAAGGCACGTTGCCTGAGGCGGCCAGGAGCCTGAAGCAGCGGTCCCAGGGCTTGGCTCGTAATTGGGCCGATGAGCGCTTGAATTCACATAAACCGAGCCCGTAGATAGATAGTTGTACAGAGAGACTGGAGAAATTTGGTGGCGCTTTCGTTTGCTACCTATCTCTGTGGGCGCTGCCGAAAGATGGGTGTAGACAAAGGGCGGGAGGGGGAGATGGCGAACGACAGTCGCACTTATAATGGCGTCTACAGCAAAGAGCTGTGTCTCCGGCGAATGACATTAGGGAGAGGCCCGAAGCTGAGGGCTGTGGTGCTTTTGTGTTGCTCACCCAGAAACTAGGCGTCGCAACAATTTGCCTTGCGCATGCCTCGTTTTCTGTGTCATCTTCGGTCCATCCGTTGCGTCGCGTCTCCTTTCACGCTTTTGGCGGACACGAGCTATGAACTGCTTGGCTTGTTGGATGGCGGATTAGCGCCTGACGTCTGACGCCTGTCCACAGTAGACGCCGAGCCGCTGAATGCTGAGGTGTGTGCAAACGGTGAATCGGGGCAGCCACGCACATGTGAGAGGCACTACCTACCTAAGGTAGGTACCTAGTAGGCTTTACGGTGAAGAGAGCTTCACCGAATGCCACTACTAGTATCTGGCACGGCCGGGTATGAGCTGCGGCTTTGACGTTTGTGACAATAATATTCTCTTGTCCTCTCGAACAATAGCCTATACAAGAAAATAAGCGAAAAGCAGAATGAAGTGCATCACTATTTTCTCGAAAAAAAAAAAAACTTAAGGACCGCGTAGAAACAGAAGTCTTCCTGCATGTCTCTGGATATGGAAGAGATACCTAAATACTAATTAGGGTGAATGTGAGCTTCATGCAGCAGAAGCCGACCTACTGTGGCAGGTACCAGACATGTGGTAGTTGCTGCCCTAGCGGCAATGCTTCAGGCGACCTGCAGGCAGGCACTCGAGGTCTCCAGTGCTAAAACGAGGCGCTACGCCGTCCTGACACGGGTACTGAAGCGGTACTGCTGTTTCCAGCGTGCTCCCTCTGCACTCTGCCAGTACCCTGCAGGTACTGCCACCAGGCATCGCCTCGCTCAGCGAGACCAAGCCGCCAACCACCCCCGGAAGAGCCACTGAAAGCCAAAACGTGCCACCGGAGCTTCCCCCATACTAATCCGTTTCCCCCCCATTTTCCGTCAATCCCCATCTCCATTCTTTCATCCCCATTTCCCCCATCCAGGCCTTCACCATCACCCTCGCAATCGCCCTTATCCGCATCTACTACTATATTCACACACCGACCTCCTGCTCACTCCGCTTCTACCACACCTTTTTCTCAACCCGCAGCAACAATTGCACTTATCTGGAGTTCTGGAAGCAGTCCCAAACTCCTCCATTCTTTAGCCCAGCTCTCTGCGGTCCGTCCATCCGTATCGCTGCTGGTTGGCTTGTGCCATTGCTACCTACCGTCGTCCTCCAGTCTTTGGCCCCTCACCCTGTTGGCCTGTTCTTCTCTCCTCTTTTCATCTTCTCTCTTCCTTTATTTTCTCCTCTTCGCTTATTCTGTTTCCCTTCTCCTAGTCAGTGACAACAGATCACGAGGCGGCATCTGTCAACGCTTTCTCTTTGTACTGAAAGAAGCTGATTGACTGATCGACAACGCCTTTTTTTTTTTTTTTTTTTTTTTTTGCTGGACCAGAGCTACTCGGAAAAGCAAACGATAGAGCTCCAACTGCGGCTTGCGGAGCTCGTCAATTCGCAAGACACCACCGTCGTTCTCGAGGCAGCTCGAAGGACCTCAGAGGGCTCATATCCGTTCCTTGCTTCTCCGTCCACGGTGAGTTTCCTACACCCCCTGCCTCCCTCCTCAGCCACTCTGTTGGTTCATCGTGGTATAGCTCGTCCCATTCCTTGTGGTTCCTGCATCTCACTGACCCGTATCCACATCCTAGCACGACACCCCAATCGCGGCGGCGCACCTCTTTTTTTCCCTCGCGAATCAGCGGACGCTACCGAGTAACGAAGCTCTAGGATTCGTCATCGCCCGCTGTCCAATCTCTCCTTCGCCAGTCACATACGAGGCGCCGAGCCCTCTCAAAGGCGAAGTCACACACAATGTCCGACTTCCGCTCTCCCATCGACACTTCGGTGCCGTCGCTGTCGCTGCAGATGCCGCAAATGACGGCGCAGCAGCACAGGCGGGACTTTTCAGGGTCAATCACACTCGATGACCCTGCGCTGGGTCGTCCAGCTTCCGGCGACGCTGCTGCGCAAGACAGCGCCGCGGCGGACAGAGGCCTCAGCGAGAGCATAGCCGCCCTTCATTTGGGCAATGTTGCAGACGAGCCCAGCCCTCCACCTCCGACCGATCCAGCTGTCCTGAAGCTGGTTGGTGAGGTGCTGGCATCTGAGGTACGAATTAGCCCAGCCGAATCCGCGCGCGTCCTCTCCCTATGCTAACCTCACGCCCAACAGCAAGGCATTCCCTCGCTGCTGCATCGGCTGAAACAGAGCATAGCTTCCGCAAAGGTACTTCAGTCTTTCTCGCATCTCGATTAGGCATTCCCATGCATCGTGGCCACCTGCACATCATCCGGTGCTAGCTGCAGCTCTAGCACCGTGTGGCTGAGACATGAAGAAGCAGGAAAGAAGCTGACATCTGAGCAGGAGTTCGGCACCTTTCTCAAGAAACGAGCCGGTCTGGAAGAGGACAGCGCTCAGACGCTCAAGAAGCTGGCGCGCGCCACCCAGGATAACATACGACGACCCGAACACCGCGGAGGCACATTCGTCCACGTCTACGAGGAGATGGTACACATCCACGAACGCATGGCTGATAACGGCATCCAGTTTGCGGCCACGCTCCTTCAAATGAACGAAGAGCTCCTTGAGGCCGCCGGAACTGCCGAGCGCAACCGCAAGGTCTGGAAGGCCAACGGCCTGGCCGCGGAGCAAAAGGTCGTCGATCTCGAGGCCGCCATGCGCAAGAGCAAGGCGAAATACGACTCGCTCGCTGAAGAGTACGATCGCGCCAGAACGGGCGAAAGTAGGCCTGGCGGCGGCAAGGTCTTGGGTGCATTCAAGGCGCACAAGTCGGCGGCGCAACAAGAAGAGGAGCTTCTGAAGAAGGTCCAGGCAGCAGATCAGATCTATCACAGCGCCGTCACCAGTCTGCAGGCTGAGAAGGCCCAGCTCCAGACCACAACTCGTCCCGAGATTGTCAAGTCGTTGCAAGAGGCTATCCGCGAGATCGACTCTGCCGTGGGGCTGCAGATGCAAAGGTTTGGTAAGTAAACCCGCCGCCACAAGACAGTGAAAAGTAGGTCATACTAACAGAGGAACCCTCAAATAGCTCTGAATAATGAGAACCTGTTGCTCGGCAATGGCCTTGTCATCAGTCCCTTCAGAAACTCAGCGACGATTGGCCCCAACCAGCCCCGAAGCATGAGATATGCCATTGCATCCATCAATATTGACAAGGATCTCGATGAGTTTGTCGCGACTTACCATTCCAAGGTCCAGCCAAACCCGGGCGAGGTCAAATACGAACGTAATCCGGTGCGTCTGCGATAACCGCTCCCCTTAAGTGGTCGTCAAGCCTATCATACTGACGCCTCTTGCTCCTTAGGTACTCGGTCCTCAGCCCAGCGCCATGGGTCACTCAGCTCTGCCCTCTGCGCCTCATGCTTCCAAGCCTTCTGTCAGTCAGGCCCCTCAGGGCGGATACCAACAAAACCCGCAGTCGTTTTCGGTTAACTCGAGGATGAGTGGTGGCAATAACCTCCCCAGCCCGCCGGCAGGCGCCCCAGCTTCTCAGGGGCCACCCGGATCGATAGGACAAGGGGCTGCTTCTACTCCCACCAGTGCCGAGCCACTCAAGTCGCTCCATCAGCCCGACCACAGCCGAAGCTTCAGCCAGGGCAATATGCTAAACTCTCCCATGAGCCCTCAAACGCAGCCATACGGCACAGCAGGCTCCAGGTTTGCCGGCGGCGGCCCTACCACCACCGGCCCGCCCCAGCTCGGAGCGCTTCCGTTCCAGGACAGCGAAGGTCCATCAACCAAGAGTGCTTCACCTCCCCAGCTGGGACTTCCCTACCAGCCTCCCGGGCCAAGCGCTCCGCCGGCATACAGCGCCCCCAATCACGGTCCACCAGCCCTGGGTGTCTCTACCGGCTCCAAGCCCGTCTTTGGTGTCCACCTCAGTCGCCTTTATGAGCGGGACGGCCTCGCTGTTCCCATGGTCGTGTATCAGTGTATCCAGGCCGTTGACCTGTTTGGCCTTGGGGTAGAAGGAATTTACCGCCAGTCTGGCTCATTGAACCACATCAACAGACTGAAAGCCATGTTCGATTCGGGTAAATATCCACAGCCATCCTCGCGGCTACCTAGTTCAGCGGACCGACGTATGCTAACCGTTACCATTCGCTGCAGAATCTCAGTCACAAGCCCTTGATTTCAGGAACCCGGAAAACTTCTTTCACGACGTCAACAGTGTTACGGGCCTGTTGAAGCAGTTCTTCCGGGACCTGCCCGACCCGCTGTTCACGTCAGAACACCACAGCAGCTTCATAAACGCAGCAAGTACGTTAACGTTCCACAATCACACATATCATACTAGATCCAGGGCTTTCCATCACTTCTGCCTTGTATCTAGGACACAGCATGGATACTAATCGCGCACCTGCAGAGCACGAGGACGAGATTGTTCGCCGAGACTCCCTCCACGCCATCATCAACAGCCTGCCCGATCCCAACTACGCCACCCTGCGTGCCTTGATGCTGCATCTGCACCGTGTCATCGACAACTCTCACGTCAACCGTATGAACTCTCACAACTTGGCCGTCATCCTCGGGCCCACCCTCATGGGCACCGACCCAAGCACTGCCATTACAGATGCTGGTTGGCAGATCAAAGTCATTGACACTATCCTGGTCAATACTTACCAGATCTTTGATGAGGATTGATGTCGTGGAAGGCTTTGCTCTTATGTAAGAGATCATTTTCTTTTCCTTATTTGTCTAACATTCCTCTATACCTCTCTTGCATGGCGTTATCTGCTTATCATCCGTTCCTTGGCTCACTTGTCCGACCTCCTTTGTCTTCTTCACTTTGCAATTTCAAATTTCTAGCCGGGTGTGCTTCCTCACATATGTCCCCTCTCTCTAAAGACGTGTTGGTATATATAATCCACTTCCCTGGTCATGTTGCCCTGCCTCTTTCTTTTATCTCCCCAGAATTTTATAGCCATCTGGTTCGGCAACCACTTATTCGCCATCTGTTGGGCGAAGCTCTAGGAGCTTCCCCTCTGTACTTCTCATCGCCAGAGGCGCTAAACCGTCATTTACTCTCCATGATGGCTTGCCCGCTTACGGGACAGCGTGTCATATTTTCCCTTCGCCACGGAGTGGCGTAGTGGTGACTTGTTGACAGGATAGCTGGGATTGGTTAAGCTAGGATAACTTCACAGTATGTATTCAAGGGAACGTTGTCCCGATGTCGTCTTGTTTCTCCCAAGTGGAGTACTTGATCATTGAAGAGGAGAGGTAGATATCTGAAGATGACATGCATGGATGTATTTGATATTCCATGTTTATTTGAAGCAGCAGAGGTATCCAACAGAAACAAGGAGAAATGAACCAAGAGCAAACCCGCTTCTGGCCTCGTCATGCCCATGCTATATTCAAAACAAGTGCCAAAGCCCCGTTTATGAACATGAAAAAAAGAAGGAGAAAGGATTCGTCATGCGCCTGCTTCTACATTAAGCCTCCTGAAAGGAAAGAAAAACAAGGGAGAAAATATCCATCTTCCGATCCTGCTGACACCACCGTCCTGCATGTATCGCAAAATTGCAGGCTTCACTGAAAAGCCATATAAACGAGGGAAGGCTCGTTTCTAGCATTCGAAAAAACAAGAAGATATGCAGAGTTAAAGGGGAAGAAGAAAAGAGAAAGAGACGAAGAGAAGGAATAACAAGGAGAGGGAAAAAACAAACATCAAGGGCCTGGAGTTCCCGTTCTCTTCTGCAGGATGATGACTTGATCGTGGGCTTTGCCATAATGCGCGCTGAAAGGTTCTTTCGTAAAGAAAAGGGGGGGAAATGATGGTGACGATGATGATGATAAGATGGGAGTGAACGAAAGCTTGAGATCCGAGGACCCAAGGTCCCGAGCTCCAAAAGGACAGATATAAAGACTATACACAGAGCAATGGAATAAGAGAAAATGTATCGACCAGGTACCACCAGCAAGCAAGACTCCCTCTTTAATAAAGTGAAACACATGTTAGTGTAGCCTGATGGCTTCAAAGAGACTTAGGCTCAAGCTCGTATCATTCACCCCGACATTGGGGGTAGGCTCGCTAAGCAGCTCCCACCGCCGGAGAACGTACGGAGAGAGCTTCTCTTGAGACGCCGGGCCAATTCCATACATGGCACCCATGCCTCTGGCTGCCGTGCTGTGAGGCATCGTCGTCTTTTCCCTATGGGCAAGCATCAGGGAGTCCATTGGGGACATCTGCGGAACGCTAAGAATGTAATGCAGACGAGCGTCCGATGATGTGTGGAGGTTTGGCATCATGCCCGGAAGAAGAAGAATGGACTTGGCACAGTGAAGGCGTAGGTCATCGGGCAAGCCATCCGCAAGAACCGTGGCGACATCAAACACTTGCTGCCGCAAGCCGCCGCCAACTAAATGGCTTGGCAATGCTTCGAGCGCAAGGAACAGACGGCAGAGAGCCAAGACGGTATGGGCTCGCGCCTCATGATGCGGAGGCATAACCAGTTTGCCTTGGGCAGAAGTGGTCATGACAGACGCGCTCATCGGTTCCAAGGATACGCTATGCAAGAGCACAAACTTCAACAGCATCGGCAGCCAGTGTTTGAAAATGGGCCCGAGCACCCCCGCTGTCTTCCCCTCACGTATCTTCGTCGCAACGACGATCTCGACGAGGTCCGACAGCCTATCGGCCACAACACTGTTCAGCTGAGCTGTGTTCGGCGGCGGCTGGCCTACCACGATAGCCTCAATGACGCCCAGTAGCTTCTCTGCGAGGTATAAATTGTTACTGTTCGCGGATGGGTTCTGGGGGTTGGTGGGCGCTTTGGATGATGACAAGGAGGAGGGCGTCGGCACCAGAGCTAGGAACCGGGAACGGGCCTGGCTTTGCAGATGGCGAGAAATATCTTCGCTCAAGCAGGGGAGCATGGTCGTCCACATAATGTTCTGAGCTTCAATGGCGCGATCCATAGCCTTGGCAAACAGATCAAACTGGGACGGGCTCGGCTGCCGCTGGCCGTCTTCACCCTCGGTTGGCCGAGGCGGCGAGATGGACAGATCCATATTGAGCTTGACCTGGCAGAATGGCATGGTCAACTCGTTCGTGAGGCGCAAGATTTCGTCATAGGCCGCCGTGAAAGGCGAGCCCAGGCGGCCTGCCTGCTGGAAAAGATTGCTGATCATCTCATGGATAAGCCGGAACCCCGACGGGGGGATGTTCTTGGGGCTGAAAGCTTCCGTGACGTCTGCCGTGTGCACCACAACCAAGAGTCGCAAGGCGTCGAGCACACTCTCGCGGTATGTGCCGTCGTCAAGAGGCAGCTTTGCGTCGCCAACTCTAGCCCGAAGGTCGGCATATTCCACGGCGGCGTGGCGTATGAGCGAGAGCAGTCCTTTGTAATGATTGAGCTGTATTGCGCGCTGGTAGATGCCAAATCGGTAAGCCTCTTCTTGGCTGAGGTCGGTGTCGGCAGGCAGTCTCGACAGGATCAGGTGAAGCAGTTCCTGGAGATAGGTTACTGCCCCGGGGGTTGCCACATCTGGAGCAGCTGCCGCCGCTGCTTCGGCATCTCCTAATGGGGGCGCTTGGGTCAAGCTTGCGCGGCCGACCAGGAATGCAATCGGCAGAGCATCAGTGATGATGAGGAGAGGAAACACAGCATCCAATCGTTGGCGGCTCTTGAGTAGCCGAACACGCCCGACCCAGTCAGACATGAGCTTGTCGAAATGCTGCGCGTCGAACAATCGCAGGCGGGTAAGGAGTGACGCGTGAACCCTTCGGTTGTCATCCATCTTGGCCCAGCCTGCTTCCAGTCTCCGTATGATGTAGCCGAAAAGACGATTCATGGTTGGGTAGTCTATACTGTTCCCGCTCGCCAGTAGCTTCTCGATCTGTTCCGAGACCTCGCCATCAGCACCGGAGGGTGGATTGACCATGTTGTCCGAAATGGGGGAGCATGCGTCGGTTGCGTTGTTGCGATCGCTCTGGGTGAGCTCGTGGGCCAGGTACTTGGAGAGTTCCTGGCGGCTGGGCATCCGCCGAGAGAGGAAGCAAAGCGCGGCAAGCAGGGGGCGCGAGACTAGGCCCTGCTCTTGGTTGATGGCCTTGAGCCGCTCGAAGAAGATGGTGAAGAGCCGCTCGGCACCACCTTGGGCGTAGAAGACCTGCAAATGGAGGTTTACAGTGTCGACGCAGGATGCGAGCACCTCAATATTGGTCGTTTTGGAGCAGAGTTTGAGGACGTCGCAAAGGGCATAAAAGTCTTGGGTCGCTTCCAAGATGGTGCGTATGGCTGAGAAGATACGCAGAGATACTGGTTGCACGGACTTGACGAGCCTCAGGACAGTCTCGCGCAGGTGAAGGCCAACGGCAGTCTGCAGAGCTTTTGAGCTGCTGAGGATCCTTGGAAGAAGCTTTCGCAAGGGAATGGGCCTTCTGCCAGCCATGGTGTCTCCCTGCAGGGGCAGGCCCAGGGTGTGGTTAACGCACATCAAGGAGTTGCTGATGTCGTTTGCTTCCTCGGCGGCGGAGTAGTTGGCAGCCCGTCTCAGCAAGTTGGCCCGGTCATCCTTCTGGTCTTCTGTGAGGTAGCGTATGGGGAGGTGAACGAGCAACCGGGTTGTGCAAGGAGCATCGTCGGAGTCTACCTCGGAGGGATGGCTGCAGGCGCCACGGGCCACGAGCCACTGGAAATATTGGGAGACGAGGAACTGTCCTGTTCGGACCAGTTCTGTCACGAGGTGGTAGACCATCTGCTTCCGACCACCATCGCCGGCTGGAATAGTGTCCATGTGCTCGAGAATGGTGGCGGTGACATTGATCCTGAGCGTGCTCCAAACCTTGATCAGGTTGGCCGCGATATATACTCTTGCCAGGCCAGGGCGGTAAAAGGACGTGGCCCAGTCGACGGTCGTCCTGACGATGTCTACCTTGTCGTCCCCAGTAGCCCAGCACTTTTGGGGCAGGTCGCGATCTATCTGGCCAAGCAGCGTCGCGTCCAGCAGCCGCACCAACTGCGGCCGGCCGACCGCGGGCGAAGCAGTGGTGGTGATGGACACTTGACTGTTTCTGGCATTGACATGTTGGTATGCCTCTCGGCCTGCCTTGTCGTCGCGGGGCAAGAATGCTTCCAGAGCATCTTTATACTTTGGCCAAAGGGCGGGGTCGATGAAACTGTCGGGGTTGTTCTTGATGAGCGAGGCCAGTAGGGTCGAAAGCTGGCTCGAAAGTTGTATGAGAATATCCTTGTCAGGGTGGCTGTGGATTGTATGGAGATGGCCAAGGATGGAGTAAACAAGGCGACGTCCATATTTGCGCGAGCGCAAGATGTCGGCCCAACAGATTTGGGCAATGAGAATCCACATGGGAATCTTGGATTGGGGGCTATGCTCTAGGCCGGACGTTATCCAATCGAGGTAATGGTCTCGGTCAAGGAGTTGCTCGGCGTAAAGGTTCGTCGCCAATCGGATTCTACACGAAACGGGTCAGCTCGTGAAGGAGAGGCATGAGAGAGGGGGGGGGGGAGGAGGAGGAAGACGGCGGCGCGATATCTACTTACGCGTAAGTCACCTTGGCCTTCCAGTCTGGCTCGCCAAACGCAGAGGTGATGGATTCTATAAACTGCTCCACAAAGACGGTCCAGTCCCTTATCCACTTGAACTCGCCTGCTATGGCAAAGGCACCACCGGGGGCTCCTTTTCTCTTGAAGGCACGTATCTCGTTGGCACCGACACACTTGGCGAGCCAAACAGCTCTTTCGGTTGGGACGCTCTTGTTGAGACACTGGTCCAACAGAGTGCGACCGCGGATACCATGGGGAATGGTTCTGCTCAGCCGCCTGAGGGAGATGGCAGGATTAGCCAAGTCCTTCATCCAGACTTCCCTCTTGGTATCCGTCAGGGTAACGCGAGGAGGAGGTTTGAAGGTCGATGGGGCAGTGACATGGCCGCGGTGCCTGCGCTGGTTGAGGACGCCCATGAAGATGGTAGAGAGAGCGCTCAGGCCCGACTTCTGCTTGATGGCTGGGGATATAGTCATTCTCGCGGAGCTCGTCTCGTTCTGGTTGCCGCGATCCCAGGTGCCTTTCTGGATCGCTTCGGGGCTCCAGTCGTCCTCGTGATGCTTGCCGTTACCACCGTGCCATGGGAAGAAGTCGGCGTGTCCAGAGAAGAGCCCCCGACTGAAGGGGTCACCACCTGTTGGGTTGGGCCGTTTCTCGGTCGAGGGGTAGCGCGGAGCGCCCTTTGGGACCTCAACGGTCCAAGGCTTCGGACGACCGTCCTTCTTGAGGGTCGGCGCAGCCCGCGAAGGGGCTGCCAGTCGCTTCGAAAGCTCTGAATTCGTTTGTGATGTTGGTGGCCGCCGTCTGGGCATAGGCAAAGGCTGGTTGTCGTTGTCGACGTCGGCCGCTGAAGCTCGAGAGGGCGCCGGGCTGGAGTCGCCTACGTCTGCAGCATCAGCCATAGACGGCACACGCGACGTGGTGTGGCTCTGTGGCGACGAGGCGGCGGAAACGGATGCTGAAGCCGATGCCGAGACGGACGCTGAGGCTGCGTTGCCGACGACCGGGTCGATGTTGGAGAGTTCGAGACGCAGCCGAGAGCCGACTCTTCGCGGCGTGCTGACGGGACGGCCGTGGATTTGGGCTTGGTTCGCGCCATGGCTCTGGGCCTGAACAGGGTCGAAGGAGTCGCTCGAGGCATCGCTGAGGATGGAGTCCTTGCGGATGGGCGAGGAGGGAAACAGCTGCTGCGACAGGGCGCGCTGTTGAGGCGGAGGCCGCTGGACCGACGGCAGCGTCGAGCTGCTAAGAGCTCGCTGCGGCGGTCGCGGGTGGACGCCGATGGGGGTCCTGGAGGTCATCTCTCAGACAGGAGGTGAGGCGCCATCCCGGTATATTGCGAGCTATCAAGAGGTAGGTAAGGTAGCAGGGTATTGTAGATGCTGCGGTTGATGGATGCGGTACGCAGATGTAGTAGGAAAGGTACCGGGCAGACGCAGAAACGGTGCAGTTGGTACAACAAATACTACCACTATATCAGCAAGTAGGTAGGTACCTAAGTGCTGCTTAACGTCGTCGGTCCCAGGCGGCGGCTAAATGTCCAAAACGCTGGCTAGGTTGGGGCTGGCGACGGTGGCCACAGCGAGATGAGATTTCGAGAGTGAAGCTAAAGTAGGTTTGTAGGGAGTCGGATAGAGACGCGAGGATATGGATGAATGGACGTTGAGATCTTATGGACCCGAAAAGAAAGGGAAAAGTATGGTATGTGGTACTGAAAGCGTCAACCGACGTCCGGCAGAAGGAAGTTGTATTTTCCCGCTGCACCCGAGTAGCAGCCCCAGCCTCAAGCGTTGCGTTGCGACAGCGCTACGGCAGCACAAAAGTCGCGGCCCTCGTGCGGGAGGCTTGCGAGAGGAGGCCGCTCGAGGTGCGTATCTCGGGAGGCTGGGCGATGGAGTGCAAAGGGCGAGAAGGCTCTCGTCAGGTGGCCAATGATGGAAGATGGAATGTAGAGGAAAAGAAATGGAGGGAGTCGAGTTGGCAGGACGGCAGAGGCGTCTGGGGGTGGACAATGGCAGCAAGAGCGAACCTGGAAGCTGACGGCGATTTTCTGCTTGGCCGCTGTACGAGCACGGGAAGGGGAGGGGGCAGTGTGGTGAGAAGTATGTACTAATGTAGGTATCTGTACCTGTGCCTGTCGCGCAGGCTGAGGGTGTTCCGTGCCCGCTTACCTCCTACCCTACCTGTAGGTAGGTGCCTTTTAGTGCCTGTGCCTGCAAGCCGGACACTGTGCGTGTGGTGCCGGATTTGGGAGCCGAACAAAGCACCGGGTACATGTATCAAAGATTGAGAGAGAGAGGTGCAGTGCACCAATCTCCCCGGGCTGGCGCTTGCTAGATAGGTATATTCAGGCTATTACATGTCCATACTGGGCTCCAATTACAATACGTGTGGTGTGACGGCCTACAATTCGGAGGACAGCGCCCTGAAGGCATTGCATGTGCTTGGTATTCACATGTACGCGGTACGGGAGGGGATTGATTCCAGGTTGCTTCGATCTCTTGATGCGCTTCTCCGGGACACTCCCCAAAGCAGGTCCGGGTAATGGAGCTGACACCTATCGCGTCCATCTATTGTAGGATGCATTCATGCCTGTCTCCATCAGCTTACCCAGGTGGCAGAGATGCTGCCTCGCAGCCATCAGTGTGCCCTGGGGGCACCTGCAACCATCCGTCGCTCAAATTTCCACGCTGGCAGCGCGATAAGGGTCTGGTACATGTACGAGTATGAAGGTGATGTCGAGTCGGGTGCTATAAATCCCTGCTACCTATTGCGGCTCCAGGCAATCATTCAGGGCCCTGTAGGCGGGATTGCGGCCACTGGCGGGCGCTATCTGCACTAACAGATGGCGCTAGTCCGCGGAGAGCTGCTGGCTCCGTGCCAACATGAAACCCTCCAGGTCCACCACCAATGCCAGTGATGCCTCGCCACTACGACACAATCTGGTACCGGTACTTTCACGCACAGGTCTCTGCAGCTCAGCCTGAAATAACCTCTATTCCAATGGATCCCATGCGCCACATGCCACTACCTAGGTACCCCATGAATACACCCACCAATGTGCCATCTCCAGTCTCCAAGTTGACGACTTTGAGATTCGTGGGTATGCAGAGACAAGCCCAGAGACACATCTATGGATGTCATGGCCCGCGGAGGCGGTATCACAAATGGCACGATTCGTGACCTGACGCCGCCCTTTTCCCGAACTTTGATCATTGCCACATTCAGGCGTGAACAAGGGGGGGGGGGGGGGGGGGGGGGGGGGGGGGGTCCATGGCTACTAGTAATCCATTCAGCCCTCGAAGCCAGCCAGATCGTGGCCAGCGCTCTTCATGATGCCGGACCAACACCGTTGTCGCACTCGTTATGTACCAGGCTATTGAGCCATACTACTACTACCTACCTAGTATCTGTTTGTCCTTTGTATACGCCTCCCGAACTCGGGCCTCCGTCTAGCACGCGGGATGCGGGAACATGGAGCCCTCGCACAGACATAGGAAACATGCATGTTCGTGCAGGTGGAAGGTATGCCCAATCTCCATCCCCGTCTCCATCTACTAATACTGTACAGGTCGGAAAGTGCTGCAAGATGTGGGAGAAGGATTTGGGGGGGGGAGAAGCAGGGAGGCTCCGTCTTCCCTGTTCAACAATTGGATACAGTTACTTGATGTGCCTGCCCGCATGTGCATGTCGCCACGCGAAGAGGACTGACAAACTGACACAAAGAAGTTGAGGGTCCCATATAATGAGACAGTCGCAACTATAGGCACGTACTCCATTATGTCGTACCTAGGTAAGTTGGGTAGGAGACTGCGAGAGGTTTTCCCCAACTGGCGACTCTTGTTGTCTCCATACATGAGGTAGCCTTGGATCACGAGCCCGATTCGGCCCCATCTTCCATCAGTCATCCCCATAAGGTAGCCATCATGCGCGGCGTCCAAGCACCACCAATCCACGGCAAACCCCCGGCCAGTCATGGCTACCAGTGAGTTCGATGGGCATCTGTTGACCATTTGACAGCCTCCAGTTGCGCTCCAGATTCCCCTCTGTGCGGGGCTCGAGGCGGTGAATTAGCCTGACACGTCTCTTTGAACATGAAAATGACTGTAATATCTTTCACTCTATCATGTCGATGGGTACTGAATGTTTGCTGTAATCTCGCGCGGCTCCAAAGGGAGGTCTACATGCCAACCTACCCTTAGTCTCGACGCCACAACGCAGATGAGCAGGGTCTGGTCAAATCATGTTCGACCATCGGATCTAGAGCTGGCGACAGTCCTGCTCTAATATCGGGTGCTGCAGCTTCCCATCATCTCGAGGTCAGAGCTCGATATGTATCAGTCCTGACCAAGCAAATTGGAAAGCAAACAGGTCAGCCACGGAGCTTCGCTGAATGGAGGCATTAGTACTACGTTATCTGCCTTGAAAGTCTTTGCTCCCTCGCGGCCTCTGCCTGGAGCAGTTATTGTATCTCATCATACATGTAGACTGCATGCCAACTGAGACCCCGAGATTGCACTCCGCATGACCTGAGGAAGTGGCCGCCACGCAAACGGCCACTGGCACTACCTATTACTACTCTCCAGCTGTACGGTGTTTGCGCGATAGGTATTCCAATCGCTTCTACCTTGGTATTGCTAGGTACCTAGTAGTAGTAGCGCAGTAATAGTATCACCACTGCTAGATCCTTCTGAGGAAAGGCCCGGCTGTCGCTCGTACCGAACAGCCAGATCTGCCTTTTGTTCCACTTTCTGACGCAGGAGGTCGAGACAATGTCTTGTTCAGTGCACCATGCATAGGTGCTAGGTAAGTTCAATGTTGGTAAGGTCGCAAGGCTAGCGAGGCCGCCCTCTCCTCTGGTTCGTACGAACTTTACAGCAGAGCTGTCTCTCCGTCTCAATGTATAAGCGTCATACAAAGATGAGATAGCCATGTGAGGAGGGAGACAAAGGCGCCATAGTACCCTAAGAGTAGAGGTCGAAGGGAGCACAACATGAACAACAAGTGATATCATCTCAATGCCTGCAGTTACCTACAGAGGTACACCTTGTCATGCGTCTGCTAGTACAGGTACTGTACATCTCTCCGACCCGGCAATCCAAACCAAATTGGCCATGATTCGTCATTTTAATCCTTCAAAAGTAAAGTCAACAAATCGGACAGATTTAATGGGGTGGGACGAGCCCGGCCGAATGCCTGATGCCACCATCGCAGCTTCAACGGCTGTTTGTCCCTACCACAGGTCACATGCCGACGTCTAACACAGAGATGTCCTCTTCGGCATGAAGAATTGGGCAGGCATCATCACATCATTCTTCATCATCCCGTCTCCTCTCTTGGGTGCCCAGCCAGTTGTACTCGATGCATGCCCGTTAAAATGCATGTACAAGCACGCTTTCCCATAGAGCACCTATCCATGGGGACGAGAGACGTATGTAGATGATGTCGTAGAGCTGCTGCAAGGCCACGTCAACCCTCGGCCTATGCTACCCTGGAGTTGGAGCGCCCCCCCTCCCCTTGAGGGGCAACAATAGGAGTATCAACAGCAAGCAATTACAGCCCAACGCCGACAGGCATGCTGGTGGTGGGGCGAGATCGGAAAGAAGATGGAACGGTAGAGAACGTGCTATTGCTGGTGCTATTTGGTACAGACAGATACAGGTTATGTGCGGCTGCGAGCATGGTAGTACAGACATTGGTTGTACAAGACGAGCCTCAGAATCCTAGGCAGGTCCTTCTTAGAGCTCACCAACACCGGCCTCGTTGATGCTCCACTCGCTCCAGCCCTTCTTCTCACCAGGCAGCTGAATGCCCTGCCACTGCTCCTTGGTGACGTTCCTCCACTCGTCGACGGGAATCCATCCAATGTACGCACGATCACCGAACCCGCCGATCCAGTATACCTGGGTAACCACCAGCCGTGCCCATTCGCTGGCATGGATGGGGTTGCCAGGCAGCCAGTACTTGGCGTCTGGGTGCTTGGAGGTGTAACACGAAGCAAGCCGGACGGCCTCCTTGATGCTCGGCTTGATCGGTTCCAGATAGCCGATGAGCGAGAACCTGGGCAGGTTGGCCGCAGAGTAGGGTGCCGTGTCCGGGGGCGAGGAAAAGGATGAACCGCCCGGCCCGTCCAGCTCCGAGGCCTCGCCGTCCTCCTTGTTACCCAAGAACGGCACGAATGCGGATAGACGAGACAGGAACGAGATGCGCTTGGCCGGCGGATACGGCGGAGTCCACGCCACCGACAGAGAAAGGTTGGAGCCTGCGCGGGCGTTCTTGAAGCTGGTGGCAATCTTGATGGCCAGCAGCGTTGGGTTCCCGTCATCCTCGCAGTCACTGATGTATTCAAGCAGAGCAATTGGCAAGCCGTCGAGGCCCTCCGGCCGTCGCTCCGCGGCATCCGCCTCGCCTGAGGAGGGCGACTTGGGAAACACCGTCGACAGGGTGCCAAGCTTGCTGAGGGCCAATACGCGCCTGCCCATAACGGCCGATTCGAAGCTGGTTGGGATGCGTTCCGCGCCGACGTCGCCCGTGTCACCGAAGAGCGGAGCGGTGAGCTCGAGGGCGGCGGCATAGCCCGATAGGCCTCCAATCAGGCTGAGGAGCTTCATGATCAGCGATGTTTTGGATGCCAACAAGAAGGAACGGCGATTTTCTGAGACAGCACAGTCGGTCAGCAGCTGGAACTGGTAGCAGCAGGCAATGAGAATTCTATATGGCAGGCCACAGTCACAGTGACAAATACAGAGAGTCAAAGGGTGGATGAAGGCACCGGCGTACGACTTTGGGCCACGGACAGCCTGTGGCTCAGTGCAATCGAAAACCGTGGAGCTCTGGTAATGTCAAGATTAGATGGAGTCTGGCAGTGGCATACAAGAGAGACGCAAAGAGGGGAAAGAAGAGGCTGGGTTTAATCCCCCCTGCTCCGGCTCAAGTGATGGCTAGGTCATCAACGGCGTTTCGGCAGGTGACTTGACGTGGAGATTGATAAGATTAGATCACTGGCTGCAATCAGCTAGGTACCTAGCCGCTTGCTGACATAAGATACCAAGGAGCGTGTTCTTCAGAAACGCCGGAATAGACACTGTGAAGCGACTCCGTAGTAGTTGTAGTAGCTGGTAGAACTTTCTACAGTGCGATATCCTCCTCCTTCAACCTCTCATGTCTTCCACCATTGGTCGCCCACACTCCCTGTACCACTTTGCCAGCTGGGGGACGGGGGCCGGCTCAAACGTTTGGACCAGCTTGACGACAGGCATGCGAGGGTAAAGCTTTCTGACGTCGTCTTCCTTCATCAACCCGTCGTCCCCGGTGCAGCTCTTGGGTATGCTGTCGCTTGAAAACCCCTCGCTATTGTGGGATATCCATCCTCGCATGATGAGCTGCTTTGTCTTCTTCCACGACTCCATCTTAGCAGTCGACGGCCGAATCTGGGCCTGCAGCCTCGTAATGGCATCCTTCTCCCATTTGCCCATGAAGCTGCCGTCGGCCCCCGTCATCGCTGCGAGGAGCAGCTGGTCGAGTCGCGCCACCTCTTGCTCATCCTCGATGTCGACATGGACGAACGACTGGCCACCAAAGAGTCGTGCCACTGCATGAGGATGCCATGATTGCTTGTCCACTTGAAATGTATTCCCCGCCATCAGGTGGATGTTGCGGACGTTTGGGAGCTGGCTATCTTTACCGAACAGACCCGTCACTAATAGGCTATCGACGGTCTCTACGTCTAGGAGTATTGTTGTCGTCTCCTGAAGGAGCTTCTTTTGTAGAGGGATGAAGCTGCTGTCTTTCGTCATCTTGAAGGGCGAGAGATCTAATACGTCAGTGTCGCCGTTGAACCATGTCCAGGAGAGGGGGGCGAGGAACTCGTGGCAGTAGAGGCCGCCATGCTGGTACGCAACGTATCGGGCCTCCCGGCAGACTCCGGCAATTGTTGGCGGAGCAAGGCTCTTCCACTCCAGAAAGGACGGCTGGAGGAAGCGGAACGGGCGGAAATTCTGCACAGGCAAGGCTTGCCTCCATATGCGGCATCGGAGCTCGGGGGGCAGACGTGAGAAGAAGGGAAACTCTGCTGCACTTTCACGGCGTGATGCGAGGAGTTGGCGCTCGAGCTCCTTGATTCGCTGCTCCTGGAGAAACTGGACTCGTTGTGCCCTCTCCAGCACGTCCTGTATGTCTTTGGGGTTCCTCGCCGGCGACGGTTGCAAATCAAGATAGCGTGATGATGTCGATGGTGCCGCTTCGAGCAAGCAATACGAGGTACTCATGTTGACTGTTTTCAATGACAGAGACAGGGGACGGGGCACATCAACAAGATAACCACGCGTATAAGGGCTGATAGTGAGTGAACCTTGGAGGCAAATGCGGGAGCCATCATGGATCCGTGCAAGGTTTTATCAAGGTTTCGATATCAGTGAATACATGTATCTGTGGACATATTCTCATCCTACTACGGCTACGCGGACTTGTACAGGGAGAGTCAAATGAGGACTTTGGATCAAAGGTCCGTCTTTCAACATCTTTCTAACAAGGCCATTGTTCGCTGAAAGGAACTGTCCCAGTTTCCCCCTACGCCACCAGCTGACCTGTAAGCTTTCTTATGGACGAGCGGTGGCGACTGCTCACGATTCGTTTGATGCCTCCTTTCAAGCCCGTCAAGGGTGCTCTGATTGTGTGCTGACTTTGGCTTTCAGAGAAGCACACGCATTCTGTATATTCACGATGATTTAATCAGCACAAAGTTGTGGTGGTTTTACGCGAGCAGCGGTTGTACCATAGCCCTTGATCGATGACTCTTGTTTGTTTACTTGATGGTTGTGTGTTTTCTTTGTCTCTGAAAAGGGCACCTCCTTTACTGAACCACTTGAACCTTGTCCCCCTCCACTGCTCGAGTCACTTGAAACACAAGGCGGCAGACTGCATAAGGTATAACACGGCCCCGCCGTTCTCGACATCCAGCTTTCCAAGGTTGTTTACGCGCCGTTGGGCTCTCCTCCCTTGCGTCATGCTCTTCAGCATGCCACATGTTGTCATGGAAATGACAATGGAGAGCCTTTTGGCTCAGACAGCCACAGCCACGCTAATCCGCATGCAGAGTCATGAGGAAGTCAGCCATGTCAGGGGACCTGCTGACGACAAAGACTCTGGGAGTGTCAACCAACTTCGGGTTGGTTTGTTAGGAAAGGGAGAGCAGGCAGAGACAGAAGCTAGGTAGCTCAGGTAGCTCAGGTAGCTAGCTAGGAATCCATCCATATCGAGATGTTGGGCGTTATATACATGTATAGGGGATTTCAATGTCAAGTTCCCCGCTAGCTGGTCTGTAAGGCAACCAAACAGAGCCTACCAAAATTACTGTAATACATAGTACCTACAGCACACGAATGCACATCCATGCGATGGATGGAAATACTACATGTACCTACCAATCGACGATGAAGCCGATTCGACGTCCAAGCTGAGAAAGAGATTCCGATCCTCTGCACCCCCGCTGCTGAGGTCATCGGAGAGCAACAGCACCACCACCAGCCCACTTTCCCCTTCACGTCCCCCTGCAGCCCAGTTCCATAGCGGGGTGCCACAGGGCCGCAGGGCCACAAGGGCGGCTGCAGGGCACCAATAACGGCCCTCGCAGCGCCCGAGGAGCCCTGTATTCTAGGGGCTGATGGCGTCCAGCGCTCCCAGCGGCGCCTGGCTAGCGCCCTCCAGCTCCCTCCAGCTCCGTTAGCAGCCCTGGGGTCCCCACCCGCGCTGATGGCTTCCAGGTTGTTGCTGCTGCAACCATGTTGACTTCCAGATCACTGATCCCAGGCCCTGGCTGACCCAATCGCAAGCACCGCCCTTCTCCAACATCCCACTTTGCCCCAAAGGCCTTTTACCCCCCCCCATGCCGCTTTTGCATATTGACTGAGCAGTGATCGATGATACTACCTTGCCTTTGAGGCCTGTCGAATACTGTACTGTACATTCTATCGTCGACTTACTGCCTGTTCGTTGCAGTGATTGATCTCAGAGCACGAGCTGCGTCCGTTTGTCTGCCCGCGCAGAGTTGAGCCAACGGAGCAATTACGGTCGGTTGTCAGTCTACGCTCAACTTCCATTACCCTGTTCTGTTCTGCTCTCTGCTTTCTCATCCTCTCCGGCTCATTCACTTGTTGGCTATTACAACAAACGGCTAACCTGCTTCTTCCGCTTCGGCCTCCCAGAGAGCAATAGCAGGTTGTCTTTGCATCCATCGTGCCCCCAGCATCTTTCCTGCGGCAGCCCAGCAGTTCAGCTGCCATCGTCAGCCTCTGGTCCGGCTCGTCCAGCCTTCTCCACCTCTTGTCCTCGTCGAAAGCCCGTCCACCAGTTGGACTTTAGGACGAGGGGATCCGCAGACGCACCTAACACCCAGACCCGGTGCAGACAGAAACAGGGCATCGCGCATACAGACGCAGCAAGCAGATGCTACCGTCCTCCGCCGCAGACGCCCAGCAGCCAATCGATTCAGCGGCAGCTTCTATCGGTTTTCCCACCCTGGTCGGCAGTCCCTCTCCTCCACCGCCACGTCACGCCTTGCAGCGGGTTTAAAAAAAAAATGGCCAGCTTCATGTCGAATTTCTTCCCCGGCAGCAGCGTCGGTCCCGGCAGCAGCAAGGACAAGGCGCCGCTGGCTGGTGACGCCGCGCCTCGCCCTGTGACACCAACCATGAACAACATCAACAGCTTCGTCAACCCTCTCAACACGCCTCTCGGGAGCCCTAGCAAAAGGACGATCCCGCCTGGCGCTCACGACCTCCCCACAGTTTTCGACACCGCTATGAACTTGAATTCCCCGGGCATCGAAGCTCCCGTGAGGCTGTCACGCCCGCAAAGCGTAGTCGCTCCGCTTTCGCCCGGCAAGGCCAACAACTCCCAGCCTGCGCCTCAGCCTCACCACCAGCCTCGTGAGGAGCAGCAACAGCAGCAGCAGAAGCAGCAACAGCAGCCCGGTGCCGCCGCCGCCGTCGAAGAGGTCGCCGCACACAGCGTGCACAAGGGAAGAGCATCACCTGCCACGCCCAGGAGACGGCAAGGCCAGGAGAATGCGCAGCCTGTGTCTCGTCTCGCCGCTCACGACCAGGAGCGACAGCCCCACCACAGCCATGCCGCACTCTCTCGCCAGCAGCCCTACGAGACTAAGGATCGTCCCATCATCGCTAAGAGGTTTAACACGGCTCGCGGCTTGACGGCGGAGGAGCGCGAGATTCTGCAGAGACCCAATGTGCGCCGCATGGTCAATGTTACTCAGCTATGTAAGTCTTCTTCATCTGCTTGCCTTGTGTCCTTCACCTCATATGCGCCTTCAAACACGGGAGAAGAAATAGTGGGATAGAAGGGGGGAAGAAAAGGGGGGAGGGCGGAGGGACAAGGAGGAGGAGGAGGAGGGAGCTGTGCAGGACCAAGGTCATGGACAGGAGATCGCTGGAACAGCAGAACCAGATTGACCAACCGATTGAGCCAGACGACTGATTGACTAACTGCCATCTCTCTCCTCTGCCTAGATTTCCTGGATTATTACTTTGACCTACTTACGTATGTCGGCGCGAGGCAGAAGAGGTTGGCCGCCTTCAAGACCGAGGTCCCGGCCCCTCCCGCGACTGACGAAGAAACCTACCGACAGCTGTGGTCCAAGTACACCGGTCGAGAGCGAGCCAACCTTCGCAAGCGGCGCATCCGACTAAAGCAGGGCGACTTCCAGATTCTGACCCAGGTTGGCCAGGGCGGCTATGGCCAGGTCTTCCTCGCACAGAAGAAGGACACGCGGGAGGTGTGCGCCCTCAAGGTCATGAGCAAAAAGTTGCTCTTCAAGCTGGACGAGGTCCGGCACGTCTTGACGGAGCGTGACATTTTGACAACAGCCCAGAGCGACTGGCTCGTCCGACTCCTGTACTCATTCCAGGACGACAAGAATATCTATCTTGCCATGGAATACGTGCCGGGTGGCGATTTCCGCACCCTTCTTAACAACACGGGGGTGCTCTCCAACCGACATGCGCGGTTCTACATTGCCGAAATGTTCTGCGCTGTCGACGCCCTCCATCAGCTGGGTTACATCCACCGAGACCTGAAGCCCGAGAACTTCCTCGTCGACTCCACCGGCCATGTCAAGCTGACCGACTTTGGCCTGGCTGCCGGCGTCCTTGCTCCGTCCAAGATCGAGTCCATGCGACTTAAGCTGGAACAGGCCTCAGAGACGCCGGTGCCGTTTGGCAAGCCGATCGGACAACGGACCGTGGCCGAGCGCCGCGAGAGCTACCGGACGATGCGCGAAAACGACGTCAACTACGCAAAATCCATTGTCGGCTCGCCCGACTACATGGCGCCCGAGGTCCTCAGGGGCGAGGAGTACGACTACACTGTAGATTACTGGAGTCTGGGCTGCATGTTGTTTGAGGCGCTCACCGGCTTTCCCCCCTTTGCCGGCGCAACCCCCGACGAGACATGGCGCAATCTCAAGCACTGGAAAGATGTGCTCAAGAGGCCCGTCTGGGAAGATCCTACCTACTTCCTGAGCAACCGGACTTGGAGTTTTATCACGACGTGAGTGACCAATGTTTCACCCTCCCGTTGTCTGCGGTTGATTCACTGTGCAAGCTAACACAAGAGGTTGATTACGACGTCCAGGTGCATCAATTCGCGGGCCAAACGCTTCTCCGTCATCAAGGATATCTATGCCCACCAGTACTTTTCCGAGGTAGACTGGCCGACTCTTCGGCAGACGCGGGCGCCCTTTGTGCCGGAGCTGGACTCGGAAACGGACGCTGGCTACTTTGACGACTTTGGCAACGACGCCGACATGGCCAAGTACAAGGAAGTACACGACAAGCAGGCGGCGCTCGAGTCCATGGCCGAGCGTGAGGAAGAGATGAGCAAGAGCCTCTTCGTCGGCTTCACGTTCCGGCACCGCAAGCCCGCCACCGAAGACGGCGTCAGCCCGCGGAAGCGCATCCCCACTGATGACTCGTTTGGAACCATGTTTTAGAACCGTACATCGCTGTACAAGGAAGTCTATCATGGGGTTGCGTTCCGCTCGGCAAGGTTGCTTTGACACACCCTTTCTCGCGAATTATTTTCATTTGCGGTTTCTTCCTGGCCAGAGTCATATGTCGAGCCTTTATATTAGTTTAGCAGTTGTTGTCGCCTTGCGGCAACGCTTCTGTATGGTGGTTTGTCTTCCTCGTTCTCCCTCCCCCCCCCCCCTTCTCTAATCGTCCGCAGCTGTCTGCACTGCGTTTTGCCTTTCTTCTTCTGGTTCCGATAGCCGAAGCTGTCGACAACGAGCCCAACCCCAAAGTACTTCTTTAATGAGACATCGCCTTTTTCCTTTTGATCTCTCGAGTCCCTGTCTGATCCTTTTCCTTTTTCCTCTCTTTTCTCTCCCTGTTGTTTTCCCATTTTGTTCTGTGTATTACGGGGCCGGCGCTGCAGAGAGGGTACCTGGACCAAGAAAAGTAAACAATGGAGACGTAAGAGGGGCGCCTGCGGCGAGAGTCTCTCTACTTGCGATGACTTCAAGGGCTAGATGGGCGGACTGCCACGTTGGCCGGCTGAGCATTTGGCATTTGCGAGAGAGGCAGTATGATGCATTCATGTAGGAGTAACGAGTACGAGTATATGGTACACAGGTAGACAATTGAACGTATGGCTTTGCATGCGTTGGTCGGCACGAGTATTTGAGAGAATGGAGCCACGGCCGCCAATATCAAGCAAGTCAGGGGTCTCACGGCCGCCAGCACAAGCTTCCAAGTATTGTAGATTCATTCCGCGAGCCTGCCTATCCCCAAGCGTCTCATAACCTACGTCTTTGGCCATCATGAGAAGAAACAAGTAAAGGTTATACCCGCATCTCTCCAACTGAAATATATTGCAACCACCTTGTGCCTCCCCAGTCATTATTCGGCCATTCCAATGATGAAGAAGAAGAGCAGAGGCGCCAGATAAAGATCAGTATAGAAAACGTTGGGAAACGAGGAAGTTGCAACGATCCCTTGCGCCGCAGCCAATCTCTGTCAAGTAGATAGCCCTTTCCGCCGATGAGCCCAAGAAAGACTGAAGAGGGGCCTAAGAAAGGAAAGGGGAAGAAGAAGAGGGAGGGGGCAAGAAAAAGAAGAAAAGGAAAAGAGAAAGAAGAAGTGATGAAATAAGAGAAAGGAAAGTAAAAAAAGAGCAGAAATCGCAGGCACTTCCAAAAATGAAAAGCTAACCGAATCAAAGACGGGAGATCAAGGCCAAGGAACTGAGTCCAAGGGGGAAAGAAACGTAAAGTATCTGCCTCCCAGGGGATTTGTTTGAGTACCAAAATTGAAAACAAAGTCGGCAAGATCCACCCAAAACTGATCTATACAAATTCGTAAGACAATGAATGGGAGAAACAAATCCTATAGCATCGTATCGACCAACTCTCATCTTCGCTTCGCTTCTTGGTTGCAGACACCGTATCCATTTTCCCAACATACTCCAGATTATGTCGACATCAGGTCGTAAGCGCGGGACCGGTCGTCGTGGCTCCCTTGGACACCGCCCCTGGCATTCATAAATAGGTAGTTCCTTGACGGGCGCTCTCCATGTCTGTATAAAATAGTTGCTGGTTATCGCACCGAGGCTGTTCTTCGAAGACTGCCGCCCATATCCAAGCGCAGGCAGAGCAGAAAGAAATAAAAGAGTAAAGATAGAACACATTGTCAACCTCCGAAAGGTAGTCCGTACGTGCAAGCCAAAAAAACACACAAAAGACCCAGGTATCATTTCTTGAACCAACACGCCATGAAGATGCCCATTACTTAAAGCGCCCATATCCTTCGCGCCGCCATCAGCTCATCTCAGCAATGCCAGCCAGCCCATATTGTGAGGCCATGGTCGGCCCCTTCTCAAGCCTTGCCACCATTCCTCAAGGTTGACCCAAACACTGATCGCACGCCGTATCTTTTCGTCTAGCATCAACGATCCCGTGTCAAATTCGCCATCTCGCCGGCCGCTTCAAAGACTCATAGTCAACCACTCCCATTCCTGAGGGCCTGACGAGCCACCGGCGCTGTTCACAAGGTTGCCCTGGGAACCACCCATGGACACCATGCTTGATCCCATCATGGAGCGCTGACCCATGGTGAAGCTTCCATTCGAAAGCATAGTGCTAGAGATGGAAGGCATGCTGGGAGTTGCGCCAAGCTGTCGCCCAATAGAGTCTCCAGGGCCGTCGAGATCCATAGCCGACGATGAAGTGCCCTCGCTCTTGCTATGCCTACGCTGTCTTTTGGAGGACGCCGTGGTCGGTCGGGACATGGACGACGAGGCTCCGGGTCCAGGCGTTGTCTTGGGTGGTGCCGCCGCAATGGGCACGACGCCTTTGCCGCCCACAATGGTGGCTCCTCCATATTGGCTGCCAGGCGTGCTGCCTGCGGTGTGATGGCCACTGCTGGCGGGGCTATCGCCCTCCTTATTGCTGCTTGGGCGAGTTGTAGATGGCGGCGTCGCGGCTTGGTGGTTTGCGGTAGCAACAGCTGCCGTCGCCGCGGCAGCGGCAGCCATGGACAGCGATGAGTTCTTCCTCGAGGCGGCGTTGGAGCCATTGCCTGCGTTCTTCTTCCTCGATCCTCCAACCGGGAGGTTGGCACCGGAGCCCCTGTTTCTCTTCTTGATAACGTCCGTCTTCAGACTGAGGGGACGCACGACGCCGTGTAGCTTGAGGAAGAGGCCACAGGCATTGCAGAGGGGCTGGCCCTCGGGGTTCCGTCTCCACAGAGGAGTCGTCTGGGTGAAGCAGTTGGTGCAGGTAGTGGGAGCGCTGTTCTCTCCGGGGTTTCCGCTAGCCGCATGCAGGTTGGTCGAGGAGCCGTGCTTGGAGCTTGGGGGCGGTGAGGCTGGTCTGCTTGGCGCAACTGACGAGAAGCCGGAGGCGGTTCCCGAAGCATGGGGACCCGGTGAGCTGGGGAGAGACTGGGCGATTTGCTCGAATCCACTGTGCTTGGCGGCCATGTGCGAGGGTGTCGACGAGTTGCGAGGAAGTTTGTTCTGTCGCTTGTCGTTGCCCATGCCGAGCGTTTGCGAGTGAGATCGGCTCAGGTTATGGCCATCCCAGTCGTTACTGGTGTCGACGTAATCAGTCGTGATGGTCCCAATCTGTACGTGCTTGCGAGTGGGGCCGCCGGGAAAGCGAGCAGCCTGCGTGCTGAACTGTCCCGGCAAAGAGGCGTCCCAGCTGAACGTCCCTGCCTCGTCGACGGCAGATGTGAAGTCACCGTGGAGGCCAACGCCACCGCGATCCAAGAAGGCGGTGCCGTCGTCTTCGTCAGACTCTCCTCCGAAACCAAGCATGTTGCCTTGCTGCATCGGTAAGACGGGAGAGGCGACCTGCGACTCCGTCTGGAACACTTGGCTTGGGTCGATGTGCCCAAAAGAGTTTTGAGCAGCGCTGTACGATGCCACCGCCTCCGAGCTGGCGCCTGTGGAGGGGAAGGCAGCGCCATTGCCGCCGCCGCTGCCGTTGCCGCCATTGGAATCGCCGTACATGAACTGGTGGCTCAAGTGGTGGTTGAGGTTACCGGAGCTTTGTCGGAAGCCCTGTGCACGATGATGCGGATGGTGCTGCATTTCCTGGGAGCCGAAATAGACGCCGTCGCCCTCGTTCATCGGATGTGGGGTGGATGTGGCCGATGGATACCCCGAGCCAGTGGGAGAGTAGAAGTCGGGGTTGTTCAGCGAAGATTGCAGCGCGGCGTTGTTGTACACGGATGGAAACGGTCCATTGTGCATCATTGGAGACGTCGATGGAGAAAAGGAGAAGTTCGGATGGAAGGGGGCAGAGCCAAGGACGCCGTCGCTGTCCATGAAGTCCAGGTTGAAAGCAGAGCCCTGGTTGTTGGCCATTTGCTGCTGCAGGGACATCGCGTTTGTGTTGTCGAGGGAGTATCCATTGAGATCCGGGTCTGCTTCCAGATCGAGGCTGAGACCAGACGCACTCGGGTTGATGGCGCTCACATGGGGTGAGAAGTTGGCAGGCCGTTTCCTCGTCTTGGGAGACATTGTTAGCAACCTCACATAGTCCACGGGAAGAGCGAAATTAGAACTGGGCAGATGTCCTCGGACACAGGAACGACGGCTAGGGTATTTAAAGGGCAGAGGGACGGAGTGCATGTAAGTTAAGGAGGAAGGATAAGCAGGCAGAATGCGAAGGCGGAACGTGGCGTGCCATGCACGACAAGCCGTCAAGAAACGTATAAAATAGAGGAGAAGATGGCTGCGAGGGAGGAGGGGAGGGCATTGGGAGGCTTGATCCGCTGGGTAGGGGCTTCTGTTCCAATCAAAAATCAATGCACTCACCCGGCGGTCGTCTATACTCGTCTTTCTATCGTGTCGAGGGACGTAATGGAATTCATCAAACTGTCCCCGCTGGTGAGGTGGCGCTACAGGGACGGACTGGGCGACGAATTGATTGGCAGAGGAACCCTTGCGGCCCTTGATGGGGATTGCCGAAGCCAGCGGCCTGGATGATTTGCTGGTCTTGGTGGCAGCGGTCTGCGGACCAGAGAGAGAGGATGCGGGCGGCTGCGGTGAGTTGTCCTTGACGGAGGCTCCTCCCTCCTCGGCGAAGATGAAGTCGTCAATGTTCATGGCATCCACGCCCTCAGCATGGCTATCGGATGTCTTTCGCAGCTGCTGGGCGATGCCGCTGGGAGCGTTTTGTGGTTGACTTGGTTGCGAGAGGGATCTGTGATGCAGGGAAAGACGAGATCAGAAAAACATGTCAGCCAGCGGCGGGATGATGTGATGAAGGGCGAACCCGCTCCCCTCCCCCCCAAAGGGAAAGCCAAGCCGTATCTAGCCTTTTAGACGGGCATCGATGCAAAGAACGGCAGACCAATCAGATGGGGATGGCGAAGCATGAGACGGATGGCAAAGGAGATTTGCTATAATAATACCTGTTGTGCGTCTTCTGCTGCTGTTGCTGCTGCTGACGCTTGCGCAGGTTGAGGGCCATCATGCGCC